CAGCCTTGACCTTCAGAGTCCTGCATTCTGCATTCCACTCCTCAGTTGTGGTGTTCCTTTTGTTGCCATCTGTCCCAGGCACAAGCCATGCAATCATATCTCACCCAAGTGCAACCATAAAACAGCAGAAGGAGAGCGAGATGGAGCCCAAAAACTGGTTGAGGCCGCATCTTATCGCCGCCGCCTTAAATGGCTGCCCCAAACAGCTCCCAGATCCCCTGGGGCCTCCCTGGCTGTGGCTGTGGCTGTGGCTCTTTAAGTGGCGCGTAATTAATGACCCAGCCAATAAATGCTCACGTTTTATTTACTGTTTATGGGAGGATTTGCGGATCGGAACAGACAGACTCCCATATCGATTCGCGTTGGGTAGCCGCCTGTAGACATGACGACAATTTATGCTACAAGCAATTTAAAAACTAAATTATCAACGCGATTTATGCGTAATGCGTAATGGTTAACATAAAATCGAGCATAAGTGAACTGCAGGGAGGGATTCCAACTGATCTTCGGCATCCCAGAGATCCCAAACTCTCATTAGATCATAGAGAACCTGTCTCTTGCGTGTCCAACAGAACCTTGAGCGTAGTGGATTCTGCGGCTACGCGCTGTGCCGAGCCGATCCCCTGGGGCTGTGTGTGATCGTTATTTGTGCTTCGCATGGAGACGATAATTAGCCGGGCAATACAAATATTTAGATGACGTCATTTTGGGGGGTTTGGTTCTCAGTCAAGGTTCTCTCTCGGCAGAACAGCTGAGGCAAAAGCTTTGGGCGTTATCTTTTAATCGAAAGACAAGCAGATAAGCTCAGTGTTGTTCGCTCAAGCGACTGGATAGATAGATGGGAACAGAACAGCAGAACCCACCGCAATGTTGGTCAGTGTTGTGGCCCACAGGTGAGGCACTGCGTAGTAGAAGTTTCCATTGCGTGTGCGACAGAAATAATTAAATCATACACTAACACCATTAATCGAACTTTTCCAATACGTATCCCCCCCCACAGAGGCAGCATGTCTGAGGCAGCAGCAAATGGTAGCAGCCCCTCGCCCGCTCCCGAGGCACCCGTGGCAGAGTTGGCCCAACTGGCACTCGAGGAGGAGGCACCCAAAGTGACGTTCTCGGATCAGTTCAAGGCCTTCTCCAAGTTCGGGGACACCAAGTCGGATGGGAAGCTGATTACGCTCTCGCAGAGCGACAAGTGGATGAAGCAGGCGAAGGTGATCGACAAGAAGATCACCACCACGGACACGGGCATCCACTTCAAGAAGTTCAAGGCCCTGAAGATCTCGCTCACGGACTACAACAAATTCCTCGACGATCTGGCCAAGACGCGGAAGGTGGAGCTGGCGGAGATCAAGCAGAAGATGGCCGGCTGTGGGGCTCCGGGTGTGGCACAGGTTTCGGTGAGTCACAAATACTTCTCCCTTCCTTTCCTCCTTCTCATGTTCCTCTCTTCCGTGCAGGCTGGCAAGGCTGCGGCTGCCGTGGATCGGCTGACGGACACCAGCAAGTACACGGGCTCCCACAAGGAGCGCTTCGATGCCACCGGCAAGGGCAAGGGCATTGCCGGCAGACGCAATGTGGTCGATGGCTCCGGATACGTGAGTGGCTATCAGCACAAGGACACCTACGATGGAGCCCACTAAGGGACACACCCACCAATTCCCTTCCCTCCCTCCCGTCTCTGTCTCTAGTTTATCCCCTCAACTTTTAATTTCTAATTCCCAATGGTAGCTGCAACTATTTATCGTTTATCCCTTTTTGTATATAATATAAGTTGTGATAATTTAAGTGCTTACAAATTAAAATAAAAACTGACATGTTTTCGGCTTACTTTTGAGTTCTTTTGATTATAATTTTACCCTTTCCCCTCCCCTCTAAAAGCGGCCCAAAAAGAGTTCAAAGCGAGTTGAATGTCCAACCGAAAACCGAATTACATTTATATCTAAGAGATCCACAACGATCCACGGATTCATATATCTTCATATTTCTAGACTTAAGATTTGTAAGATGAAACTTTGTGAGAGAAATTCGAGAGTTATACCAAAGATAAGCCCATACATAACGACATATAGGAGTGGAAATGTGAGTATGTTCTGGGTTTTCACAAGATTTTTGCTTGAATAAATACAAATAAAATTTACCATAGAGCACCAGTAGCTTTGCTTTGCTGGGTTAGATCTGGAGAGTGCTCTAATTGCGATTGCAATTAAGCGAAGAGCTCATTGATGTATCATTGATGGATGCAAAGCCGACACGGCACGTAGGAATATCAGTGTGAAGCAGACTGAACGCTAGAGCGAATCTTTGGCTGGATGGTGGGGGAAATCGATACGGGTACGATCTGTCTGGGTTTGCATAATCCGCTAACCCAGAGCCAGTGGATAACTAGTGGCGCGGCTATTGATTGCAACGGGCCAAAGTCACTTCAAGATGTATCACATGTCAGCACCCACGACGAAGGGCTATAAAAGCGCAAAGCGATGGCCTCCCAGGCAGCAGTGCATCAGAGCTCTCACAGGGGGACCAGCACCAACACAGGATTACCCAGCCAAACAGGATGTCTTTTCGTGGCAAGAATGCGGTGGTGACTGGCGGAGCTGGCGGCATTGGTCTCCAGGTGTCGAAGCAGCTCCTGGCGGCTGGAGCAGGGGTCTGTAGCACGGGGACGGGGCCTGTTGCAGTCACTCCTTAACGTATGCTTTCCCCCCAGAAGGTGGCCATCATGGACATACAGGACAACCTGGAGGAGTTCGTCAAGCTGCGCGCCGCCCATCCCACGCAGAGCGTGATGATCGTCAAAATGGATGTGGCCAACAAGAAGGGCGTGGAGGCGACCTACGAGGAGATTGCCAAGACCTTCGGCAGCATCGACATTGTGGTGAACGTGGCGGGCATCTTCAACGACAAGGAGGTGCAGCGTACGCTCCTCGTGAACCTGGGCGGCATCATCAACTCGACGCTGAGTGCCCTGCCCTACATGAGCAAGGACAACGGCGGCAAGGGGGGCATTATCGTCAACATGAGCTCGGTGGTGGGCCTGGATCCGATGTTCATCATTCCCGTCTACGGAGCCACCAAGGCGGGCATCATCAACTTTACCCGCTGCCTGGCGGTAAGCTTGAAGCAATGCACTTCCATTATCCACTCCTGCTGATGGGTTTGGTTGCCTTCCAGAACGACAAGTACCACGCCCGATCTGGCATCAAGTTTGTCACCGTCTGTCCGGGTGCCACGATGACCGATATGTTCACCAACTTCACGGAGAAGATAATTTTCCCGGAGACCAGCGACGAGACGTACAGGATCCTCGACAGGCTGAACAAGCAGAGCGCCGCCGATGTGTCCCGCTGCATCCTGAGTGTGCTGGAGAAGGACAAGAACGGAGCGGTCTATGTCATCGAGGGCAAGCGCGTTTTCCCCATAGAGCTGAAGCCCCAATGGACGGGCAAGGAACAGGCACTCTGACTCTGACGCTCTACGAGTATAAATGTCATGCAAATTATCAAAATTAGTATTTAATAAACATGCATAGCACACTCGAACTATCACTAATCCTCCACCCCAATCCCCTAGTCGTCGCGCCAGGTGACCAGCACCTCATCCGTGCGGTAACGTTGAGTCACAAAGGACTCCTCGAAGGGCATGCGCGTGCCCGACTTGAACATCTCGGCGCCAGCGTGGGCGATCATCAGGCCGTTGTCAATGCAGTAGCGCTCGTCGGTGGCAAAGAGTTTGCCTCCACGCTCCTCGCACATGATCTCCATCATCTTCTGCAGACGCTCGTTGCAGCCCACGCCGCCCACAATGAGAACCTACAGAGGTAGAACGGAAGAATGTGAGATGATGCCACGATGAGCAGGAAGTTAGCTCACCTCATTGGATCCGCAATGTGCCATGGCACGCTCTGTGATCTCCACTAGCATGGCGAAGATTGTCTCCTGCAGCGAGAAGCAAAGATCAGCCGGCTTGGTCTCTGAAGACTCGGCTTCCTGGGTTCGCTTGCGTTTGTTGGGATTCTTGGTAGGATCGGCAAGCTCCTCGATGTGCGACAGAATACCGGAGAAGCTCACGTCCATGCCCTTGACCACGTACGGCAGCTTGATGTACTTTGATCCGTTCTTGGCCATCTGCTCGATGTTGTAGCCCGGACTGGGGTCGTTGGGCAGCTTGAGGATGCGCGCAAAGCGGTCCAGGCAGTTGCCCACGGCAATGTCTATGGTCTCGCCGAAAATGCGATACTTCTTGTTGGAGTAGGCAATCACCTGGGTGTTGCCGCCGCTCACATAGAGGATGATGGGGTTCTGGGCGCCCGTGATGTGGCGACCCATCTCGATGTGGCCAATGCAGTGGTTCACGCCCATCAGTGGCTTCTTCCACAGCAGCGCCAGCGTGCGGGCCACAATAGCCCCCACCAGCAGTGGCGGAGCCATGCCCGGCCCTTTGGTGTAGCAAACGACGTCCAGATCCGCGGGCTTTATATTTGCCTCCTTGAGGCTCTCCTCGACCAGTGTGAGAATCACTTCGCGATGATGCTTGGCCGTCGTATTGGGCAGGAAACCTTTTAACAAGCAAGAATATCAATGGGTTAAGACAGAGAGGGAGACACAAAAACCGGCAGCGGAAGCAACAGGAAATACCTTCTCCTGGGGGTGTGATGTAGGTTCGGCGCACATTGGCCAGCACCTCGCCATCGCGAATGATTCCCACGCCAATTTTATTGGCACTGCCTTCAATTCCCAGTGAGCAAACCATCGTTTATTTAAAACAATTTAACAAAAGAAATACGAATTTTCCACGGTCAGCTGGTACTGGTTTGATCATCGGTATGAAAGTGAATCGATGGGTATCGTACAAAGCACCAGCTGATTGGCCATCGATACGATATGTATCGATTGCAAGCAGACAACATTTCGATATAAAAACTACGCGAAAACAATTTATTTTGTTGAATTAAACAAATAAATGCTTTAAGTCGCAAATAGATATGGAATCAGCGCAGGCACCCACGCCGGCTGAGGAGAGAAGTGATGAGAAGGCGTCTGAGATGGAGCCTGGACAGGTAAACACACACCTGGAGGGAGAAACAACAAACGACAGTGGAGACGTGGAGGTGGAGCAGCATCTGGAATGCGATAAAATAGAGCAGAGTGCAGAAAGAGAGCCAACAAAGGCGATAGCGGATGCAGATAAACCAGTTGCGGCGAAGAATGAGGCCGAACTCTTTGAGCATTTAAAGACAGCGGTGCTGGAGCAAGTGCCCGTCCAGGATGAAGCCTCATCGGAGATCAGCATGCGCTTCAGGGACCTGCAAGTCCAGGACCAGGAACAGAATCACACAAAGTCTCCACAGAACGACATACTGTCCCATGTGCACTGTCTGGCCCAGTTGGAGGAGCAGCGGCGCAGCTACGAGCTGCAGCTGGAGCAGCTACGGACTGCCAATGCCCAGAAGGACAACATGATGACGCTGCTGCAGCGGGAGAACGCCATCCTGGACAAGGAGAAGCAGGCCTTTCGCAAGGAAATGGATATGGCCAACAAGGAGAAGGAGACGACAGTCATTAAGTTTGCCATGAAGGAGAAGCTACTCATCGATGCCAAAAAGGAGAAGGAGGCGGTGGACAAGCAGCTGGCGGACACCAAGAAGGAGGTGAAGAACGTCTCCACCCGCTTCATGGCCGTCCACGAGGAAAAGTCCCGAATGACGTACATCATAGACGAAAAGGTATTTACATTTGTTTGTGTCCTTATCCGAGGATATCCTGTGATCCTTTGCTGGTTTCCTTTTAGTGCAACGAAGTCAGGAAATATCAGCGCGAATGCGAAAAGTACAAAACGGAGATGGGCCACCTGGAGTCCAAGCTAAAGTATCACATGAACAAGCTGAACATCGAAACGGAGGCAAAGGCGGTACGTAGCGATCTCCTCGAGATTTTCTCTATTCCCTAATCACCTTTTCCGACTGCAGGCACTTGAGCGTAAGCTGGAGGAGGAGAGAAATGCACCGAACAAGCTGGAGGAGAAGGCCAATGGTTGGTCGAATCTTGAATAATTATGGAAACACTTCTCGAACGTTTGATTATCCACTTTTCAGAGAAGCTACGGATGGAATTTGAAGCAAATACAATACTCCTGAAGCACGAGATCACAAGCAAGACTGAGGCTCTCGAAAAAGTCACCAAAGAGCAGCAAAGGCAAAGTGAAGCCAACAAAGAGCTGCAGCAGCAACTGCAAGAACTCGCCCTGGAGGTACCATGAATAGAAAATGTCAAATTTTCGTCTTTATCATTATCTTCCTCTTCTGTCTATTAGCACAATAAACTTACGGAGGAGTTTAATCGGTTGCGAGAGCAGCACAATGGAGTGGAGGCGGCCTACAGCGATGAGTTGCTCAATTCGGCCAAGCTAAGGGGACAACTCGAGGAACTGCAACTGCTGCGCACCCAGAACACAATGTAAGGAAGCGACTGTGGAAGTATTTCCCATAGATTCACAAATCTTTTTTTATAGCAACGAAGAAAAGCTATCGGAACAGCAGGCGCGAGTGCAGCAACTGGAACTGCAGGCACAGGAAAACGAAGCAGACTTGGAGCAGCTGAAAGTCAAGAAACAGGAATTGCTCACAATCAACAAGGAGATGAGCGAGCTGATCGTGTGCCTGCAGAACGACATTTGTCTGGCGGAATCAAAGGTGAGCCGAACAAAATAAAAAAATGAAAAAATTTACTGCAAAAAATGTACCTGCCCCGAGTGAGGCTCGAACTCACGACCTTAAGATTATGAGACTTACGCGCTGCCAACTGCGCCATCGAGGCCTTGTATTTATGTGCGACCAAAGCACACTACACGTCTCGAGAACGAGGATCCATCAGTTCTAATTATTATGCTTTTATTTTCGGCAGGCTCAGGGTTTCGAGGCGGAGAACAAGCTGATGAAGCAGGAGAAACTCGGCTACGACTGCAGATACGGGGAACTGGAGCAGCAGCTGAGTTCCGAGGCGGCGGAGAAGAACGAGGAGAGGCTGCTGCTGGCCAAACATCTCTCCGAGAAGACAAAGCTGTACGAGCTGACGAAGGAGAAGCTGGACAATGTCCAGGGCGACTTCGAGGCCACCCAGCACAAGCATGCCACCGTGGTCAAAGAGCTCCAGAGAGAGCTGCAAAAGTACAAAAAGGGAATTGCCGAACCCAAGGGTGCAATCAGCTACTGCAGCAACTGCCAGCAGGCCCTGAACGGGGGCTATCCTCAGCATACGGAGCATCAGCGCACCCACAGCCGCACCAGCAGCCATGGAAGCGTGCACAGCGGCAGCCGGCGGGCCAGCGAATCCTCAGAGTCCGAGACGGTGGCCAGCAGTGCGACGGCAGTGCCACCGCCGCCTGGCACGCAACAGGTGGACCTGCAGGCGGTGCCGTCCAAGAAGGTTCTCGTCGAGCGCATTCTGCGGCTGCAGCAGGCGACAGCGAGGCAAACGGAACGGATCGAGTTCCTGGAGAACCACACGGCTGCCCTGGTGTCCGAGGTGCAGAAAAAGTCAAAAGTGGTCCAGCACTACATGCTCAGGGACCAGAGCGCGGGCGCCCTCACCTCCTCGAAGAGCGACCAAAACAAGAGCGAACTCGTGAAGTACGGCAACGGCATCATGGCGGCCATCTACGGCGGCTCCAAGGGCAGCGAGAGCAAGGGCATGTCCCTGGAGCTGTCGCTGGAGATTAACAAGAAGCTGCAGACCGTGCTGGAGGACACGCTGCTGAAGAACATCACGCTGAAGGAGAACCTCGACATGCTGGGCCTCGAGGTGGACAATCTGACGCGCAAGCTGCGCTCCCTGGAGGCCTCCAAATGATCCAAGTCCAAGCTCATCCATTCCAGAGTCTAATCCATGTAAATACAGATTCATTTGTAAACAAATTCTTCGTTGCTCTTAAGGTAAATTGTATATTAAAAGTATTTAATATTTTAATAACAGTGCACAGTCGGTCCGGTCCGGCTCGAGGTTCCTTTTCACAGCAGGCCTTCGTAGAGCTTGGAGCTGACTGGCTTGGGCTGGCCCAGATCCATGCTGACCTGCAGAGTGGGCTGCTCCCCCGGCTGTGCCATGCGCGCCTGCTTGTTGTGGGTCTTTTTGAAGTGGACTTTCATGAATGGATTGGCCTCGCCCGTCTCCTCCCTCACGTACTCGCGCAGCAGCGGCGGCAGATCGATCTTTGTGGGCAGCAGCACTGGGGCCACCTTCTTTTGGTTGCTGAGGAACTTTGCCTCCTCCGACTGCGGCACCAGCTCGTAGTCAGCCTTGTAGCTGGTGCTGTAGATCTCCACGGGCTTCGGCTGGGTGACGCCGCGCCAGGTCTTCTCCACGGTCACGCGCACCTTGCGGATCTGGTCCGGCTGCTCGTCCACCGCCTGCACCTGGAGGATCCTCATGTAGCAGGGCTCCGGGTAGCGCTGGAACATGTTACGTATGACCATGCGGCCGACTCCCCAGTTCGGGAGGTTGGACACCAGCTCCCACAGCGTGTTGCCCTTAAAGTCTGTGGTGCGGCCAATGTACTTGATTACTTTCTGTGCCATTTTAAGTTATACTTATAAAGTTTTTAAAAATTGTGTATGAAAAGTATCAAAAGTTAAGACAGACCCTCGGAAATATACCATTTCATTTTCAAAATATACTATATATACCGTAAGTCTTCAATAATTTTCCTCGATTTTTATGTTCTATTTGATATTACTAGTTAGTTAGGAGTCTCCGCGCTTAAACTATAATTTTATCCGATTTATCAATCGATTCTCCACAAGATTGGCTAGTTTTCACGACTTCCTTTTGTTGGGATGTTTTCAAATTAAGTTTAAAACTAAAAAGGTCAACCTCAAATAATAGCAACGTGAGTGGGAATGGATTGTGAATGGAGTTAAATGGTCACACTGACGGCACTCACAGGAAAGCGCGGACACAAACAGCTGAGCTGCTCTGTTAAGTTAACAGCTTTTGCGTCAGGCACAGTTTTTTATATCGGTATCGATAGTCACGTGCCTTACGCGCAAAAAGATCAAAACAAGGTTAATAAAGTGAAATAAAAGTGTAATAAAGTGTGTGAAAAGCAGACATAACTCACAGCCACGTAAGTCTGACTATAATAGTTTATTAAATAGATAAATAAGGGGTTGCGTTACACAAGAAACATTCACTGGGAGTACACATTGCGCGTGTGCTCGTCCCCTGACGCCGTGTGGCCCACGCCACTGGTGTCAATGTGCTCATCGTACGATTCCTCTGCAAGCTCGTGCCCCTCATGATGATGGTCCACCTGATTCGTGCTCTCGTGCAGACCAATGGTGGCATGCTGCGCCGCCTTGGAGGCATTCACCTGAGCTGCAGCCGCCGAAGAGGCTGCCTTGAGGGCCGACTCTTTGGTGGCAGCGTAATCGACGCGCGCCTGCTGCAGCTGCTCCTCCACTTGCTCCAGCCGGTTCTTGGCCTGGCCCACCATCGTGGACTGTGAGGCCAGCTGGTTGGACACCTCGCTGGCTGTCTGTTCGGCCTGTTCGGCCACGGACTTTGCATTGTTTACGGCCGCCGTGAGGACGGAGATGTGATGATGGGCGGCCTGCGCCGTCTGCTGGGCCAGCCTTGAGGAGATCTTGGCAGCCTTCAGCTGCTCCAGCTCGCGGGAGAGCGCACGCTGGGCCTCGGCCGCCTGCTGCTCCAGCTCCTGCAGCACCACTTCCTTCCCCGCAAGCGCGGCCTGGGCCGTGGCCGATGCCTGGGACGCCGCCTGGGCAAGCGTGTTCTGAGCAATGTATGCCGCCTGCTTGGCCGCCGCATGCTGGTTGGACACGGCACTGTGCGCCTGATCGGCCGATCCCTGGGCTATGGAGCGCAGGCCGCTGCCAATGCTGTAGCCATGATTCCCCTTGCTGCTGCTGCTGCTGCTGCTGCTCCCCGACTGGCTGTAGTAGCTCTTGGGGCTGCTGTGCTGTGGCTTCTCTGGCTCTGGGGGCTCCACTGCCGGATGCAGGGACTCATAGTATCCATTCTGATGGTGCTGCGGCGGCAACGGCGGCGGCTGCTGGGGCCTATAGTGGTAGCCGTTCCTCTTGTGCAGGCGCCCCAAGGCCTCGGCAAAGAGCACCACTGGAGGGAGGGAGTAGGGAATATTTATCCACTTGGTAATCCTCTGGGATTCCTTGACTCCATTGCTTACCTATCACCATCTGGCAGAGCTGGAACCGTAATCCTTTGACGTACATCTCCCTAACGCTGCTCGGACTGCATTGAACCTCCTCCCCGTGGGCAATCTTTCATTTATAACTCGATTGGGGTCCAGCGATGCAGAAACATTCAAGTTGCGGAAAGTCGGTTGCGGTTTTTAAATTTAACTGATGTTCGTAGCTCCACACACACTCACTCTCTCTCTCTCTCTCTCTCTCTCTCTCTATCTGAGTGCCCCTTTTTGAGGAAGCGCCGCGACCACATTTGCTGGTCCAAGATTCGGTGGCGTCTTTTAATGGTTCGCGTACACGCTGGCTTCTCCCACTGCACTGCCCGTGAACACAGTGTAGTGGCAGCCGTCCGGCTGTAAAGTTGTTTTCTTAATGCTTTAAATTTAATTTGCATTTTATGGACTGCACTCGTTTGTAATTGAACTTAAAGTCGCTCTTATGACGGAGCTTTATGTGCTCTTCGGAGCTGTGATTTCGGGGGATTACGCCTGGAACTAGCCGTCTATGTATGCAGATTAAGTGGATGATGGCGAAATATTGATTATTTATGAAAATGGGGAAGTCTGGGGAAATTTCGATTAACTTTGCATAATGAAATTTAATTGGGAAAAATGATGGGAGGGATCCAAAATGAACTGGAAAATGGAGTATATCCACAAAATATCAGAGATAAAGGAAAATGTAGCACTTTGGATGGAGAAGTATCGAGAAAATCCCACCTAAGATCCCACCTAAGCAAGAAAGTGGAAATATTGTGTGACTCCTACTCAAGCCACTTTTGAGAGAATGTTTCTCCGAACAAAACTACCTCAATCTTCAATGAAATTCTCATTTAAGTTAATGTTGATAAATTACTTCTGCCAGAAATCACTTTGGCTTCGACCTTTGGCATTCGATGGCCGAATATCTTCACACCCCAATCTTCAATCTTCCAATATTGACTCCAAAACTTAAGTTCTTCATTAAAGTCTCAGCACATTGACAAGTTCCTCGATGGACGATTATTTTGTTCATAAATTATTTTATTTAAATACATAATTATTAATTTATTACAAATATAAAAATAAATTAATCACTACAAGCAATAACTATTTTACAAGACAAAATCGGAACTCGAATGCACAGCGATCCGTGGACACAAAGTGCACAAAATATCAACAAAAGAGGAGGCAAAAGTGCCTCCAAAAGAGCAACAATTACGGGTAGCCGTGGGCGGACGGTAGATGATGGCGGATGATGCCTACTCTCGACTCGCGCACAACAAATAACAAAAGAAAACGAGCTCGTAATAGATGAGAGTAGAAAGGAGTGTCCCAAAATAAATACGATGACAAATGCCACAAAAGATGGTGGCAAATGGTAGGCTACGGAGAGTGTTGCATAAGTGGCTGATGGACGGCTGGACGGCTGGACGGATGGCTGATCAAAAATGGAAAACAAACTCATCGGAGGCATCATCTATGGCATGCTCTTCGATGCTGGTGGTGGCCGCATGGTAGGCCGTTAACGATGGAACCTCCTCGGGAGCAGCCGCTAATCATTGGTAGCTCTGGGTGATCTGCTGGATCCAGGGAAGGTACGAAGAGACCTTCACATAGACCCCGGGAACGTTCACCTGGCCGCAGCCAATGCCCCAGGAGACGACACCGACGACATTCCAGACTCCGTTGCGCTCGCAGACCAAGGGACCGCCGCCATCGCCCTTGCAGGCATCCTTGCCCTCCTCGCCGCCGGCGCACACGAATCCGGGATTCAGTTTGTAGCTGTAGCCCAGGCGGGTGTTCCTCAGCTGAGCCTCGCACTGGTGGTGCGAGAGGATGGGCACGTCGACCTCCTTGAGGATGTTCTGGTACTTTCCGTGCTCGCCGAAGGCGTCCTTGCCCCAGCCAGTGGTCCAGCAGCGGGCGCCGGTGAAGTCGGAGTACTTGTCGGGCAGGCAGGCGGGGCTGATGTGCGGGTTCTTGGTGAAGTCCACGGGCTGGTCGAGCTTCAGGATGGCCAGATCGTTGTCCAGGGTGCCGGCATAGTACTCGGGATGGATGTGCACGGAGACGACATCGCGCTCAATGTAGGGGAAGAACTCCACGTCGTGATTGACATCCCATTCGCCCAGGCGGACACGAAGATCGAAGCCATTTTGACTGCGGGATGGACAGATAACAAAGTAATTATAGAGATGATCGGCAGGGGCTTTGATGGAGTGTTGGCACTTACGATTTAATGCAATGAGCAGCGGAGATGATGTGCTGGGCATCGATGAGGGTGCCGCCGCAGGCGTAGATCGACTCCTTGGGGTCCTTCTTCAGGATGGCCACGTGCCAGGGATACTCGCCGAACTCGCTGTCGCCATCGACGTAGACGGGGTTCTTGATGCGGCCCGTGATGCCAGCGGCATTCCTCACACCACAGCGACCCAACTGCTGCTGGGGCGGTGCCTGGGGACGCACTGGACGACGGCAGCACACCTCATTCGCGCGGCAAGTCTTCTCCACGGGACGATTGCCATAGTAAGCGCGCTGCAAGTGGAGAGTGGGAGAGAGGGAGTTCGATTAGCATGACATTTGGATGGCTTTTGGGAATGGTTTAGACTGAGACTTTCTGCAAGATCAACACTTGGTTACCTCCTCCTCGGCTGTACTCTCCCACACACTACGACGCTTCCTCGACTGCTCAACGCTCCTCCTCCTGCGGTCCCTTGGAAAGGAGACATAATCACTGCCAAGTGCCGCGCCTGGGGCAGGCGTGGGAATGTTGTACAGGGGTCCCAGGTGCAGTTGTTTGCCCCGTCTCGTGGCTGATGGCTCAGCGCTCACATTGACACTCCTCTCCACATGCTGGGAGTACTCCCCGTAGCCGCCAAAGCCACTCGAGCCAAAGTCCGGGCTGGAGCCGGGATACACAGAGTTGTAGGAGCTCTCGTAGGCAGATGGAGGAGACTCGTGCTGGTAGCTGGGCGCTGAGGGGCCGCTGTGGTACTCGAAGATCGGAGTACTCGGCACCATTTCGACACTGAAGTGTGGCCCCGGCGATCCACTGTATCCCCCATAGTGATGATGATCGTAATCGTGGAAATCGTGATGATCGTGGTGCTCATGGTGATCGTAGTCGTGGTGCTCGTAGCCGCTGAAGTGATCGTGGTGATGGTAGTGTGTGCTGTGCACCTCGTTGGGCTTTCGCTTGAAGAAGTCGCCCACTTTCTGGATGAGATTCGCATTGGGAGTGACATGGAGGTTGACCAGCGGCTTCACCACCTTCTCCCCGTAGTCCGTCTTGGCCACCTGCACGGACACCAGCGGATTGACATTCACCAGACCCAGATTGAGGCCATTCGGGCCCAGGGAGCCAAAGTTGGGATTCTGCGCGGGATACTGATCGCCCAGGACATTCACCGGATAGCCGCCGTATGCCCCACTGGGGTAGGGCAGGCCAAAGGACACGCCGTAGGTGGGCAGAACTTTCCGTTGGATCAGCTCGATGGCCTGCAGGGCGGGCAGGGCCAAGGGAGATTGCCCGAGCGGTAGCCCCTGGCGCTGAGAGGGAGGAGACACGAACGGGATCAGTACGCGGACTCCGAATGCAGGATGCAGGATGCAGGATGCAGTCGTGCCACCTTGGTACCCCTTGTTGTTGATAGTTGTTTTGGCTGTGCTTTTGGTTAGGGCTGGTTTTAGTCGACGAACGAGGTTTAGTTGTACATTGAAGGAGCGTTGGAGGAGCGTTGATCGGTTGATTGATTGTTTGATTGATTGATGGGTGCAGTTGGTAGATTGATTGATTGATTTGGATGCGTGGTTGTGTGTGGTAGAGGAGGATTTGCTATTTGCTAAAACTCGATTCGATTAGTCATTAACTATGTGTGATTTTGCATTAGTCGGGCCACTAGCTAAACATTCTTAAAGGGTTCTTAAACGGTTTAAGGCACCAAGGGTTTAAAGGCAGACACTTACCCCTTGAGCATCGAGCGACAGATCGCTGTTGTCATCCTGGTCCTTCTGGTCATCGGAGATGGCCTGCCGGCGAGTGCGTTTCTTCTCATCCTTGTCCTGCTTCTCGTCCTTCTTGGTGTCTGCCTTGGCGGTGGCATTGCCAGCGGGCGCATCCTCGCTGAGTGCCTCGATGTCCTTGCCCAGATTGCGGGGATCGATGGGCAGAATCAGATCCTCTTTGCGGCCAATGCGATCGGCAGCGGGGCACTGGTTGAACGGAACGCACTGGCAGTCGACGATCTGCTGGCGGGAGGTGTCATAGCCACCCTGCCCTTGTCCCTGGTACTGTCCTTGTCCCTGTCCCTGGTATCCACCGGAGATGCCATTGTAATTGTTCGAGGCTCCTGTCTGCAGTTCCTTCTTGTAGTAGTCGGGGTTCTGGCTGTGGTAGCTGGAGCTGGGCGACGATCCAAAGCCGTTCTGGCCGAAGCCTCCCGAGTTGCCGCCGAAGCTGCTCAATCCCGAGTTGGGTTTGTAGATGTCACCGGAGAGACCTGGCTTCTGGGAGAGTCCACTGAAACCGCTCTGCGCGCCCTGGGACAGGAGTCCGCCCTGGGAGGCGCCATTGAAGCCAGCGTTGAAGGCATTCGACTGGGAGTAGGAGCCGGAGGAGGAGGCCTGGGGCGTGTACGTGGCCGAGGACTGGGCCAGGGCACTGAAGTCCGTGTTGATCGTCTGGCCGGAGCTGATGGGGATGGGAACGCTGGGTACCTTGACTCCCTCCGTGCCCTCGACGTGGTGGTAGTGGTGGTGCACGTGTTGCTGGAGACCCGCATCGATGGGAGCCCCAACGACGACCTTGGTGCTGGAGGAAGTGGCTGCCGAAGAGGAGGAGGAGGACTGCTGCGAGGAGTAGAAGCCGTTCAGGGAGGAGGGTGAGCCCTGGATGCCACCCTCGGGGTTCTCATAGTTGTAGGGTGGCAGACCGTTCGAGTTTGAGTTGAGGTTCGAGGAGGGACCATTGTAGACGGGGCCACCATTGGGACCACCTTGATAGATGGGTCCTGGTGGCTTGCTGTCGTAGATCAGGGCTCCGGGTGGGGGCTTCGTGTAGGTGATTCCATCCAGAGAACCATCGATGGCCGACGGAGGAGGATGCTCCAGGTATTGGCCTCCGAACTGGCCGCCTGGTCCGCTGGGTCTGTAGGGTCCGGACATGGGTTTGTAGGGTCCCTCGTAGCCGACCTTGCGCGGTGGTCCGAAGGAGTTGAGGGAACTGGGAGGAGGACCCATGGGCGGACGTCCACCAAAGTATCCCGGAGGAGGCATTGGCTTGGCTGGCCCATAGGGACCGCCGCTGTAGCCAGACGGCGGAGGTGGACCCTGGGCGTAGATGGTGGAGTAGAATGGACGCTTCTCCTCGATCTCGCAGCTCATTAGACCCAGTCCGCAGAGCTTGTCGCGGATGAGGTTACGCGCCTGCATGTCGTTGCCCTGCTGCAGGGCCTGGTCGATGTTGCCATCGGCATAGACGGCGTCGTACTCCCCCAGGTTGCGTCCCTCCCGGCGGGAGTTGAGCAGCTGCTCGATGATCGTGTCGATCTCCGAGGTGCTGTTGCTCTGGATGGACTCGTGCACCAGGTAGCGGCCCTGCACCTCCGTCTCTGACCCTCCAGCGGCGTCTTTTGTGTCCACGGAGCGTCTGCTGGGCATGGCAGACTCCATGGGCGCCCACTCGTTGCCCCAATCGGCGGCCAGTGTGGCGGTGGCCAGCAGCAGAACTGCCATCAGACCCTCTCGCATTCTCATTGTGTGTGGAGGAGGAGTGTCTGGAAGTGAAATAAAATTGATTTATGAGTCGGGGATTACATAACCTGAAGCCCGAGCGGCGGCGTCTCTTGACACCATTACCCCAAGTCATTGTCCCAGTTTACATTTCTCCACCACTCCACCCTTCCTTCCCATCACTCACGGCTGCTGAAGCAATCCCCAAACGAAACCGAAAAACCAACAACCAAAAACCGGTTCGTATCTTGAAATCTTCGTATGAGTCAGTGGCGGAGGCAGAGTCGTATAAGACTTGGACTTTTACTTTCGTTGGAGGTCGCAGACCGTTGTTACTTTTTTTTCGAAATGGTAGAAAGAGACAGCCGCCGCCTCGCCACACTCTCTGCCTCTCTTTCTGTGTAATTTATGAGGTAATTTTCCTTGCGGCTCTGACTCCGGACAATCGCTCAAGCTCCAGGCTGATCTCTGCCTTGACAGCCGCTTTCCGGTTCGTTTATTTCTGTACATTTTTGTTTCACTTTTCTTTTGCTTTGCGACTTTTGCACTGCACTCTTATGTCACTGTTGGTGGGTCGCCAGACGATGCGGAGTCGAGTCTTGAGCGATCTTTCATTATGTAAATGGATCTTTCGGGTGTGATCTTCGATGGGGGCGGAAGTCGTGTGCAGCGTTGCATTGCAATGGGTTTCGGATCTTGAATGCTAAATGTTGCTGCTGCAATTCAGGGTGTGTGTTTTTCCTGTGTGTCTCAATCTGTCTGCCCAACTCTGGGAGGTTTTTCTTTTTTCGCAGTGAAAGTTTCGCTTTTCCGATTGACTTTAATGACGGTTCGCTGTGTGTCTGTGTGTGGGTTTTTCTGGGCATTACAATAGTGGAACGGAATTGATGGATCTGATGGATCCCTTTTTATATTCCAATCTCTGCGTTCACTTTGTGGATGTGTTCACTGGGGAGTATTTTGTCACTTTTGATCACTCACCTTTTGTCTGTTTTCAATTATAAATAATAATCCACTGGGGGGCAATGCGTGTTTCCCTTCTCTCGATACTCCTTTATGTAGTTTATTTATTGATTGTCTCTGTTATCCTTTCACTTCACTTTCTGCACTTTCTGCACTTCTCCTTTGTGCTGCTCGTTCGTCGGCAAGTCGTTCACTGATTTCGCTTTCGTCGGCGGCGCACATTTTATACAAAACGCCGCACGCAGGCGCAACGGCGTCTCGCTCTTCTCTCTTGCTTCCCCCTTGCTCTCGCAGTTTGCGAATCGGGGGCCCAAAACAAAAGAGCGACAAAGCGGCGACTGCGACAATGTTTGGCAACCCATACCCCTCTTCGTCTCACTCCCTCTCTGTGTCTGTGTGTGTGTCTCTCTCTTTTTCTACAGTTTTATTTTTTTTTGGGGTAATCATTATTTGGTTGGGTTTTTCTTCGATTCTTCGATTCTGCTGAAGACTGGAGGTCACTTAGCGTTGGGGTCTAAGCGGAAAACATGCAAAGAATAAGTTTATTGTGAGCATTATAGTTGGGCTAATCCCAATGGAACGCAGAGATGTTTCATTTGGAGTACCCTCAATTAGCAAATACTGCAGGAGTTACGTTTAAAGGACTATCAGGTTAAGCCTTCCCTTTGGAATAAGTACAGTCTGGGAATTGGCTTGAAGTTACATAGATTCCTGACAGAGGAACTTCTTTAAATGTGTATTAGTTGCCCCGCAAACATTATCTCATATCCCATGTTTCCCCTCGACTAACAAGAGATCACTCGCCATCACTCTCTGTTTCAACTACTGAAAATGAAAATCTTCCATAAAACTGTCATCCCCCGATGAAGCAATACCCCTGGGGAGTGAATATGTTAAAATTGTGTGTAAATCTCACATAAAGTCCAAATTAGATCGCTCTGGTTGTTATTTTTATTTTTATTATTTTTTATGATGATTTTTCATGTGGGATTTCGACCAAAAAACTTCCCGGAAAGGCACTGAACAACACAGTTTGAGAAACGCCAGAGAGAAAGACAAAGAGAGAGAGAGAGAGAGAGAGAAAAACAGAGCGAAAGATTATGCAATTCTGCAATTATGAATTGGGTCAGAGAGGCGACTGAGGCAAGGCACGAATGAAAGGGGTTAAAGGGGTCGGTCGGGTTTCTCTCGTTGGGAATTGGGCATTGCCTCAAACCGGATCTTTTGGCATACATTCGTCTCCGACACGTCTCCGGTATCATCCCGTCCCTCCGATCCGCTCTCTGCTCTGCTCTGCTCTGCTGAACCGACGGATGGACAGTCATCGGGTGGTTCAGTCTCGTTTTTGAACCATGGTCAATGCAGACGTCATCGGAGTCTCCCTCGCTACTCCTGCCTGTCGGCTACTCATTGTGAATCAAAAGTGCTTTGCGGAATTACCCGAAGTTCATACAAATTAGAGACATTCCCCCGGCGATGATCACGTTCGCGTGCCGAACCCCATACTGACTGACGCTGATCTTCATTGGGTTCGCGCCAGCCAAGCCATTTGTTGTGTGTGGTCAGTGCTGTGCTGTGTGTGCCATGCGTGGCTCTCCTCTCATTGTGATTCAGTGGCTCCACTCCACTCCACTCCACACCACTCTGCTGTGTGTTTGACCTTGGCTGGGGCTGGCCAACAACCGACTCGACAAACATTTATCTACTCCCCAGCGTATCCCCGAGCGCCACTTAAGTGTCGTTTTATGTTAAACATTCCAAGAAAGTTGATAATGGGCCACAGATCGAATGAACGAACATTATGCTAATCGCTTTGGGTTACTCTCGACCGATGTACAATGTGGGGATCGTGGAGTTTTTATCAATCAGCTGCTTGGCTCGGCGTAGTCTTTGGCCATCGGGTTTTTTATGAGTCACTCGGACAGCAGCAGCAGCAGCAATCTGTGTCGTTGGGTCGCTGGCGTGTTGTTTGTTTGAAGGAGGTGCATCGAACCTGATTCGAATTCGCATTCGTACTCGTACTCGTATTACTCTGTGAGAAGGGGTGCTACGGATTGGCAGTATAATACTTATGGGATGGTGGAGTCTTACTGGATAATCGTAATTTATTTCCTAATGTTTCCTAATCTTATTTTCTAGGATTTCCATGGCTCCTCCCTTGGCTCATCATCTGCGTATTTTCACCTTTAGTTTATTTCTAAGGTAAGCACTTTGAAGGTATCTTTATATTCGGTTTGCTACAGGCCCCAAAACTATTGCTTTCCTGTTCAAAATAATTCGAGAGTTAGCTGGAAACTTGGAAGCATTTTGCTATTGGTAAATCCCAGTGTCCGAGTGCCTGGCAATCGGTTTGAACTTGAACTTAGGCCTCGTGCGGCAGCTACTCGTGTGACAGCTAATGCCACACAACATGGAGATGGAGTGTCAAACACAGAGAGGAGACAGACAGGAGAGGACTGTGTGTAATCCGCAAAGATGTTGATGGGGTTACAGGTTCAGGGGCAGCCAGGCAGCCAGGCAATGGCAATTGTTCGTGAATTTCCTATCTTTCTTGTGGCTATTACCACATGGCTGGCCAACTTGTTAACTGTTTGCCCAAATAGATTCGAGTGGGGCTTGTGTTTGCTCCAAATAGTCATCGCCTGTCGCCTGGTAATGTGTCTCCTGCCTTTGCATACTCGTAGCCGCAGTTCAAGTCCATAAGTGTCGAGTCTCCAAGCCCAAAAAAAGAGCTCTGATAGAAGCCGAAGGTCGGCGTGTGCCTAGCTCCCGATTTGTGTCAATTGCTCAACAAATTCGAGCATTGAATGTTGCCCATTGAGTGGTGTCTCCCCACGCCCACGCACACGGCTCTCCGCACATTTGGCAATCGCCTAAGCCAGACTCTGGTCTGAGTGGATATTTGTGGCAGCTGCAGCTGCATCTGTGCCATGGATTAACCCAAAGCTCGCAAAATGCAAAATGCAAAATGCTGGGGAAAATCCCCAGGAAAACCATAAGTAACTCTTTTTCTTTTGGGTCTGTCCACCATTCAACTTGGGTCTCCAGCCAATTCTCGACTTGTTTGCCGGCTGCTGCTTTGGCTTTGGTTTTGGCTTTATGGCTGTTGTTGTTGCCTTAGGCCTTGGGGAAACCCCAACTGAAGTCGGCTTACATAACAATGCAACAGGCAGCCACTGCCACAGTCGCGTGCGGTGCATTGAGCCGGTCTGCCCTCCCTTCCTCTCTCCCTCTGGGGGCTTATGATTCACTTTGGAACTGATTTGATTGGATTTGTTGCTTCGGTTCGGCTTTGGCTTTTTGATTTGTTTTGTTTTGCTCGCTTAGCACACGAGTGAGGGAGTAAATGCAGGCATCTGGCATTTTGATGGGGGACTGCCTTTTGTTTTCATCAAGAGTACACTCTACTTCGGAAGAAGGTCTGAGTTTAAGAAGGATTATTCCTTACTATTTCATATTACATCTTCTATCCATCATGGCAAAGGAATCATGCAGCTCCATCTGCGTTGAAAGAGTATCCAAAACTGCGCCTAAATCTCCAGCTCTTGCTTTCCTTTCTGGTTTATTGGCTTTCGTGTTGTTGGTTTGTGCGAAATTACCTGTAATAAATTCGATGCGTATGGCTAAATCGAATCATTTGTTGTAGCCAATGTAATTATCATAGTTGGCCAAACCCTCAAGGTCGTTCACCCACCCACACACACACACAGAAACAGAAACAGACCCACATTGTGTGATCAGCATACAAATAAGGAGGGAGGAGTGATTCATGTCTCCAGCAGACATCGCTCCCTCTCTCTGTCTCTCTCTCTCTCTCTCTTTTGTTGCATAATGCTTTAAATTATTTCACCCGCATCTAATGGTGGCTTTTGTTGCTTTCGTTGCCGCCCTCTCACCGCACACACTCCCCTTTCCCGGGCAGCCCAGTCCGTGGCTCATTTTACTTTGCTCATTGTCTTCATCTCTCTCTCTCTCTCTCTCTCAGCCAAATAAATTCATGTCTGCGGCATTTGTAAATTAATTTCAAGCAGAGATTCGAGATCTCCAGGGTGGAGGGAGGTAGAGTTCCGTTTTCCCCCTCCCCGAGTTGTGGGGAAAGTTTGCCCTGCTTTGCCCAATGATAATTCATCTCTCTGGTTGCGGGATACGGATAGGTACATCAAATATTTATTCATTCTGCCTAAAGTTCTTGGAAAAAGTTCTTGGCCTTCTTCCTATGCTAAGTGCCTTTGCCTTTTGATATCCCCAATCCAACATTCAGAGAACGAAATGCTTACTTCTCGGCGTAGTACGTCCTCTCTGGCGCTTATTAAATTCACTTTGATTCGAGTCTAGGCGAGGCGAGGCGAGGCGAAGGACTCCCAGCACCCCTGTGGCGGGGGGACTGGCTAGAAGAATGGGATGACAGCATAACGATGCATTCAAGTGGCGTTTTTGATAAACAAACAAACCGATTACACAGCGGTCGAGAAACCCAGCCACCCAGCCACCGCACCGCACCACCCACTGTGCCAATTGGCGGTGCTTCCAATCAGAGTCCCCAGAGCCAGGCCAGAGCCACGGCCAGGGCCATGGACAAATGCATTGAACCCTGAAGGAAGGAGACTGACTGACTACGCGGAGAATAGAGTGATGAGAGGCATGGAACATTGTCCACTTTTGGGGTGGTCTTCAGCTTTAGTGGGAGACCGCCTAAAAGGCTGCTTTGCCCACAGACGACGATGCCAATGATGACGATGATGAGGCTGCTGGGGAAACTGCGCCTCAAAGTTGCATCATTGCGGCCTGGCCTGGCCTGGTGCCTGGGATTACTCTTCAGCTGGCTGCAAGTGACAGCCATTGAAAATGTCTGCCCCAATTGGGAATGCGTAGACAATGGCATGGGCAACTAATCGATAGTCGGATTGATACTTTGACCTTAATGCGGGATTGAAAGCGCAACCGCACACTTCCTTATGTAATTGGAGAACTCACAACTATCCTTGGTCCTGCATGCTGCATCCCTCCATCATCTTTGGACTCCATGGACTGCTTTTTGTGGTTCATTCACATGAGCCCAAAGGACTTGCATAATCTCGAGAGCTTCGATCTGGTGTCGCTGGCTTGTTCGGTGCGTCTAACCTTTGGCCTTTGCTCTCAAGCCATGATTGAAGGTTTTCAGTTTCAATACGGGGAAGAGATATATGCCCTCGCATGCGTATCTGTTTATCCCACCTGGTAACCGTCGAATGGCTTCCAATTGTTGCTTGTTTTTGTGCCATTCGCTGGGAGGGAAGAGAGGAGAGAGAGACAATAACGCACTCAACTCTACTCTGTATGGATACTGGGTTAAGGGCCTCTCAATCAATGCTCGCCTCAAGCTTGTTCTCGTAGAAAACACTCTGGGCTTTCGGCTACTGACCCGAGGTCATCATTCCTGGGGGAATGTTCTGGCAGCATGGCCCCTGGAATAATGCCGAGACATTTGCGTATGTCACGTCACTCCACGCCCATTCTGCCATCCTGCCATCCTGCCATCCGGCTACAAGCTCAACCAGAAAATGTGTACACAAAATATAGAATTCGAAATCTATTTCGTGCGTTTGTGGATGTTCGGAATCATCATCATCCTCGGGTGACGTCAGTGGCACTCAATCAGAAGTGCAGCATAGCGCGAAATTTAATTGGCAGTCGACTGGCTGTCAGCTCTATCTCTTTATTTGTCTCTCTGTGTGGATTAGCCACCGAAAAGGATGAGCAGTGGTGGCTCACCACCTCCTGTCACTCTCCTCAAACAATGCAGTTGCGGGCTTTTGGAATTTGTTTTATTTGATTTTATTTGTGTTGTGCGTTGCGAGAGCGTTGAATCCAATGTTTGGGCGGTGCCTCGGTGCTTAGAGAGAGTCGTGCTGCGGTCTTCAGGGTTCACGGTTCACGGTTCACGGTTCAGGGCTTACTTTCTGTAGAGCGAGTTGGTGGCTCCGTAGAATGGATAACTCCAGGTGGGGGGATAGTGCAGAGTGGTCCGCAGAGCGGGTGCCAGGAGCGGCGTGAGTCGCGGCGCCGTGGCATGGACAATGGTGGAGCTCTGGTGGGAGACGGCGGTGGGCACATGCTCCAGCAGATTGCCCACTCGGGCGACAATGGGCTCTTGGTGCAGCGTCAGCATCGGATGATAGACGTGGAGCTCGGCCTGCCCCAAAGCCACGAGCCAGAGGAGTGCAGCAACTCGCACGGAGAGACTCTGAAAGAGGGAGAGGCCAATGAGAGGCAGAGTCTAGTCAGAGGTTGCAACTCTTACCAATTGCTTTGCTGATTGCATCTCAATGTCTGGGCAGCGACTGTTGGCTGCAAGTGAGGATGGAGCCACTTTTATAGTCCAGCGAAGACCAGAGACCAAAGCATTCTAATTGAGTGGCGTGGCCCTTCTAGCCCTTGAGCGAGGCTCAAGTTCCGCCTCTCCCTAATCCTCCAGAGATCGCAGATCGCAGATCGCAGATCACACATCACAGAGATAGCTGATTGCACAGCCAAAGCTGTGGCATGTTTATCGTTTGTCGTGGGCTTGGAGCCGTGTTTTCTTTATTGATTTCCTGTCACCGCCCAAGGAATGCCAAGAGCGGAGAGCTGCAGATGCGAATTCTTTATTGCAGAGAAGAGAATCAACAGAAAATGGCAGAGAAGAGAGAACAGATCGGAGACAAAGGAGAGACAGTCTGGGGGGGGGGGGCTAGAGAGGGAGGAGGAGGAAAAGTAGAGCTAAAGCTGAGGGTTTGGCGAGTTGTTCAGTTTGTGGGTTCATCTTTGGGGTCCGTGAAGGGTGAGACTTGCCTTCAGTTGCGGAGCAGAACCAAGCGAGGATCGGCAGAGGACAGAGTCCACAGGAGCGGCGGCTGCTGGCGAACCAGTTTGGTGGTGCGAACGGCAGGCGCCACGATGGGGCTGACCACGCGGCGGTGGTCGTGCACAATCGTCTGGCTCTGGTGGGACACTGCGGTGGGCACATGCTGCACCACCTCGCCCACCTTGGCCACAGCTGGCTCCTGGATGGTAAGGACTGTCCGCAGGCCAGGGCGAGCGGCCACAATCAGAGGCAGAGGCACGGTGACGGGTATGCCAGACAGGAGGCGCGCATCGATGGTGTCCGAGCTGCCGCTGGAAGATTGCGAAAGCTGATCAGAGGAGGAGGAAGCGTCCTCCTGCGGGTTCTTTTCCTCCTTTTGCGCAGCGGCGGCAGCTGCAGCGCTGCTCTCGGACTGCTCTTCGGCATCCTCGGCAGCAGGCAGGGACAGCAGCTGCGTGGACTTGCCAGAGCTGAGAGCCAACAAATTGGAGGGCCACTCGAGGCCAGCTGCCCCGGAGGATCCTGCAAGGATGAGCACAATGGCCAGGACAGGAAGGCACTGCAGAGGGAATCCCCTTAAGGCTTTGGTCTGGATGGATTCTCTGAAGGATTCACTCACCACTCGAGACATGATTGCGGGCTGTCTCTGGATTTGGTTCTGCTTCGTGGGGGGGACACTTGTGACTAGGTCAATGCTGTCGAATGACTGATGACTGGGATGATTCCAGGTTCTGTTTTTATAGCCACAAATCCGAACTCCCCAGAGGCGTCTCGCTCCAGTGGCCAAAGAAATGCAACGTGCAATGAGGCTCAACGGAAACCGAAACTGCATTTTATTTCAATTTGAATTTGTTTTGATTGGAAATTCGATTCAGAGAATGTTTTGGGGCAGCTGAGTGTCGCACTTGTGGCTGTCCTGCAGCCAGAACTTCTCCAGGTAGCCGACGGGATCGCGGGGCTGTGCGCGGGCCACAGCCAGCATTCCCTCCATCAGAATGGGCACCACCTGCTGCTGCAGGTAGACTCGCTTCTGCTCTGGCGAACGATGGAACTTGGGCCTGTTGCACTCCGCCTCTGCCTGTGGTGGTGGCGCCTCCTTCTTCGTTGGCCTCTCCATTCCTGCACAATCGATGGCCGACTTTCGCTTGGCCTTGGCCTGGACTGTGCTCTGTTTTCGGGGACTTTTGGATTTTACTTTTGCTTCTTTGCTCAACATTTTGAGAGTTTGATGAGGGATAACTGATGTGACTAAGCATTAGGAAACGATTACTCCATCAAAGGCAACTTCCTGAACAGATTACACAACTTTATCTGAGAGATTTGTTTTTTTTTCACTCTCTAATGAAGACTCTTTGTACTAATTGACAGACTTCTTTTCAAACGGAAATTTCACAGCACAACAGATGATAGGTTGGAGGAGTATATTTCGCTCTGCTCCCCCCTGTACAGAGAGTGGATGCTCCCCTAAGCTGATTAGCATGTGCCCCATGCCACGCGTAACCCGATCAAGCGGAAAGCATGCTGCCTCGTGTCGCGTCTCCATCGCTTGGCTGAGTGGCAAGTGGCAAGTGGCGAGTGGCGAGCGGCGAGTGGCAGGGAGGAAGGCTAAGCCGCTTACCGGCTCCTCCACCCGGTAGCCCCAGTCCCAGCAGAGAGGACAGAGCTTCAGTGCTTCATCTGGTGGCACATTCTCTCAGCGCCATCGTCGACGGTTTAAATCAAATTTTGAAAACGTTTCCCTCCGCCTTTTGCCAGGCTTTAGAAGGCGTTCAAAAAACTTGCTCAAGTCCGCCGTGAGGCCGCCGAAGAAGGTGTAGCGCACGCGGGTCTCCATCAGCCACACAAAGTGCTCCGTGCGGTAGGCCAGGGACAGGTATTTGTAGCTGTTTACCAGCACCAAAGTGTAGACCTGCAGCTGGTTCTGCGTCAGTCCGCACAGCAGGGGACTCTGGTGGATGTGCAGGGCAAAGAGGCTGGAGATGACCAGCGCCAGCTTGGAGTTACTGATGGAAGAGGGATCAGAGTCAGAGTCAGAGTTGGAGTCAGAGTCAGAGGAATGGAAGATGGAAGATACTCACATGGTCAGCTTTAGGCGCGCCATCTGATTGTGCTGGCAGCGATTGATGAGGAGCGCGGCCACGGGCTTTAGGAGCTCTGCCCCACTGCCCATGATGGTGCCCACGACCAGCATGGCCACTGGGGCATTGCCATAGATGTTCCCGGCCAGAGTGACGCCCTTGTCGATGAGCTGCACCTGGCTGATGGTCGACATGGTCGTGGCCAGGATGCGAAAGAACACGGTCCGTGCCACCGAGTGACCCAAATCGAAGGGGCAATAAAAGATGAGGTACCTGAGAGCAGTGAGGATTATCACAGATGACCTTTTCGACTATTCTGTTCTGTCGGCACTCACCACATGCAGGAGCTGAGGAGCACGTCGGCGCTGTTGCAGAGCGGCTCCAGGGGCAGATTGCCGAGCAGAAGGTTGCCCAGGATGTCGCCCGCGTAGACGAGCATCGTGTTGGTCAGCCACAGGGCAAAGGGCTCCCACTCGAGGCAGCTTCTGCGCTTCCCCTTGGGCCCGCTCCGCGACTCGATCTCCTCCCGCAGCTGCTCGGCCATGAGGGAGTAGTGGAGGGTGCGGAACATGATGTGATTGGGGAACTGCCTGAGGATCAGCTGTGCATTCATCGCGAGCAGCTGTCCCACTCACCGTCCCCTGCTGCCTCCTTGCACTTCCAATCCACAAATCTTCTTCCTTGGGATGCCTGGATGTCTTGGGTGATCTACGATCGATCGATTGACCTACGGAACTATGAATTTTGCGATCGCTGTTCGGTTGGTTTCCAAAAGAGATTTATCTTAAAACCGAATTAATGCGTGTAAAAATGTAACATAAAAGGGAGTGTTGACAGGGGAAGCGTCGGTCTCTACACTGGCGATGAGAGCAGTCGTAGGTTCTGGTGGGGCTCCTCCTCCTGCTCCTCCTGCTGCTCGTACATTCCCGTATGAGCCGTGAGGCTGCGTGGTCCGGGGATAAGAGACTCATAGCTTATGTTCCGCACTGGCTTAATCCGCGGCAGCATCTGGTGGACCACTGGCCGTGCGGAGTACGTGAGATGTGCAGGGGTCCGGCTCAGTCCGGACACGAGCTGAGGTTGCTCCTCCTTGCGCACTGTTGGCTGTTCCACCAGATGTTGTGGCCGGAGGATTAGCGATGGCTTTGCTGGGGCGAGTCGCGTGAAGCTCTGGTGGGAGATGGCGCTGGCTGTGTGTCCATTGCCGTGCAGGATGGTGGCTGCCTGGCTCACACAGAGGATGAATGCGAGCTGCAAAGCCTGTTGTAGAGTTGTACAGAATTGAAGTGCTGGCATGGAGGCTGTTGGATGATGATGTACTCACGCAGATGGAGATGCAGGTGCAGATGCTCATGATTGTCCCTTGAGTGGAGAACTAATTACCGTTTGGCGTGTGCCTCTGGCATTTATAGCTGGATGTGGCTGGACTCCTCCTTGACTTGACTCTCTGTGCTCTGTGCCAAGAGGTCGCCCCCCAAAAGCGCAGATTAATTGAACACTTCATGCGAGTGCGAGTGTGCGTATGAGTAGCTTAATTAATTAATCAAAATGTACTTCAAAGCGACAGCTGCGTGCACTTAGAGCTGCCATTACGCGCCATCGTAAGGCCTCGGGCCTCCAGTACTCACTCGGAGACTGAAGAAACTCACAGCCACTGGGCTGAGCAGGTAGAGTCTCTCACATGTGTGTTGGCACACCACAGAGGGGCGGACGGGTGGTGGTGGTGGTGGTGCGATATGTGGAGTGGATCAACCTTCAACCGCCGTCTCTCCCGTCTCTCTCTCTCTGCTTGTGGTATTATTATTACTACAATAATTCGCGGCGTTTGGTATATTTATTTATATATTTGATATTTGTTTGGCTCTTGTTGTGGGTTTTGGTTTTATTTCTTTACGTAAAGTTGGGACACTCCCACCAATTGCAAGATAACCGCGACTGCGCGCGTGTTTCCAACGCTTCGGACTCGCAGATTCGCGGGAGAGGCGTAGCCCAAGGGGGGCCCTCTGTGCGGAACCCCTCGCAAGTCGATCTGCTGCCTGCCCCTGGCGGCGTGGGGTACTGCTGTACAGTGATTTCATGGCACAGCAATTCACACAGCACTTCAGTTTGACTTTGCCACTCGCTCCGCTTTGTGTTTCTATTTTTTGCTTCGATTCGCTACGATCTACGATCAGCGATCTACGATCTCCGCTCCACAGATCTCCCTCCGTTAAACGTCCCATTAGGCACTGCGTCGATTCTGCATAATGCGGCATCTGGTGAGTGTGTGTGGGATGCGCCTCCATTCAGTTTGATGAACCTAAACTCCAACTTCCCTCCCCCGCCCTGCAGTTGCTGTTGTTCGCACTGTCCCTGGCTCTGTCGCTGGCCAGACCTGCCACGCAGGCGCCTCGCCTGCTCATCGACTCTGCCCCCTCGGTGGTGGCCTACCAGGGCTCCTCCCAGACGCACACACGCTTCGTGATCGCACCCATGGGCCGGGCTCTGGGCTACGTGGAGCCCACGAATCTCAATCGAACGTTCCACACGAAGCCCACGTCGCGGGAGGAGGGCTCCGGCTATGATCTGCTCAATCTGAGTCCGGTCTATGTGCCGCACGCCTAATTGATTAAAATAGTGTAGAAAATATCTAGATAGTTGAATTCAGAATGCAAATACAGAGCAGCAAGGAAGCCTTTGATTTACTTATCCATTCCATGTCTCTGCGTCAATTGTCTGCGGCAATTCAGAATCGATTCGGAATCAGACAGAATGGAGAACATGACTGAAGGAAGAGTTGCAAGTCGCAGTTGCGGGATGCTGCCCTCTGCTCTGCTTACGCTGCGAATGCTGGGCCAGATGGAGGAAAAGGAGCAGCAGGATGCCGAGGAGCTGTACGAGAACTGCACAAGCTGCTGGCGCGACCAGTTCAAGAATCCGAATATGGCCAACTTTGCCATTGGCATGGAGTTCATGAAGCAGAGCCAACGCACTCCGCTATCCTCGGGGCCCAGCTTCAGTCTGTACTCGGACAATGGTAATTCCTCGATAGAGACTCCGCGGTTATTTCAATCTCACTTGTCCGACCCTCCGGCCATCTCGGATGTGGAACCACAGTGCGTGACACAGTCCTCATTGTCCCTTGATTCCCCCGCTAACTAGTTGTATCCCTCCTCGGTACAGTTCCGCTTTCATCACAGGAAAGTCCTGGAGCCGCCGCTGCCGCATCTAGGCGGAAGATCTAGACCCACTGCCGAAGCCAACTGCCGCGCGAATGCTCTGCGGAGCCGCTCTTTTATGGAGCGGGAGAGTCTGTCTGTGCGGAATAAATTGTGCATTTCATCTTGTTTTCTTTCTCTGACACCATTTGGGTCTCTTCAAAGGGGGAGACCTTCGACAGCCTGAGCTCCATTGTTAGACCTTTTGCTGCCTCCATGGGTAATCGATTGTCTAGTGGATTTCTACTCGTAATTGTGCATGGATCCGCAGATGTTTAGTCTTGGGTCGTTAGGGGGGGTTCAAGTTCAATGCTGGACAAATTTCAGCAAACAAGTTTTCGCCAATTGCTCGTTAGTCTCCCGCTTGAAGGACAATCTGGCAAACAGTTTGCGGCCATATAAAGCCGCAGACACGGCACAGCATCAGCAACAGTCACTCGTCGACTTCAAAGCAAACACCAAGCTAAAACCAGCAAACCAAACTCCAATCAACATGTTCCGCTTCGTAAGTACTTTGCAAGGAGCAAGGGAATCCCCATCCTGCGACTAATCCTATCCGCTCCCTACCCCAGATCGCTATCTGTGCTCTGGCCACCATTGCCGCCGCTGCCCCAGGATTCGTTGAGCAGCACCATGTCGGCCATGTGGTGGCAGCTGCTCCCGTCCTCACCAAGGTGGGAGCCGTCGTGCACAGCGCCCCGGTGGCCACCTCCCACCAGAGCTTCACCCAGTTCCACAACCAGGCCGTGATCACGCCCGCCGTGAAGCACGTCGCTCCCGTGGTGCCCGTCGTGAAGCACGTGGCTCCCGTCGTGCACCACCAGAGCTATGTGGCCGCACCCACTGTCCACCATGTGGCTCCAGTTGTGCCAGTGATCAAGTCCGTGGCTCCCGTCGTGCACCAGACCTATGTGGCCGCCCCTGCCGTCCACCATGTGGCTGCTGTGCCCGTCCTCAAGGCCGTGCCCCATGCCGTCTCCCACCAGAGCCACGTCCAGATCCACCAGAAGGCCGTCATCGCCACCCCAGTGCTGAAGACCATCGCCACTCCAGTGTTGCCTGTGGTCAAGACCGTTTCCGTGGCCGCTGCTCCCCTCACCCATGTCTACCATCACTAAGGAATTCTCCTCCCTCGAGAACTCTTTTTCGTTCCGATTTGTTGACCATTTGAATAAATTTATTGTTGAAATTGCAATCAAGAAATTGATCTGGCTGGGCTGTGGCATATCCTTGGGAATCAGATCACGTTCAGCCACACCAAATTCCCATTTGAATAATCAATTTGTTTGACTTTTATTGAAGTCTTCAGTCATCAGCAAACAGCTAATCAATTTCGATAAATTTAATTAAGTAGATAGACCCGCCTGCGGGTACTAAAACATCTTCAACAAGATTCATCTTCGTATGCAAAAAGGTTCGAGTGAGCAACTTTGAAGCTCGCATGAAAGGCAAATATAAGACTCTAGCCTCGAGAGACAGAAAAATGCAATACGAAATGGAGTTCCACTCGTGGCACTACTTTAAGTTAAAGTCTTGGGATTAGCTTAAGAGAATCTGGAACACTGTTCCGATATGTTGCGAAGTCTTTAAATCCTAATCTGCCCTTGGGTGCCATCTGTGAGCGAATTTCATAATAAATGCAAATCCAAAGCTCAACTCTTTTTGTCAGTTTTCCCCCATGAATATTTTCTCTTAAATCCACTCTCCATCCCTCCTCACAGTTGTCCAAGACATTGACAGTTCTTTGGCATTATTACTTGGAGCTCTTTGTGTGTTCAGTTTCCTCCCGTTGGGTGTACCCTTCCCCTCTTGGTCCCTCCCTTTCGGAATGTTATTAGACAATAGTTTCCTGTAATACTTTTGTTTTAATTGATTTGCTCAGCGTTCTCTGCGGACATAACAGAGTCGAGTCCTTCGCCAACACGCTCTCAATCGATTCACTTGTGGTGGAAGGCGGAGTAGACAACGGGGGATGCGGCCACGACGGGGTGGTACTGGGGAACAGCATGCACCGTGTGGACCACAGGAGCAGCGTGGACGGTGTGGACAGCTGGCACGACGGTCTTGATCAGTGGAGCAGCATGGACCGAGTGGACGACAGGAGCGGCGGCGTAGGTGACGACTGGAGACACTGGCACCTTGCGGACGAGGTTCACATTGCTCTGGTGGGTGATGGCCGAGGAGGCGCTGTGGTCCACGTAGGCGGGCTGGACAATCGAGTGTGTCTGGGCGATGAGGCCAGGAGCAGCGGCAGCCACGGCCAGCAGCGCAAAGAAGGAAACCTGTCGAACACGAGAGAGAGATTTGTCTGTTAGGATCCTCGTTCTATTCCCTGATGGATATCCCTCCCGAATGTACTTACGAATTTGAACATGTTTGGAGATGCAGAGAAGTTTGTGCTTTGATGGGTGAATCGATTGCAACTGTTGATGATGACGGGCCAAAGTGCTGGCTTTTATACATAGTTGGGCAGCCGCAGCCGCAGCCGCAGCCCGGGCCTCAGCCTCGATTGTTTCTTTGTCGCTAAGTACTTTGAAGCCTGAACTTGAGCCCCGCAATCGGCAATCGGCAACCGGTTTGGGTTTTAGGTTTTCTGTTGTGTGGACATTGAGGCCCTGACTTTGGCTGGGTCTTACATACTTCTGAGTGTGGGGGAGACGTACTGTCGGAGACGCAGTTCATTTAGTGACCTAGGTTCGCTCTGCTGCTGCTGTGCCTTTTGTGTGGGTGAGGAAGTGGATGGTGTACCCTGGAAGCTGTAGCCAAGACAAGACAAGAAAAGAAAAGCCAAGCCGGGCCAATCAATTGACAAAGGGTAGGGAGGGGAGCTGCAAGTAATTGCCGTTAGTGGCGGCGGTCGCTTACGCAAATCATTGTGAATGAGGGGGGGGGGGGGGGACTGCAGAGGAATACTCAAGTGTACTCCGTAGTGCAGAGTGTGCGTGGGTGGGGTATCCTCCGTTATCCTCTTTCATCCTCCTCTTCGTCTTCGTCTTCATCCACTCTGTGGCGTCTTCCCAGTGAGCTGGGGGTGTGTTCTCGCGCGTTCGCCTGTTCGGCGTGCGTAATTGAGTTGCATTCACATCCCGTTGACATTTTTATGACAGAATTTCCTGGTTACCCTCTGCCTCTGCCTCTGCCTCTGGCTCTGCCTTGTATCCCTGTGCTGCTTGGGGCTGCTGAATGTGCGTCTCTCGCTGTGCTTTGCGGTTCCTCGGCATCAATCGAAGGAAGCTCCAACTGAGTTATGTATGTGACGCTCAGACTCAGACCTTTGAGCACATAACTTTTGATTAGCTTTACGTTGTGTCTGTCTAATGAAGGAATAAATGGGATGGCAGATAAAAAGCCGGAGATAATTAAAGGTTACGAGAAAGGTCCGATGTGTGGGCTTGTCGTCTAGACAGCTGGGAAAAAGTGCAAGCCAATTCTTGACCCAGGTCGGAATGCTCAGCTCGAAAGGACTGATTAATTCAAAGGATACACGTAACAGTCTTCGCATTGAAAAGTCAACACTTGACCCAAATGAGAACTCCCGAAACCCTCGACACTGTGATGGTGTGTGCCCTTCGTTGTAAGGGCATAAACAAAAGCGAAATAAATGAATAAAAGTACCCAGCCACAGATGTGCATTCAAATTGGATTGCAACACATCGACAGATCCGATGATTGCGCTCTGGCGGCGTGCCTCAAGTGATTCATGGCCAAAAGGCCGTAAAGCCCAACAGCTACCAACTGCAGCAGCAGCATCAGCAGCAGCAGCAGCAGAGGCAGCAGCGACAGCTGTTAAGTACCCTCTTGGAGTGACAGATAAAGACTCCAGACAGAGATTCGGTCGGTCCCTATGTCAAGGTTACCCACTGGACAAGCCCCACGCGCACTTAACCCACAATTTTGTCTTGTCTTCGTTGCCGTCGTTGTTGTTGTGGCCTTTCGGGGCTCGACTTGAGTCGACAGTTACACGTACTCGAGATAAGCATCGCAACGGGTCGTAATGTGGCAAGCGAATGGCCAGAAATGTTATTATTTGTGCTCGTAAATCCTAATTGTTATGGAGTGTTTTCATGTACCTACAACTACTTATGGCACATATCAATTATTCCAGTTAGAGGAAGGATTATTAAAGAGAGAGAGAGAGAGAGCATTTAGGGATCATTGATCTATGGGGTCATGTGATCTGTTCAACCATTCATCGATTGGCTATTTAGTTGGACCTTCGGATGGTTGAGCCAATCATTTGTCATATTTGTCGCTCGACATTTTGGCAACTTCTCGTATATAAACGGCTGGCAGGCCTCCGTGGGTTATGAGTTCTTACTGGAGTTTCGCAGTGGCAAATTCAAACTAAGACTAGATCCAATACCCAAAACGTCTCAACATGCATCGAATGGTGAGTTGTGCCCTCTGATTCCGTTGGACTCCACTTCCATGCTCATTTTTTTGCTTCCCCACAACACCCCGCAGCTGCTCTACAGTTTGGCCATCGTCGCCCTCGCGCTCACCTTGGTCCAGGCCTGCCCACAGATCCATCATAATCTGACATTTCCTGCTGTGAATCAAGTCTGTTCTGGGCCCAGCCTTGGCCACAGTTTGACGAGGGATCTGTCCACGATGTCGCTGGAGCTGTCTGCTCTGGCCAAGCTCTGCCATTATGGGAGCCCTTTTACGCTGAAGCATTAGCCACATTGTTGTTTGCCTTTGTTATTGCTTAAATGAATTGTTGTAAATTATTTATCATACATCAAAGAGAATGAACTTTATTGGCTTTTTGGGGGGTTCAACAGTTTCTAGTTTGAGCTTTAATGATTGCAGCAGTGGGATGAACTTTACTCTTTGTGGCACAAGTTTTAATTGTCTTTCTGTTGCAAATATGTTCGGTCTCAGACTAAAAATATGAAACATTCAGGAAGGCATTTCACTGCACTCATTGGCATGCAATTAATGTCTGGTCTACATTTGCTTTAAATATTTAAACAACATTTTCTGGCATACAAAAATCGTTATAAATTTAAGGATCAATAATACTTTGAGTTGATTTATTCAGTTTTTCTCATTTTGTGGCTAACAAACAAACAATAATTTCGAATCTAATGATGGAGCGTGTAGGCCAGAGGGGCGGCATGGTGCAGCACAGGCACCGAGTGGACCAGAGGAGCCGAGTGAACGGTGTGGACGACAGGAGCAGCGTGGTGGACAACGGGCACGGAGTGTACGACGGGAGCAGCATGGACAGCCACGGCGGGAGAGGAGTGGATGGTGGTCTTCAAGACGGGAGCAACCACGGGCTGGATGTAGGACTTGCTGTGCACCTGGGTGATGCTCTGGTGGGAGACAGCGGAAGGTGCGGAGTGCACCACGGTTCCAACCTTTGCCAGGACGGGCTCATGCACCACATGGTGGGTCTCGATGAGGCCAGCGCTCACAGAGGCGACCAGCAGGGCAACGATGGCAATCTGTTTCGGGGAAGAGCACAAGTTAATGGTATTGAAGAGACTCTTCTTCCCGGAGTTACTTACGAATTTGAACATATTGGAAGATGGTTTTGTGGTGGCTGTGACTGCTGCTTGTTTGCACGAACTGATGCTGATTGGGAGCTCCGAACTCTGCTTTTATAGAACCAACGAAACTTCGCGCGAAACTCCAACGCCAATCAAAACATCGCCTGACCTTCGGTAGGCCCCAGCATGACCCGACTTCGGCTCTGCACAGATCGTGAGCCGAGCCGAGCTCTGCTCATGCTTGCTGGCTGCTGCAGATCTCCGAAGTGCCCGAGTGCCGAAGTGGCTGTTCGATGTCGATTGTCGAATGCGCCTCAAGGTGGACGACCTCGCAAGCAGCCGAAACCGAAGCTCTTTGAGCCCTTAGCTGTGGCTACTGTGGCGACTGCTATAAAAGCTCTTCGTGCAGATCCCAACAGCATCAGTCATCTCTCTGAGCTTCCCCCAAAAACAACCAACCAAAAAATGTTCAAATTCGTGAGTAAATCGAAGACTTGGTAGGAGGATCCATCCATTCTTAACCCACAACTCTCTTAGGTTGCCATCGTTGCCCTGCTGGTCGCCTCTGTGAGCGCTGGCCTCATCGAGACCCACCATGTGGTGCATGAGCCCGTCCTGGCAAAGGTTGGAACCGTGGTGCACTCCGCACCTTCCGCTGTCTCCCACCAGAGCATCACCCAGGTGCACAGCAAGTCCTACATCCAGCCCGTGGTTGCTCCCGTCCTGAAGACCACCATCCACTCCTCTCCCGCCGTGGCTGTCCATGCTGCTCCCGTCGTACACTCCGTGCCCCTTGTCCACCACGCTGCTCCTGTCGTCCACACCGTTCACTCGGCTCCTCTGGTCCACTCGGTGCCTGTGCTGCACTCTGCTCCTCTGCTCAAGTCTGTGGTGCACCACTCTGCTCCCCTGGCCTACACCCTGCACCACTAAGGAAGGACCTTCTACAGCTGCCACCAGAGTATCTTCATTGTGATAGAATTTTAATGGTTTTTAGTTTGAATAAATGTTTTTCGTTTCACCCATAACAAGTTAATTGTGCCACCAGCATTTCTTATTGCTAATAGCTTAAATATGAGCGGAATATGTAAACTTTTCGTGTACTTTACATGCATTCTGTGCGACTTTTCGTTGCCAACTTTTGGGCTGACGACCCCCCCAAAGGGGCTCCTCCATTGGAGATGGAGAATACAAATTGATTTTCGCTCGCTATGTTACAAGTATTTGTAGGTATTTTTATTGCTTGAAATGTATTTTAGTTTCTAGACATATTTTTTTGTTTGTGTTTTTTCTAAACTTTGCTTTTGCTGGTTTTGCTTTCTTCATAAACAGGGCACAGGATACTCGTGAGTGGGTGAAATATTGGAGGAGTGGAAGGAGCCTAAGGTGGAGTGTGGGTGATGTGTGGGCCACCTGTGTGTTCTCCGTTTAACCAATCAGGACGGGGCCATGGACGCTCTTGAGGAGCAGCGGCGAAGGATGCACCTGAGTGATGGCCGCATGGGAGATGGCTTGGGGCACAACGCTCACCACATGGGGTCCGCCGACGATGGTGGGTCCCCAGACTCCGGGGCCCCAGATTGCAGGAGCTAACAGACCAGATGGCGATGGTCCGGGTGCTGGTGCTGGTGCTGGGACAGGAGCAGGAGCAGGAGCTGGGGCGGCAGCAGCCAGGCTAAGGAGAGCGACGAAAACACACTGCAAATGGACAATGGAAAACGGAAAATGAAATGGCAAGTCCTTCCTCTAAGAGCTTTCCTTTCCCACTTACCAGCTTGAACATTTTGTTGTGTCGAAGGTTTGCAACGATTTGACATAGAACTGCACTCTCGACTGGCCTATTTATACGAAACAATCGGAGCAGCTGCAGTCCGAGTTCTCCAAATGGGTCGCTCCATCGACTCAGATCAGCCAGAAGGCAGCAGGCAGCAGGCAGCAGCACGCCTCTGCACTCTGCTCTGCATTTAGCCCGGCAACTGGCAAGTAGCAACAAACACGCTGGTCCACGCTCTATGCACAAGCCAAGCAAAGCCAAACCAATCCAAACCCTTCCGGGGGCAAGTTCTCGGCTTGCATGCACCGCCGATTCGTACAGGTTCTCCCAGTGTTCAGTTGTGTTCTGTGCTCCCCCACTTGACTGGCCACCACTTCAGAGTGATTCGATTTCGCCTTATGATTTATGCAATGCAATGCCATGCGAGACATGTTCTGCGAGTGTCGCACACTTGACACTGTTCTGTTGCCTGCGTCTCGTCACACAATTAAGCAAGCAAATAAATACTTGCCAATAGGAGAGCCACAGAAGAATCACAGAAACTGAAGCGGCTTGGCTTACGCCGGTCCCCTGCTCTTTGCACTTTCGGCTTGCATAAATTACTTGTCCCCGAGTTGGCGAAACGTTGATTAATGTGCCAGTGGACCCGGTCGCCCCGGGGCTCAGCCAATCGCCAGAGATTGGCTCAGATGTTTGTCTTGTGCAATAGTGCGACACTTGTGCATCAGCCGAGGGCAGGCAGCTATTATTATATTACTATGTACACAGTTGTCATGGCTATCCGCAGGGGAAAGATGTAAGTAGCATTCAGGAACAGCACCGAAAACATATTCTATAGTTGGAAATATGTTCACAGGAAGGCAGGCACAGACCTATTCCTAATCATTTCTCACGCATCTAATAGTGAGACTTCCTGTACTCTCCATTTGCTTGCTTACGTTTAACGAGCTACCGAATCACGTGCCTGAGAAATCATTCAAAGACCGCAGTCACCTTGCCAAATATATTATGTATTTATTTGTACTTTGCTTGCCTCGTTTGCCGGTCAGCGAACCATGGAACGGAGCAGCAATTGGCCCAAACAATAACCGATTTGCGGCTAATTTAAACGATGCAAAGACAAGTCCAAACAGAAACCAACGTTGCTCAGGGTTACCGCGAACTTGTAGACTTGATTGGTATTGATTTTGATTTGTTTTTAATGCACCAAACAAGGAAGCAGAGGCTCAGTTTGTTAGCTCTGGGAGTAAATAGCACGAAAATGAGTCACATGAACCATTAATTTTATTACAAATTGGCAATTTCTAATTGGTGTTTATGTCGCATTAAATGTCTGCGACGCTCATTTGCTTATTGTTATGGCAATGTTTGTCGATTAAGTTGATTCTGAATAGGTTTATTCGCTCGGAGAATAAGTGTTTGCTGTGTGGGGTAAAAATACACGTACCCGTCCCGTGCTGGGTCCAATTTGCATTTGCATTTGCTTATGCAAAAAGTTGTGTGAATTGCAAAAGCACAAAAGATTTGAACCTGAAATGGAGCAGAGCCAGGGAGCAGGGGGAGCGGACAGCATAGCGTGGCCCTGCAGGCCTTCAGGATGTGCTTACAAAACCGAATCATTTGCAACAGAAGTGGCTGGCAGCATTAGCCATTTATCACTTCGCTTGGCCCATCACACACTCATCATCTGCTTATGCACTGATTTGCATAACACGGCAAATGCATTTGGTTTACACATGGAGAGGCAACGTGTCGGCATTGTCGCAATGGGAAATGTGCCACAATCCATCCCAGAGCTGTCTGTCTGTCCGTCCCTCTGCCTCTCTGCGTCAAGGTATCGAATGGTTTTTTCGGTTGATTGTGATTACATGCTAATTATGTCACCCGCTTTAGGGAAATATTTTATGCGGTTACACAGCGCGTGTCCATTACAGAGATTACACAGTGTTAGTTCAGATATTGTATCTTTTATATACACATAATCAACACTATTAGAGATAGAGTGGAGGGGAGAGGGAGTAGCATATCCATCCAGCAGTTTGCATCGCAATCAGCAATCAGCAATCGACACAAAAACACACATCACAGCAGCCATCATTCAACAGTATCTGTGTAGCATCCTCTTCGATTTTCATTCATCATTCGCGATCATTCAGCAGTCAGAGTCATTCAGGCCATCATCAGTGCAGATGATAGTCATGGAAGTCGTGGAAGTCATGATGATGGTGCAGGTGGAAGGGATCGTACGGGTGGTAGGCCTTGAAGATGGGAGCCGGGTGGTAGGCCTTGATGATGGGTGGATGGACGACAGTCTTCACCACCGTGGGCAGCACCACCGGCTTGATGATGTGATGCGGCACGGTGTGCACCACCGTGGAGCTCTGGTGGGAGACGGCGGCGGGCAGGTGCACGATCTTGGCCACGTGCAGGGGCTCCACATGGTGGTGGTGGTGCGGGTACAGCGGGTATTCCGGATAGTGATGATGGTGGCCGTGCAGGTAGCCAGGACGTGCCGCAGCCAGGGCGCACATGGAGAGTAGCGACAAAAGCTAGAGGCGGGAGGAAGGAATCCTTTTAGTTGGTGGTCCTTAGAGAGGGTCTCATCCTTACCAGTTTCATCATGTTGTGGGTGGTTTATCCTTGGCGGTGGGTCTCTGGGTCTCGGCGACTTGCTGCTTGCAACTGATGCCACTCGATGGTGCAGCGGTGTCTTTTATTCACTTGGCACCTTCCACGGCTACCCACCGCCAGCAGCTGGCATCTGTGCCACAGATGCAGATGCTCTCGTTGCTGCAACTGCACAAGCTTCAGCCCCAGTCGCCTCGTTGCCATATCCGTTGACGCTGCCGGCTGCGACTTCAATGTTGTGGAACTTGGCTTTTTGCATCCGCAGTTGCCTTGCCGCTTGTTGCCGTTGTAATTGCACCTCGTTTCGTTTACATTTCAATTCGTTGTTGTTGTTGTTATCGTTGTTGCTGCTGCTGTCTGACTTTTCGCATAGAGTTTTGTCAAACGCCGCATTGTTCGACTCGACTCGACTCGATTCGTGTCTGTGACGATCCATCCATCCATCGACCCCTTTCAATCCCAAGCGCTGAACTCTGCCTTGCCGGGAGTTCAATCGGGTGGCAGTTGAATCCATAGATGCTATTGGATTGATACTCTTCCTTTTGCTCTAATAGGCATTGTCTCGGTAAAATAATTCATTGTTTACCTTTCTTTACCGATATGCTGATTACATTTGATAGATCGACTGCAGCTATCGATTAAGACGTGCAATGCCCTTGACCTGCTATCGGTATTGTTAACATAAAGATCGATATAAGCTTCTGTAAAGTTCTTCTGTGAAGTTCCTCTGTTACGTTCTTCTTCTTCTCTTACGAAGCCATTCTCCACGAACATTAGCATTTTCGTCTTACAGAGTACCGCGTGTGTGTCTCAGAAGACGTCTCTCGTTTTTGGTGAGTTTTATACTAATATCCCAGCGATTGTGCTGTTCTCGATGTTTGTCTACACCAATTGGCACTGGTAATTGTTGCTGCTGCTTCTGCTTCTGCCGCAGTGCAGTTTGCCTTGCAATTCACTTGCTCCGTTAGACTGCAGCAGCATACCAATACGCTTCGGTGTGTGTGTGTGTGTGTGTTTGTGTAATCTATGCCACTATTGTGACCTTCACGTGTTTAACCTGCACATTTTGTTGGTTTTTTGCTGTATCTATTTTTCTGGGGCTTTCTGCCTTTTTTCCCTAGCGGAAATTCACACTTGGCAATTTAATTGTTCCGTTCTTTCGTCTTGCAAATTATTTGTGTGTCCATGTTATCTGTTTGTCTGAGAATGTGCTAAAAAAAGTGTCTCGTATCTTGTGTCTGTGTGTGAGAGAAGTGAGATCTGCTCGGAGATATGTTTGCTTGTTTTTGCCTGGCTTCATTTGTCTGCTCTGCCATTGATTGTGATATTTAAGGCTTCCAAGTGTGCCCTGTCATCGGCTGGAAAAGTTCATGAACGGCAGCGGAATGAGCAGCAGTGGAAGCAGCACTTCGCTCCATGGCAAACTAGAACACTCGAGGAGACTAGGGGCAGACTTGGAGCGGACTTCGAGCACGAGCTCATTAGAATGCCGTTTGATATTTTGACAGGCAACACAACCTCCGCGCTGAAAGTGCTGAAATGTCAGCTTGGAGAATCGGCCAGGCCGAGTGGTCGAGTCATAAATTAATCATGATTTGCATTCAGCCCAGCAAACATTTGCACAACAATTCGCGGCCGTTTGGCTCCCCGGTTGCCCGATACCGATCCCGATCCCGGTCCCGGTCTCGGTCTCCAGTCGCAGCACTCCCCGAAAAAGCAGAAAAGAAAATGAATTCAATTGCCTGCCTTATCTGGACCAGGAAGCACTGCATCTGTATCTGCCTCAAAACAAGTTGCAGCATGTTGCAAGCGGCGCCCAGATCTACTTTGGGCGGGGCCCTAGCTTCGATTCAGTTCAGTGGGTTAGTAGGGGCTACGGCTACGGCTACGGCTATCCACAATAATTGTCTGCAGTCCGTGACAGCAATCTTCGTTTTGGCATCGCAGATAAGTTTGTGAAAATGTGTGTTTCAATGTTATTGCAATTAAATTGCGAGTTAGGCGACCAAGTCCATGTGATCCGCTGATGCAGTGCCTCCAATTGGATGGCAGAGAATGCCGCAGCCAAATTGATGGACACGTCTGACCTTAGCCAAACGGTGGACACTCGGACACGCGGCCACTCGGCCACCTGTTGCCTGCCGCTCGCACATTGACCAGACGCCACTTCGTGCTGAGACCTGATGGAGCGTAATTACTCGAGGGGGCCACAGACTTGGAATGAGTTTGTATATGCAGGCACCTTTTATTATTGTGGCCGCTGCTCTACTTGCCTGCCCCAGCGCCAGCAGTCGCCCCACGTTGCAGTTGCAGCTGCAGCACATTTCTCAGCCGTTGCCATTTGCGTAATGCTCCTGCAGTCCAACTCCCTGGCTGACTGACATCTGAGTGAACTGTGCCAAAACAGATCTGCACAACAGGCAGGACAGGTCGCGTACATATTTTGTCCGAAGTGTGTGGCAACTGCAGCCACTCGCAGGCTGAAAACCCCCGAAAAGAAATATTCAATTTCATGCAACATAATAATTTTGATTATTATTGGTTAGTGTGTTGCCTGCGACGGAAGGAATGCTTTTGTGCTTAAAGTTTATGGATAACTAAATGAGTTTTTGGGGTGGGAAAGGGAAAGCGGTAATTAGAGTGGAAATATACTCAATTAAATGGACCTTAATTGGGCATAAGTCATAAAAGAACAAGTGTCGAAAGTTCTGCTTCACTTCCTCTTTGATGTAGTGGCTCGTTAAACTCTTTTTTGCCACCTGAATAACACTCATTACTTCCTCATCCATAGATTACTTGTATTGCCCACAATTTCATTCCGTTGTCCGACTCTGTCTCTCTGTTCTATAACGACCTTCGAGGCAATTAGCTCTAGAATAATGACGAAGACAATTGGACTACTGAGAAACCCATCGACAGACGAGAACCATCGATGACGTCTCGGGAACTGTCAACATCTTGTTCCTTCCCCGATTGTAATTGATCTTTGAGCGCGGCTTAATTGTGGTTCATTATGCCCCGCTTCCACTGAGATTAATCGCCTTAAATTAATAGCGAAGTTGAGTTTGGTGCTAAACGCCGTCGATAAGGGGTAATCGAGAGGCACAGTCTTGAGCTGGAGAACTGGTTCCCTGCACGATAATTGGCCACAATTTCTCGCCGCGGTGGCTGTTGTTCGTGTTGTGCAATGCACAGGCAGAGGCGGACTCCGAGAGGCAGAACTGTCACTTAGCAAGGCGTACATTACCCCCAGAAAACACCGAACAAGATCCCAGTGGAGATACTGCCGCAATGGTTGGGACACCGCACAGTACAGGCACAAACAGAGCCCGGATATGGCCAAGGAATTTCTATTTACCTGAAATAGAAATCTATTAAAAGTCGCTCAAGAATTTCGGCTAACAAAGCCATTCAGTGCGGAGCGGAGTTGTGTCGCCAGATCGAAACGAAACATTCATTAATCATGCTAAAAACTGCTGACAAATCACCAAACCGTCGGCACAGCTCCACTCCACAGTTGGTGCCAATGTGTGTGTGTGTGCGCGCCTGCGCAAAAGCCACTTGGGCAATCGCAATCGATGTTTGCTTATTACACAAAGCGGAACTCCAGAGCCAGAGACCGAGACCAGTCCCGAGACGACCGAACCGGGTTCTATGTGGGTTGGGTTATCGCTCGCTCGCTCCCATAGGCATTGTTATGCCAGACAATTGCAATCCAAGATTAGCATAACCAGAAACTGGAAAGGAGTTGCCAAGTAGGAATAATCATAATAATATTGGGAATCAGAATCAAGGGAATAGAGTGTAGTGGAAATAGTGGCACGACAAACTTGTTTTGCTGGCCAAACATATTTGTGAAGAAATTCATTTTCATTTCGTTGAGCCTTTGCTGGCCTGGCGTACGTGATGGGCCCACAAATTAGTCGCCAACTTTGTGCACATTCCTTTCTCAATCTCTGACGATGGCCGTCTCTTGCAGCCGGAGACCTGGTTCCGACCATGACAAATACTCTCGCACACGCAAGTGCGTTCACATTGAACTTGGGCCACTTTGGGGCCGTGTCTGGTGTGGCTGCTTTGGCTGCTGTGCGTGCGTGTTGCAGGTTTCAAATACAAGTGCGAGTACAACACAATTTCACGGTCAACATTGGAGAAAATGACAGAGCGGACAGCATTTTTGCGATGACTTTGGCTGGTAAAGAAGTGATGCAAGTGCCGGCTGCTGACCGACTGCCCGAGTGGGCCAAATGGCCAGCGTGGACAACAGCCAAGACACTTTATTTTGACTGGTTTTCTTTACTGTTTTGTTTTGTTTTGTGTCTTATTTTTTTTGCAACCTAATGGGGTATGAAGTCTATGGTGGACAGTGGGCAGGGGACTTGGGCGGGGTTTGGCAAACTATAACCGAAGACAAAGGCGAATCAGCTTCTGCTGCTGCTGCTGCTGCTGTGGCACATGCAAACTTTGCCACTTGGCGCCTCTCTCGCCCCACTCTGCTCTGCTCTCTGGAGTGTCCGAAGCCGTTGGCGTTATTTTTCAGCTTTTCCTAACGATGGCGAAGGAGGAAAAACGAAGTACAACAACAAATTATTATTATTGTATTTTGTGCACTTTTAGATTCGGTTTTTCTTCTTGACGGCTGCTGCACATGTCGGATTTTGGGAGTATAAAAGGCGGCGCGGATTTGGAGTATGCAACACAACCCAGCGAGGCGTCCACACAGACCCACTGTTCATACTTCAGCCAATAGCTAGCGCTTCAGGATCGCAAGGATTAGCAAAATGTACAAGTTGGTAAGTAGATCTATCCCTGAGCAACCTCTTCCCAGTTCGTACTCTTAATTCCTTTCGCTCTTAGGTGGTGTTCTTCGCTCTGCTCGCCGTGGTTGCTGCCCGTCCGGGGTACCTGGGTCTGGCCCCTTGGAGCTATGCCGCTCCGGCGATCCATTATGAGCCGGCCCTGGCCAAGGTGGGCGCCATAGTGAAGACCATTCCCAGTGCCGTGTCCCATCAGAGCATCAGCCAGGTGCACAGCTCGGCCCACATCATCCAGCCGATTGTTGCTCCGGTCCTGAAGACCTACGCTGCCCCCATCATCAAGACCTATGCGGCTCCGGCTCTGCACACTACACTCCTGTCGCCCTCGTGGGCCGGTCACGGCTGGGCCCCATCTTGGTGAAGTGATCCTGTACGGTAGTGCGTGGGCTAGCAACTGCTACCCAGATCCAATGCAAATTTTCCCTCTTCATCCTTCAGTCTTGTTTTTCCTTCTCCTTCATGTTTCGACTGATGTAAATAAAACCATGTTTCATGCTCAGAATAATCATCGGCATTTCATTTATGTATGTATGTATGGGTGCTCTAAATTTGGGGTCTTCGTCCTGGCAAAGGACATCGAAGGACCTCGACCGCAGGATTGTAGGTCCTGTCGCAAACGAGCAAAAAAAAGTGGGCAAAATTGAAGAAAAGGACATTTTGGGGACGCATGTATCCTTGATCCTTGAAAAGGACTCCATCAAATCAGGGACATTTTTCCGATCACAGGATGCCGTCGCACGTCCCGATAGGACCACAAACAGCGGAGAAAACAACAAAACTAAAATGGGCTTGTTGTTGTCGAAAAATAATTGTTGTACAACAAAATATACAACAACAAAAACTTACTTGTTGTACAACAAAATAAAATACAACAAAAAATTGATTGTTGTACAACAAAATAAAGTACAACAAAAAATGTATTGTTGTACAACAAAATATACAACAAAAAATTGATTGTTGTACAACAAAATAAAATACAACAAAAATTTACTTGTTGTACAACAAAATAAAGTACAACAAAAATTTACTTGTTGTACAACAAAATAAAATACAACAAAAAATGTATTGTTGTGCAACAAAATAAAAAACAACAAAAAATTGATTGTTGTACAACAAAATAAAATACAACAAAAAAATAATTGTTGTACAACAACAAATTGTTGTGCCATGTAGTTGGCGTGTAAAATTACTCGTAGCGGCGCTCCTTGATGTCCGATCAGGACATGCCGCACCTTTTTGAAATCAGGACAACTTCCCCGATCCTTTTCAATATATTTTGCAGCAAGGACATCAAGGACTAAGGATATAAATTCTGTAAGTTGGCCATTTTAGATCCTATCCAGACGTGATGCATGTCCTCGAAAGCGGAATAATCTCCTCTATCCTTTGAAACCATCAAGGACCTCAAGGACGCAAGGATACGCCTGTAAAACTAACGCCTGTTTTTACTAAAATGCCTATAACTCGGCTATTTCCTGTCCGATCTGGGCGTGCCACGCCTCCTTTTAATGGCGAGAATGTCCCCGATCGTTTGGCGTCGTCAAGGACAATAAGGATATTGTCATGTAGTTGTATAATTAACATTCGGAAATCACATTTTATTCTTTTATGTACAACAGGAATATTATTTTCGTTAGCCATCCAGATCGCTCGTCCGAGCATCCTGCTGCCTCTGCTTCCTTACCAGCCAGCGTTGTAGATGACGGGACTGGCCGCATAGGACGTGTGAACGACGGGAGCGGCGTATGAGGTGTGGACCAGAGGAGAGGCTGCGTAGCTGGTGTGGACGACGGGAGCAGCGTACGACTTGATGACGGGGGCGACAACATCCTGGACGACGTGGGCAGAGCTGTGCACCACCGACTGGCTCTGGTGGGAGACAGAGGTGGGAATGCTCTTTACCACGGAGCCCACATTTGCCAGGTACGGCTCCTGGACGATTGTCGTGGTCGCAGGGGCTGCATACACCAGCGGAGATTCGTACAGATGTCCGGGACGAGCGACAGCTACGGCGAGGAGAGCAGACAACACCACCTAGAAGAGATAATGCAGGAGGTTAGCTTGCAGCGGGACAATCCCAATCGGATGGCTGACTTACCAATTTGAACATGTTGAGGAGATTTTGTGTTTTTGGTCTGTGTTGTGCTGCTGTGGAAGCGAATGAAGCTGACTGATAATGGAGCAAGCGCAAGACCAGTCTTATATAGTACGAACACGAGTCCGAGCATTGTCCAACGTCGCTATTTTCGGGGCAGTTGCCGACGCAGCTGCAAGAGATACAAAAGTAAATTTAATTAAAACATTTACGAGTACGATTTGCGTTGAGGTGACTTAAAAGCGAAATAGGTCTGCCCTCGCTCGGACAATAAAACATGAGACTTGCAATTGAAAGAAAGAAAAACTGAAACTTCAACTCCAACTCCAACTCCAGCTGAAAATGAACCCAATACCCAAGAGCCGAAACCAAGAGCTCACGCACTGCACGTTGACCCTGACTCGCGCATTCAAAGTGCAAGTAATGCAGCCGCGGAGTGGAATGACTCCTCCCCAGAGCCCCTCGAGGGTCTCTAATGGTCTGCGGACACACTCTGCGTACTTGTTGGGGCTCTCGGCTGAGCCGTCCACCGACGCTAATTGCTTATTGATCGCTGCCCAGAATCTGATATGGGTTTGATTTCGGCTCGAATTGTGACGCGCACATCGATACTCCATGTGTGTGCCTTTGAAGGTCAACGCCAAGTCTCTGCCCAAAACGGTAGCTATATAAAACCACTGCAGCAACTCCACAACCACACACAGTTCTCGCAAGAAGCTCAATCCGATCACTCCAGTAGTTCCCCCCATCAGTCAATACAGACCAAACTCTTTCAAAATGTTCAAGTTGGTGGTATTGTCTGCTCTCCTCGCCGTAGCTGCTGCCCGTCCCGGTCACCTGCTGGAGTCCTCCCCCGTGGTGTACGCCGCCCCGGCCACCACAACCATCGTGCAGGAGCCCTACCTGGCCAAGGTTGGTGCCGTGGTAAAGAGCATTCCCACCTCCGTCTCCCACCAGAGCCAGTCGGTGGTGCACAGCTCTGCCCACGTCGTCCAGGATGTTGTCGCTCCCGTGGTCAAGACCTATGCCGCTCCCGTTGTCTACCAGACGACCTACGCCGCTGCCGCCCCTGTGGTGCACACCAGCTACGCGGCTGCTGCTCCCGTTGTGGCCAGCCACTACTCTGCAGTGGCCGCCTCCTCGCCGCTGACCTACACCGCCACTGGTGTGTGGTAGAGCGCCGCCCATTCTCAGCCAGGTGACCAGGATTCATGTTGGACTGTTGGACGGTTTTGTGATACGAATTTTAAATAAATAAATGTTTTTGCTTTCGAAATTGTCTGCCTCGCTCTCTCTCTCTTACTCTCATGCTCTGTGCTGGGGCCATTCATCAGTCTTGATCTATGCAGCACAGGTTCCACTTTGCACCTCTGATGTGCATTCTAAACACTGCCAAAGGACTGAGAAGAGGGCATGTCCTGGTTCATTGCTCCCTGGCACGTGCTTCCTGCACCTGCCGCTTGGGTAAACATTGGACATGTGGACAGCACACACGCCTCCAGGGCGAAAATAGTTTTTGGGGCGGCTTCCACCTCTTCTTCGACCAATTGGCATCCAGCTGGCTGCTTGAAGGACAACAGGCCCGGCTGCTCAACGAACTCTTTCCATCAGCAACAACTATAAGAAGGAGTAATGGAAATGGTTAAAATTTAATTTCCTAATGGATTACATCAGCAGTTGCCACAGTGCACAGTGGGCAAAGCAGCCAATAAAGCAGAAATAAACTACTTGACTTTTGACTTTATTTGACTTCAACTCTGCTGCTTTGGCTGTTTTCCCCAGTGTGCAGTGGACACAAACCAACACAGTAAAGCGGTCCCACATGCAGTAGAACTGTGAAAGATAATTTACTGCCTTAGTTTTACACCCGTTCCTTAGAGGAAAGAAAACCTAGCTAATGGCAACAGTTTCTTGCAGATGTTGCCTTGGCCTTGATTGATTCGCTCTCTCCTTTCTCTCCTCTCAGAATGTAATCCAGAACGGGCACTAATGAGGCAGGCAGCCTCAGCCAGAATTGAAACGAAAACAAGAGTGGGTTCGGCTTTGGCTCTGGACCGAAACAGAAACAGAAACAGAAACAGAAACAAGTGCGAGGCCGAAAATAAGTGAAGCAATTACCGAGAGCACTGGAAGGGGGAAGAAAAGCGAGCAGAGACCGAAGATTGGAGATCAGCTCCGAATAATAATCTGGTTTGGGGCCAGCGGCAGGCAGCCCAGACGCACAATAAAAGAGACAAGAATCCGTTCAGGCACGTTCGATTGTATCCGCCTCAATGGACAATGCCAATGGCAATGGCAGTGCGTATGAGTGTATGGGTATTGGTAACTGTGTGGGAGACAGCAAGCCGAGCCACACCAAAGTGAAGTTCAAGTGCGAGTATAAAAGAGGTTGACAGTCCCTCAGCGAATCACACTCCAAGTCCATCTCTTCTGCACCACAGACACAAGTCCCCAAAGAAGCCACTCCAAAATGTTCAAATTGGTAAGGATCGCGGCAGGAGGATAGCGTTGGGGCACTAAAGGATTACGACAATCTCCTCTCTCCACTCCCACAGTTCGTTCTCGCTGCTCTGCTGGCCGTTGCCGCCGCCAAGCCGGGCAATCTGGCTGCCGCTCCCCTCGTCTACAGCGCCCCAGCCACGACCATCGTCCAGGAGTCGTCGCTGGCCAAGGTCGGAGCCGTGGTGAAGAGCGTGCCCACCGCCGTCTCCCACCAGAGCCTCACCCAGGTGCACAGCACCCCGGTGGTGGAGGATGTGGTGGCCCCAGTCGTGCGGACCACCGCCGTCCACTCCGCTCCCCTTGTGGCTGCCGCGCCCATCGTCAAGACTGTGGCTGCTCCCGTCGCCTACTCCGCACCGCTGACATACTCCGCACCTGTGGCCTACTCCTCTCCTCTGGCCTACGCCCATCCCGTGGCCTACTCCTCCCCCCTGGCCTATGCCGCTGCGCCCGTCCAGTACCACGCTCCCCTCACCTACGCCGCCCACGCCTGGTAAAAGGTGCGAAAGAACGAAAGAACGAAAGAACGAAAGATTTTGAACAGTTCCTTGTTGCTGACTTGTGTCTCCCTCGAAAGAAATAAACAAATCAATTCCAATCTGTGAGAGATGCTGGGATTTATTGTCCTTGAGGCTCTACTTCAGGTAGATGCTCTCGTAGCCGCCAGCGAGGGATCCGCTCCAGGCTCCCGCTCCCGCTCCCGCTCCCGGCTCGTACCACCCGGCACTGCTTCCGGCATATCCGAGCGGAGCATACGAGATGGAGGACACTGGGACATAGGAGGCCCTCAGCAGCGGCGAGTGATGATCGACAATGGGCCGCCAGTAGGGACGCTTCTCGTGCACCACCGTCGAGCTCTGGTGGGAGACAGCCGCGGGCAGGGCCACGCTCTCATAGCCCACCACACTGGGGGCGTACTCCAGGGCGTCGTATCCATGCAGATAGCTGGGTCGAGCCTGGCTCAAGGCGGCATAAACAGCACACAAAACAAATAGCTAGACAGCAAAGGAGGATTAGAGCTTGACTCCCAAAAGATAACTTTGGCTCGAGGGGGAACTCACAATTTTGAACATCTTCTTCGGGTGAACTTCGCGACTACTTTGATTTGACTACGAAGAAGACGCTCTGGTTTTATAGCCCAAGCAACAGAGACGAGGGAATTATCTTCTTTACGTTAGAATTGGCACAAACAATCGAGCCATCAGCGAGAGTTGTGCCACAGTTGTACCCAAGTCTCTGTCTCTGTCTCTGTCTGTGGCTCTGTATCTGCTTCCCAGGCGCAGATGGCTAGATGCCTCATTAGTGACCCATTTGGGCGGAACTGAGCGAGCAGTTTGGACCAAGGCAAAGCTGTCTCGACTTGCGCCTAACAAAGCCACCCACAAGCCACTCCCCCTCCTCGCTGAGGTGTTCCTGTTCATTTCTTCTACCAGACTGCCGCACAGATGGTGGCCAGCCTCTTGGTTAACTGGTCCACCACCCCCACACATACACTCCACAGCGAAACCATTAGCATAACCAGCCTGAGACTCCACTCCACTCCACTCCACTCCAGTAGTGCCTCCTCGCCTGACTGACTTTTCCTGGCTCGCAGTTTTATTTTGGCTATTTCTGGGCGCCGCCAACGCAAATCAGACATCGAGTGCCATACACGATTATGCCCTCAATTTTGATGTTAATTAACCAAATACCAACTCTGCCTGCCACAAGATTCCCAGCCCATTTGGGGGCGACCTTGGGCCTAATTTAATTAAGAAGAAAAAGAAAAACATAACGAAAATACCCAACAGAAGCTACAACCGCTGACAGGCAGACATACGAGGGGCCCCAAAGCGATTTAGTCGCTGAGCCGAGTAGCTCCCATTGTTGTTGTTGTAGCTGCCGCCGGTTACCATTGTGTTGGCTGTGCTCCACTTTGGCTGCAAGCCAAGCGAAACCATGTCCAAGACGGATTCTTACAGCTGCAAAGGTGTAAATCACCAGACGGCTAAGCAGTCGGCATAAATCTTTGAATTGCACTTAACACGGGCTCCAACCATTCTACTTGTTAACCAGAAGGAGAGGAACTACACCCAAGCAAGAAATCCCACAAGCAGCAGGCGAACGACCGAAAAAACGTGGCCTACTTTTGGGCTGCTGTCTGTCGGTGAAGCTTTTGTTGGCAGAGCCAAGCTTTGGCGTGCAAACTTAACCCATGCTGGCCCACGGGTGTGAGGTTTGCTTTTAGCCACAGAGAGGAGGAAAGAGGCGGATGGAATGTGCAAGCAAAGCAGTTCTATGGCGAAATGCATCACACATATTTCAAATGTCTAAAACAATTCCCAATTCACTGAGAACTCTAACGAAATATGGACAAATAGCTTGGCCCAATAGAATCTGACACTGTCCACTGGGATTGACTCCGTTTCGGGGCTTGTCTGTCTGTCGGTCTGTCTGCATGCGAACGAGTACCAGTCCGAGTATCTGTGTCTGAATGCCCGTCAGCGGCAACATGCAACTTAATTAGCGGCGAATGGAGGAGGCGGGAGATGGAGGTGTGCGGACTGGGCTCTTATCCACAGCCTTGCGGCCTTATCGGTGTGACTGGCCAAGACACCATGGAAAATCACTCATACGCCATGTAATTAGACCTCTAACTGTCGGCACATCCACATCCGCCTCCAGGCCTAAACGTTTGGCAAATGCCTCGTTTGGCCAGTTCTTGCGGCGTCTACCAGTGGGTCTCCCTCTCTCTGTCATACTCTCTGTGTTTGTTTTTTTTTGGGGCGTGTGATCTGCATTGTCTTGTTAATTTTAATGACTGAATTATACAAAACCAGACGCACTGCTGCAAACAGCTTTTTGTCGGCTGCAGCCAGAGACCCCAAGCAACTTCCTCGATTACACACAGACAGAATCCGCAGATTCCAAATTGGACAATCGACATTTTTCTTTTGACTTTGCTGGGTGCTGGGGCTACTGGCTGTTGCCCTGAAATCGAATCCGTTTTGGTTTGTTTTTTCATCGTTGTGTGCAATTTACGTACATAAATTTAATGTTTAGCTGGGGCTATCATTAAGTCTAATTGACTTTTTATAGTTATCCGAGTTCCCAAAGCAAAGCAGCAACGCTCGGCTCGAATTTGTGTTCTGGTTTCTGCTTTTGTTTTCGCGATCTTTGTGTGAGAATTGTTCGGAGCATAGAACTCTAACCGTAGCGCGAGTGGAGGGGGATCGATGTTCGATGGGAGTGTTGGACCAGAACCACATTTAAGTAGGAAACTGCTCTTGGGAGGTGCTCCCTCTACAGGTGTTCATTCAATCGAGGCTTAAGCTGCAGCTGAATCTGTATCTGGGCAGCCCAAGTTCAGGGTGAGTAACCACAAAAGTCAACGAATTGCCTGCCATCTAGAACAATCCGAGTGCGAGTTCCGAGCTCGAGTAGCAGCAAAAAAGTGAAAGTCTAATTAGATGCATTAGACATCGATCCAGGGGGGGGCATTGAAGTACAGACAGACAGAAGTGCCTGACTGGCACCCAAACATGAACATATTTGGCTCACATAAATCTCTGGCCATCCGTCAGAGAGTCGAACAATTTGCATACAATTTGGTGACAAAAACAAGAACAGAACGCTGCAAGGCGTTTGCCACTATAATTTACGAGCCACAGAAAGGGGCGTTCTCGATATGCCACCCGAGGCATTCCCCATATGTGGCATTGTGGCTGCCGCGAACCACTTAATTATGATGCAAAATTCGGTGAATTGGCATTGAAAATCAGGGGGGAAACTGTCACATGGCGGAGCTTCTGTGTTTAAGCATGCAACAGGCACTGAAACTACAGCTGTACGTGTTCCAAGCTCCACATTGCGCCATGTCCCCAAAAACACACACAAAAGCCCAAGAAAAAGAACTACAAAGCGAAACCAATTTGGCAAATGATAATTGTTGGCCCAACCTCCAATCTGACTCTGAAGGTGAAAGATCTCCGACACTAACAGTGGAGTAGGGTGGGTAGGGTACACAAGCAAAAGTAACTCACTTGAATTCCATTAATGAAAGCCTGGTAGTCCCGCCGTCTGGCTGTCTTCCAGTGTGTGTGTTTGGCCCAACAGTCGCTGAATCCAATTCACATGCCCTGAAAGAAGAGAAGATTCCCATTACTATGATGCACAGTTGGTGGCATAAGTCGGTGGAGAGTATCCAGCCATCGCCCAGCAAATACTCGGACGATCCCTTGGCCATTGTTACACTTTGCAGTTGGCAGCTGTGGTTGTTGCTCTGATTATTAATCATTACAAGACATGCAATTGAAAGTGTTGTTGTCGCTGTGGTGTGTACATTGTAACGTGCACGACATTGCGACAATGCCGGGGTAAGCATGGCCTTGACCGCGTAGCGTGGACTTGCTGGGGTACTTACCACTTAATTGGACACACTTGAGTCACACAATCCCAGCGGAGAGTCACCAGAGCACACGGAGCTGACCAACCAGCGAACCCCACAATTATGCAAAAATCAAACATTAAGTCAAATAATAACAAAAACTCTCTGCGGTCAGCGTGTTAATGAAATGCAAACTAAACCGAGTCTCCATGGAATGGAATGGAATCTAAGCTCTGGCGTCCGGCATCATTTTGCACTTGTGAAATGATTTTCCTTTTCCTTTTCCTTTTCCTTTTCCCGAAAAATGACGATTTCCACAGAAAAATCGCATAAATCACGAATGTGGAAAAAAGTAGACCCGAAACTCACTCTCGAGTCGGCAAATTGACGGCTTTTAATTTCAACTTTTTGAATGATTTGTTGGCAATCAACGATTTTTGGGCGTTGTGCTTGGGAAATCGGAATCGGCGTTGCCATCGGGACTGGGGGGGGGACAGTGGTTGTTGGGCATTGCCCAATGCACACACACAGAATGCAATTGGGAGGCCATTAAAATGCAATTACATGCCACAAGAGAGCTCCACGCTCTGACCACCGGCTGCAATCCGAATCCAAATCCACGAATCCACAAATCCACGACCCGCTCTATCCCCAGAGTGGGTGGCTGGCCCGTGGTTCAATGGATCAACCGATAGCCACGCAATCTGGCATCCTGTTTCGTGTCAATCAAGCCTCGTCCGATTTAGATTTATGCGACAATTTGGCAGCGATTTGCATAACGCCCCACGGAGCTACTCTAGGTGTTGGGGCTTTGTGAAGGGTTTTGCTTTGGCTTTAGTTTAGGCCTCGTTGATATGCAGATTTGCCATTACGGTGGCCAATCAAGCAGCGATGTCCAGGGTCAAAGCCAAAGAATGAATTGTGCCCAAAGCAAGCAGCAAGTCAAAGCCGAACATTTATTGATTTAAGAGTCATAAACTTTAAGCCGGGCTTTGTTTGCCGCTGAGAACTCTGCAACTGAATCTAACTGTGACTTTGATTCGAAACTTCAATTCAAACACTTCCAGCTCAAGGTTCGAGCTCAGGTGACAAATACTTCGCAATTCTCTTTACACTTCTCGGACGGAAGATCTCTGGGATGCGATACGAATGGAACGGACCGCTGTGAGGAAATTAAGAGTGGCTATTGGGAAATCTGGCGGCCATTCCAGGTCCCCCAAAATAAACAAATAACAGAAATCCGGCAGAATATGATTTACCTGCGTTGGCAATTGATTTTCTCTACAACCAAGTTACGCATACGCCATGTCTGCTCCCAGCCGAGAGCGATAAGAAATCTGTTTAAAAATTAATGCATGCAAGCCAGCTGTCTGTCCGCCGAACCACCGAACCACTGACCAACTGAACTCCACTCCAATTCGCTCCACAAATTGTTGTCAGTTATTAAAGTGGCCAATTTTTCACGAAGCGTTTGGCGGTGCGTGGAGAGGCGACTGCCTGCCTGCCTGCCTGCCTGCCTCCGATTGGAGCAACCACATTTTGCACACCTTTGTGTATCTGTATCTGTATCTGTAATGAGCTGTCAGTTGGTCAGCTGGCCACGCTGATTGATAATCAAAGGCGTTTTAGAAAGGATTTAGAGATCAGCTAATCACAAATGTCATTGCATTGAGGGTGGAGGATGGAGGATGGAGGATGGAGTGTGTACAGAAAAGGTTCTCCTTTGATGCTTTTAATTAACTTATTTCAAACACAAACCCACCAAATGCAAGAGGCAAATTCCCTTAGAACTAAACCGCTGCAAGACAATTGCCAGTTTGCACACACGAATCTCGATGGGAATATTTAAATACCCCTCCAAACGGAAGGTGGAACGTGGAAGCCAACAATGGAAGCCGAAAAAGTACAAATTCAATTAAATGGCAAATCCAAAGAGGTTTTTCCATGAAAATCTTGCACTGTGCTTGGACTTGGACTCGGGCGAGTCTCGAATGATCTCTTTCGCGATCTCTCGGCTGTGGCTGTGTCGGCGAATGCACAAAGCTTCGTTCGGCTCGTTCGGCTGCTGCTGACAGGGGCGTTTACGCTCGCCCGATCTGTGCCTGCGATCTGCCGCTGCCGCTGCCTCTGTCTCTGTCTCTGTCTCTCTTGCGGGTTGGGTTGTGGGTTTGGCTGGCGCCCTCTCTGTTGCTCTGCTGGCCATGATTTGTCAGAATATTTCTCATGTTTCGGGTATAAATAACACGACAACTCGAGACGTCTAAGCATAACACAGCCAACACTTCAGTCAAGAAGTCGAAGAAACAACAAAACCATCCAGCAAAATGTTCAAACTGGTAAGGATACACACAGCCAAAGGACCAAAGGACCAAAGGAGTACATCATATATTAAAGAGCATTCTCCATTGTCCAATAGATCGCTCTCGTGTCCGCCCTGTGCGCCGTGGCCAGCGCCGGAGTCATCTCGCCCTATAGCCATGGCTATGGACTGGGCTACGGGGCCGCCCTGGCTCCCGCCTACGCCCCGGCCGTGATCTCCCACGCCCCGATCATCAAGAGCTACGCCACACCCATTGTGGCCCACCACCCGGTGGCCACTTCGTACGCCAACACCTACAAGGTGGCCACCAAGGCCTACCCCGTGGTGCACGCCGCCCCCCTGGTGCACGCCGCTCCCCTCATCCACTCGGCTCCCCTGGTGCACGCCTCCCCGGCCCTGCACACCACCTCCACCTACCACGGCGGCTACGGCAGCTACGGAGGCTACCCCAGCTACGGCAGCCTGGGCTATGCCGGCCTCGGCCACGGCTACGGACACGGATACCTGCACTAAGGAGTGTGAAGTTCCACTGACATCCACGACTCTGCGTTGACGACCCTCATCATCCATCCATCCATCCCTCGAGAGATTCTAAAGTGAGATTCCCGGCAGGACATTCGCATTTTGCTGCCGTCAAAGTGTGGAATCGGAGGAAAGCTAGCAAACTCCGCGTCCGAATTGTGTACAAATTTCTTAGCCCTTCGACAGCCCCAAGCACATAACTCCGCACCCCAGAGACAGAGACAGAGACATCTAGAGACCTAAGGGAGGAAGGAGAGGCACCAAGAGATCGAGCGACCAAGAGAGAGAGAGAGCAAGAACGAGAAGTTTTACCATTTTCGGTGCAAATTCCACTGCACTCAAGGCTTCGACACTTCCTTTTTGTAAATAAACGATGAACAAGAAACACTTAAAACAGCGAAAGTTCTTTGCTTGGGAATTGGGAAACAATATTACAAAATATCACAATAAATAATCCCACAAGGGATTAGTCAACAAGAACGAAGTGAATTCACATTTAGGTAAACGATTTAACTATCTGAATGCATCTGAGTAGATTCTAGATTAATCTGGAATCCAGAAAGAACAAAGTCTTACAGCTAGCTTAACCATGGGTTATAGTTTGTTGAGCTTTGCTTCGAGTGGGAATTCGTTATCTAATATGATGGCACCCCATCCCTTTCCCCCCATTCCCTCTTCCATCACACATTCAATTGCACTTCAAATGCATTTCGCCACGACTCCCGACAAATGTTTTGAAATTTCACAGGGGGAAAAACAAATATTTCGCAGCATTGCAACGCCTTGGCAGCACTTCAGCCTTCCCTCTCGTCCACTGCCAGGCAATTATCATTGGAGATAGATGGAACGGACAGACGAACGGACAGACGAAAGACTCCAGCGACCAGCGCGTGCGCCTGCCAACAGGTTGAACAGAGCGGAAGAGGGGGGAGCTGGGACTGGCACTGGGATGGGGATTGGTAAAAAGAGGAAAGTGCGTTGAAATATGTTTTATTAATGGAATGCTCCATTCCATTGGTCTGCTAAATGATTTCTGCCTCGTTTCGTAAGTGAAAAATTGGAGCACCTCAAACTCTCGAGTGTTTGTCAGGCAGGAGTGAAATAAGCCACTTAATTACCTTTTATTGCTGGCCAACTAAGAGACTTGCTGGACTGCTGGCAAGAGAATCTGGCCTGGAAAACTGGGAAACTGTCCATGGGAAATGCCTATCCGCGGCACAGAGTTCTGCTCGTAACAGAGGGAGGAGTCGTTCGATAATTTATTTATAAAATAAATAAACAACAATAAGCCATTGTTGGGCTTGTCTCCACGACCTTGAGGAGTTTGTTACGAGTCCATCCATGATCATAAACCATGTCATAATTACGAGTTTATTAAGCCAGCGGCGGCGTTACCATTAGCCAGTCAAGCGATAATTTGGCAACTGCAGAATCAGCCTCCGCAGATCCAAGCAGACGACAGCCAGACAATGCCTACAACATGCCCCAGAGAGGCGGAGATTCTGCTTCCTACATCTCCACATCTGAATATGCATTGAAGCTCGGCAAATGACACTAAGTGGATGCATATGCATCGCTTTGGGGGCAGCAGCTCTCTATCTCTCTCTCCCGCTTGGCACACTTGCAACGCGGCCGATTCCCACAACCTCGTAACGGAAACACACCTGTTCGTGAGTCCAACTCCCCCTCTGGCTCTGTCTACAGTCTCTTGAGTCTCTCTTTGAGTGGAAAAACTGAGCAGAGTGTGAACACACTCTTGAGTGCTTCCCATCCGTAGAGTATGCAAAGGAAAATGAGATTGTCCATGCGGAAAATGTGGCCCTGCTTTGCATTATGAACGAGCCATCGACCACAGGGAGCAAGGACCTCGCCACAAGAACATAACACAAAACAACTCCAGGCAGCAGGCAGCATCTGTTGCAATTAGAAGCTGCAGTGAGGCCACAATCCGATTAGTCAGAGGAGCATCAAATCAGAGCTCGACAGAACTGAAGTGAGGAAAATTAATTGCGAAGCAAAATGACGGAGCAAGGGTCAAGCAACTGCCAGGAAGACACGTACAGCCACTGGGGGGGGGAAATGCACACGCAACAGGACTTAGGAGGCAGGACCAGGACCAGGACCCTGGCCAAGGACTGACCTTGCCGTGGAGCAATGACACGTTCTCTGAAGGCCATGCGGACACCCTGCTCCTGTCACTTCTGCTGCCACTCGGTTCCTGATTATTCTGTTATTGTGTGCACCAAGGGATTTGCACTCGATAATCTAATGCAGCAGCAGGAGCAGGAGCTGGATGACCTTGGGAGAGAGCACAGTTCATTGACAGTTGTGTGTTGAAGGTTCTATAAATAAGAAAACGAGATTAAAAACTGCAAACTGCAATCCAAGGGGAAAAAGAGCATTTAGTAAGGATCAAGAGTAGGGTGTCGAGTCCCTCGTTCCCGATTGGGGGCATGTCTCCACCGAATTTGTTAGCGCACCACGTGCGACGATTTATCCCCTCCATTGCCCGGGAACACGCGGGAAGGGAGGCACCTGGAGAGTCACCTGGAGAGTCACCTGTTGCCAGCGGCAGCCTCAAGGACTAACACGGGGTGCAGGCAGGCTGTGCTCTCTCGGCTCAGCGAAGTTGCATATCGATTTCTGATTTAGCCACTTCGCTATGGTAATTTCATCTGCTTTGCCTGGATGGAGCTTCTCCAGGGTGCTCCCTCCCCGTACCTCCCTTTCCTGTGTTGACATTCTTCTCGACGGGCGCGTGTCGCGCATTTGGCAGCCATTTAATTGGCCACGCGAAAGGGAAATCCCCTGTTTACGACACAAGATTTCTGTTATATGGCCCCAGTCGGAGTGCGGGCTGGGAGCATACTTTTCGGCACTGGCCCCAGTCCCCAGCCCCCAGACTCTGTTGCCTGCTTGGCGGCTGGGCGGGCTAATTGAGACCCCGTCTTGGGTTCGGTCTGTGGGCTCTGAGCTCTGGCTCTGCTGGCGGTGGCCATAAATCGACTCCTAACTGTCCGTGTGATATTTTGGCATTTATATTTTGGCAACGGCCATCAATCAGAGTCATAAGGCATAAAAAGGTGCCCGGAACGTGATCGCCAAGCCATTGCCTGCCTCTCTTGGGCTGTGGTTGTTGTGCATGCAGCTGGTGGCAGCAGTAAAAGTTACTCCGGGGAGACAAGTCAGAGTTGCAGTGGCTTGTGCGCATAGATTTGATGCATGGATTGCAAATGATTTGCAGATTAGATTTATCCAATGTGAGATGGAAATTTAAAAGATTAAAAGGAAGTACTCTGGTTTCTGGCATTCAGTTCGATTGATCTCCTTGCAGGTGGCCCACCCACATATGTTACAATGACTGCAACATATGGTAAATAAAAGTATTACTCACTTGTGTCATATCCAGCAATGTCTGGGTCTCGGTCTGGGTCTTGCTCTTGGTCTTCGGTTGGTTGGTTTGGGGGATTATTGGCAAACTACTTTGTACTGGCACTGCGATGTGCATTTGCCGCACGATTCGCTTGTCGCTTTTGTCGATTGCACGTCGTGAGCAGATCCCTTAATGGAGTTTTTACTTTCCGCCGGACTCTTCTTGCTCCACATCAGCATAATGTAAGCTCGACGCAGCTCGGATCGTGGTTTATCATCGATGGTACACATATCGGGAGCGGGGCGGGAGCTGCTCGTACGATATATAAACCTGCAATGGCAACCAAAATCGATTCATTACGCGTGAAAGTGTTGGACGGTGAAGTGACTTAATAGGGGAATCAAAACAGAGAAGAAAGCAAAAGCCAAAACTATGGTGAATATTGTAAGAGCAGCCGGAGCGAGGGAATAAATAATGACAATTGGATAATCGAATCGAATCTTCCCCGCGGCATTTAGAGTGTTCTATTTGGTGGCCTGGTCCTCGTCTGCCTTGGATCTGCACCTGCGTCTGGCAGCTTTTTCCATGGTCCACCACAACCTCAAGCCGTGGGAGTTCCTGTGGGTGTTCCATTTCCAGTGCCCGTTCCCGTGCCCTCTCCAGTTCCTGTGCCTGTTGCCGCTCCTGTGGCTGTGCCTGCTCCTGTGGCCGTCTCGGATACCGTTACCATTCCCGCTGCCTACGGCTATTCCACTGAGTATTCATCCGCATTCCATCATTCGCCTCCGCCTGTCGCGCACTTCAAGTACGCCGCTGCCTACGCGGCCCCAGCCCCTTCCATCAAGTACTCCCTGGGGGCTCCAGTTACCACCACAACCACAACATATTCAGGATTTGCAGCACCTCCACCTCCACTGCAATATGCCGCACATCCAGTTGGAGCCTCCCATTATGCTGCTCCCCCTCCGTCGCAGTTCTACTCCAGATTTGCACCACCCCCCGGCTACCAGCTGGCAGCCGCATGGTCACCAGCATTCCCTGGCAGATACAAACTCCACTTTGGAGCGCCTCCTCCATCGCCAGCCGCCGTCTACGGAGCTGCCCCGCCGCCACAACTCTCCTACTCCGCCACTCAGGGCTGGTAGGCTATCCTCCATCCGCATAATTACTCTCATAAATAAATGTAGATGCATAAACACGTATAAATATGAATTTTGATTTCCTCAAATTGGCAATTAATTAAACCCAAATTATAATGTTGTTATGTGTTATCCGAGACGAGAGACTCGACAATTTATGCGCAGAACGAACCAAAGGCGAGGAGTGAAAAGTGATTTAATTATGATTAAAAGCGCTAGACATAAATAATTCAAATGTGTTTTCCATGGCACCTAGAGGCAGTTCGAACTTCGTCGAGCCATCGATGGCATCTTCTATGCTTGACACTGACAGCGAGCGAGAGCGAGAGAGAGAGAGAGGGCCATTCCAAGAGAGCGGCAGCCTCTCTCTGAGCGGAAGAATGCTCTCCACTGACCCACCCCAACAGCAGGTAGTCAACAGCGGTGCGTCTTCTGAGAGTGAGAGAGAGAGAGAGAGAGAGGAGCTCTCAAATGGGTCAACAGTTGAAAGATCCATTCCAATCGCTGACAACTGACAACTGGCAGAGCTTTAAATGAGATGCGAATGTGATTCGATGGCAGGGAGGTCAATCTCTGTGTAGATATTGCGTGTAAATGTATTTGTATTCCGATTGATAGAGACATCTACGAGCATCATTTATATCATTCATTTGGCATGCAAAGCCCGCACAAACCCTCAGGTGTATAATTTGATTACTTCTTTTGGCTGGGGCCTAATGGCTTTTATGTTTGTGCGGCATTTTGGCTTCTGTCACATGACACTCGAACGTAGGGCAGGGGTGGAGGCAGAAAGGGGGAATGTTCTAGGAGGTTCTGCACCCCTCCTGGGCGGTGCCTCTGGCTACTCGGCTTGTTGCATACTTCGAATGCCAATAAAAGTGACCAACAGCAGTGTGATTTATATGCAAGGAAACTCAAACACGAGTTTGAGCAGCGACAGAGTCAACAATAGTCCGCCAGTCCGCCAGTCCGCCAGTCGACAGCTTTGCCAAGAGACAACAAATCAACATCAACACTTGCCTGCAAACAAAACAAAATAAACAAAACCAAACAAAAGCCGCAGCAGCAGCAGCAGCAGGTAGCAACAAAATGCCAAAAAAGCTTCGCACCAAAAGAAGCAACAAAAAGATGGGAGAAAAAGACAGAGAGAGAGAGAGAGAGAGAGACGTCACAGCGAAGAGGTTGTGTGCATGAGAACCGCAGAGAGTGTGAGTAAGAGACAGAGCTCCTCCTCCTCCTATAAAAAGCATCTTCAGCGGGGGCACAAATTTTAATCAGCTGCCAAAGCTTCGCAGGGGAACATCATTTAGGAATTAGGCAGTGGATCGATCATACCTTATATCGAGTAAAGAAACGAACTGAGAATCGGGAATAAGAATAAACGAAAAGTTCCACAACAAAGTGAAGTGAATATGAGTCCCAAAGTGAGTGAAATAAAGTCTTGGAAAGTGAAGAAAGTAAACTCCACCAATTAAAAGAGGAATAATCCGCAATCGAAACACTTTCAGGTCTCCTTCCTGTGTGTGTTGCTGCTGCAGCTGCTGAATTCTGCCCTTGGAGACGTTTCCCATCTGGAGTACTCGATCACACCCAGCTCCCAGGTGGCATATTATCACTACCCAGCACCGCGTCAGTCAGTGCAGCAGCCACAACGAGTGCCACAGCAACAGCAGAGATATCAGCAGCAGCCGCAACAGTACCAACAAGTGGCCCGACAATTTGTTGCACCCCACCTGGAGCACGCGGCCTTCACGCAGGCCCTCACCAGTCAGGGCTATGTCTTTGGAGCACCCTCAGCGCCACTGGCAGCGCGCCAGGCTGCCCCACAGCCCCACCAACAGCCAAAGCCTGCACCACTGGCAGCTGCCACAGGCCGCTCCATTGGCGGGGGGGTCGCCTCCGTGGATGCCAGCTCGCTGAACCTCAAGCTGCCGGTGCCCTTCGGTCTGGCACCCCTGAATGTGGCCCAGCTGCCCCTCCAGGCGGGTGCCCCCTACGCCAGCGTGCCACACACCACGGGCCTCACCTCCTACGGAACGCCGCAGATCCAAAGGCGCTAGCACACGGCCCACCCATCATTAGTAGAATAAATTACAAATATAATAATAAAGATAAAGTTAAAGGACAGTCTGTCATCCCGACTGAACTGCAAACTGCGATGACGACTGCTCCTGCTCATAGCCTGAAATAAACCTTAGTTACACCTTAGATCCACGCATTCATTCAACAAAAATGCCATCTAAACTTGCCATTTAAAAGTAGACATCTACGAGCTAATTGGCCATCCGCCGCTCATTGCCATCTCATCGCAGCTCGATCGATCGATCGATCGCTTGTTGCATTTGCATAATACGAGTGTGCCGAAGGTCGCCCCCAAAAATATAAAGAGGTCTTCACCGAATGCTTTACACCTTTCACTCTCTCAGTCTCAGAGTCTGCGGATGGGCCAACTAATTTACATATAAATACACACACAAATCGGGCCACAAGAGGGCCATCTGCATCTCCATCATCTTTGGCTCTTGGGCATCATCTGTGTGTTTGCGACTCATAACGCGAGAGACCTTAAACTTGGCATTGGAAGACTGAGGAGCTGCTCCTCCTTAGCGCTTTAAGTTCTCTAATCCGACTTATATTTATGGAGAGACGATTAAGGCCCCAAAGTGTCATCGATCAGATCTGTGAACTGAGATGAGACCTGGATCTGGATTGGGGGGGGGATCAGAACCTGCTCTCCCACAAAAACAAACAGAAACAGGAATCTCCTCGCGTATTCTGAATAAATTTCAATTCCGAAAATACATTAAAACGGTACAAATAATTCATGGCTTAAATCAAGGAAAGAAGCTACCGAAGGGGTTGGGGCATCTGTGAAGCGATTAGAAAGGTTAACTAGGAAGTGGATTATGGATCATGGAGTGCTGTGAAGATGGAAGATAAGAGAAGATCTTGATGTCTGCAGAAATGGTAATGATGATGGCGATGGCTATGGCAACTCCGATTGTATTTCCGTGCTTGACTCACGGGAAAATCTGCGCGTCATCAGTCGAGAATTTCAGCCCAGAAATAATTTCAAGAATGGACTGGAGAAGAGAGGTCAGCGCACAGACACAGCCACCGACTGGAGACCGCCTGTTGTGGCACACGGATACACAGTTACCTGCCAGACACTCGAACACTCGAACACTCGACCAACTCAACTCGTCATCGCCACAGCCTTGAGATCAGCGTCATAATCATCTGATTGGTGGCTGCAGGCAAAAGAAAAACGAACTGCAGATGCTCTGCCATAAGAAGATCTCCATGAAGCCGTCTCCAGTCTCTTTCTACTGTTTTATGCATCATGTCTGAGGAGTGTAACCCCTCTTTAGAGCAGTCTGTCCGCAAATCACATCAGATGACGATGCTGGGAGCACGTGACCGCACTCGGATGGCTCATTAAGTCCAAGAGCCGGTTTCGACTGCTCGTCGCTGCTTGCTTCTCCGCTTCGATGGCCAATTAAGGCGCCTGACTGATTGGCCCGGCCTGCACGATCTGTGTAAGCGTCAGAGATTCAGTTTCAGTTTCCGTTTCAGTTTCATCCTGTGGACACAGATGGCGTCAAGGTCAACTGGGGGAAACAAAAGAGCGCGGAGTAAGGCCATAAAGCTGCGGCAGGGATAAGAGAGGGGAATTTACGAGTGAATTTTATGGGGGATTTGAGGCATTAAAAAGTGAACTAATGAGACATTTAGTGGGGCGGTTGGCCAGCTGCAGGAGGAAAGGTTGAGCCATTTTATGGCCCATTTGGCTTAGATTGCGTACGAATCGATGGGCAGGGACAGGGACAGGGACAGGGACTGGGCGGCAGACATTGATGGCCCAAACAGACTGCAAATTGGCCGGCCACCGAGCTACGCTGTTGCTGCTGCCCATTGGAATCCACGAATGCATACAAAGTAGATCACAGATCGAACCATCCAGCGAACCATCCACTTCCGACATTGGCAACAATTTGGCAATTGGAGGCGTAGGCACGTCCCGCGGGCGATGCCATCAGGTATGCCGTCCGCATCCAGGCACCGCCACTCGGCAGAAGAAGAGACCCGAAATGGGCAGACAGACAGAATCACTGGATAAGGTATATAAGGCCCTCGATCGGATGCGAATAAACATTATCGCTCAAGAGCTTTACCCACAAACAAACCTCCCAAAATGTTCAAGTTTGTAAGTGGATCAGCAGCAGCTAAGAAGGATCTATCCCCTGCCCATCTATACCAGAGCTAACTAGATTGAACTCTTTTCCCTTTCAGTTCGTTATTGCCGCACTCATCGCCTGCTGCTCGGCCAAGCCCGGTCTGGTGGCTCCCTTCAGTCTGCCCGTGGGTGGCGTGCCTCTGGCCACCGCTCCAGTGCCCGTGGTGACGGCTCCCCTGTCCGCCGCCGGTGGCAGCAGCCAGGTGGATGTCCGCAACAACTACGACGGCACCCTCTCCTCCTACACCAGCCGCTACGTGTCGGGTGTTCCCGCTGCCCCCGCGCTGGTGTCCGCCCGTTACGCCGCTGCTCCCCTGACTGCCGCCGGATACGCCGCTCCCCTCACTGCTGCCGCCGCGTACTCCACCCCCTACGCCACCCAACTGGCCGCTGCCTACTCCGCCTACCCTTACGCTTCGCCCTACGCCACTCCCTACGCCTCCTACGCCTCCCCCTACCTGGCATCGCCCTACGCCGCACCCCAAGTCCTGGTCTAAACGCTAACTACACCCATAGCCAAATTCATGTACTAACTTCTTGATTAAATGCGAAACTAAACAGTTAACCCACCCAGCAAATAATTTAACTGCTTTGCCACCTCCCCCCAATCGGGGATTTCGGGGATTCGATTGTGATTTATGGACGGACTATCATAATCGCATTCGAACGAGGAAACTATCAGTGGGCGGGGCCATGGGTTATATAATCACGGGGGGGACAGGGCAACAAGTTATTGCCCTATCGCCGTGGCAGTCACGATTCACTGACCAACTAAAGCGGATTGCCATTGCCATTGCCTCACTCGACGAGGCCCAGCCATAGAGAGGCACAGCGACCCACTTGGCACGCTTCCTCTAGAGAGAGGGGGGCAAGGGGAAATGGAAATGGAAATGGAAAGTGAAGAAAGGCTGGAGGGCAGGGCCACCAGCCATTTCCCTATAAATATTAACGACTCTTCACAATGCAAAGACATTAATCGCAGAGCTCCGAGGGTGAGCACATCCCAGAAAGCCCCCAGAAACCCTTCCTCGAAACACTCCACACAAGATGCGGCAACTCTTATGGGTAAGGATTCGAGCAGTCTGCCATTTAGCTGAAGGACTAATCCGATTATCTCCGCCAGGCATTCGCTTTGGCGCTCCTCGTGGCGGCTGGGCAGGCCAGGCCATCGGCACACTTCGACCAGCACTTCAATCAGCACTTCAATCACTTCGATCCCCACCACTTTGAGCACTTGGAGCCGCTGCACGAACCGCTGGATTACGCGGTTCCATTCGCCGATCCATTCCTGCCAGCACCTGCACCACCGCCAGCCTTTGCACCTGCACCACCAGTGTTTGGTGCTGCCCCTCCAGTGTATGGCCCTGCTCCCACTCTCGTGGCTCCTCCGCCACCTTCCTTCATTCCTGCACCTCCTGTGTACGCAGCAGCACCGCCAGTATTCGCTCCCGCACCACTTCTACCCGCTCCAGCACCGCTTTTGCCCGCTCCCGCTCCTCTTCCCTTCCTTCCACCCGCTGAGCTGACGATAACCCACCAGGTGCTGCCGCCTGTCCTGGAGGCCGTGCCCTGGGCAACAGGGCCCAGCTATCGGGCGATTCCCGGACCCAAGACCACCACCCACCACGTGTCCATTGGCTACGCCTTCCCCAAGCTGCTCGCCCACCACGCCCACCTGCGTGCCCTGCCCCTGAAGAAGTTGATCCACAAGCATCATCATTCCCTGTTCTAGGCTAATCACAGGAGGATTGCAATGAGGATGGATTATGCGAAACTAACCAAAGACACATCAGACCATAATTTAAACCATTTCAATGTATGCTAAAAGTCAATTATTTATCGATTAATTATAGCAAAATTTCAACGAAAACTCAATGCAATTTTTGATTTATTTGTGGAGGGTGCCACATCGATCGACTTGGGATGACTCTCAGTTATCCATGTGCAAGTGCTGCAACATATTATCGAATTACTATCAATAAAAGTACAGTAAACACCCCAAATGTACCCCAAAATATGTGTGCGTACAGGCGATAATCTGATTCACACACCACAAGACGACGCGTCGTAATGCCAACGCCAAATGTGGGCTCTGCTGCGGCTACACGGGACAGAGCGGGGAGCTGGATTTCCACAGCACGCAACAAGTAGTCGAATCAGAAATTCCAGACACTGTCGCACCAGCCACACACGCCAGCAGCAGCAGCAACAACATTGCATTCCAATTAAATGGCGAGAGGGAGCGGGGATCGGGGGCGGGTTTCTGGTCATAAGCTAAGCGAAATCTTGCCCAATGTCCCCCGCGAATCGCTGCTGGGCTTTGGGCTGCTCATTGGGCTAGGTTATGGTCTGGAATTGCGTGCAATTATGAAAGCCCAAGGGGCAGCAGGCAGAGTAGGGCACACTTCAGGGGGGGGGTGCGGTGCGGTGTACATGGCACACACGTAAGAGGCAACCAATTGATTATTAAGTACTCATATGTCGCACTCGGCGTGCCCTTCGAGTGCCCCGATGTAGAAAGTCTTGCAAGGTAGTTTCGTATGCTCCGCCATGGACTCGTTTCGGGGAGAATTATAAAAGCATTGATCGGTCGACAGTTCGATATCAAAGCCTAGTCAGCCCTCCAGCTAATCACACAGCTCGAACCCAACCAAAATCCAAGCAAAATGTTCGCCAAGATTGTGGTAAGTCTGGAGGATTCCTCAGGTGTCTTCCATGAGCTATTATCATCTTTCTCCTCCTTGCAGCTCGCTGCTCTCTGCGTGGCCTCCGCTCAGGCTGGTCTTCTGCCCTTCCACGCTGCGCCTGTGGCCCTCCCTCTGGCGGCACCAGTGGCCGCAGTGGCCACTGCTGGCGTGGTGGCTCCCTATGCCTCCAGCTTCAATGCTCATCGCATCAACCATGCCGTGGCCTACCCCGTGGCACCTGCTCCAGTTGCCTTTGCTGCTCCAGCTCCCGTGCCAGTAGCTGCTCCTGCTCCTGTGTCCTTCGCTGCTCCCGCTTTCGCTGGATTTGCCGCTCCCGCTCCAGTGGCATTCGCTGCCCCCACCAAGGTTGGCTTCGGTCTGCCCGCTCTGGCCCCTGCCCCACCCAAGGTCGCCTTCGCCGCACCAGCTCTGGCTCCCGCACCGGTGGCCGCTCCTCTGGGATTCGCCGCTCCACCAGCGCCCGTGGCATTCGCTGCTCCCGCCAAGTTCGGCTTTGGCCCGTTTGCGGCTCCCTTCGGTGCGCCAGTGCCCGCTCCCCTGGCCGTGGCACCCAAGTTCGCCGCTCCCTCCCCCTACTTCTTCTAGGGCCCCAGACAGACCTCATCCATCCGCCCGCCCCATTAGCTTGTAGAACTTAGCCCAAATTCCGCCCCAAATAAATCCATTTTAAATCTATTTATTGCGAGTCTTTTCATCCTCTGCGAGTGGCTACAATCGGACGCTCTTCACGTGGCCAATGCGCTGGAAGAGGGGCACATGCTCGAAGGGCGTGTGGGAGATGGGCACCGAGTCGTAGGTCACGTGGGCAATCTTCGTGAGGGGCGCCACAATGGTGTACCCGGGATGCTGCTCCTGCAGCGGATGATGATAGATCACCGGACGATGATGGAAGACAGTGACCGTGGCGGCCAATCCCAGCTGCAGGCTGGCACACAGCAGCAGGAAGCACTTGAAAAGCTTGCAAGAAGAGAGAGGGATTACAGAATACAGATTACAGATCAGAAGAGTGGAATGCATCCGAACCCCAGTTTACCTTGAACATTCCCATCCTCATCCTCTGTTGCTTTTGTTCCAGCGATTGCACTTGGACTAAGCCGCAGCCCGTTGAAGGCCAATCGTTTTATAGGCCCACTCTTCTGTTCTGTTCTGTTCTGTGGCATTCCCCATACCCAATCGTACAGTTAGGAACCGGTTGCATTTCCTTTGTAACCCCATGCCCCATGCCCCATGGAACCTGTTGCAACATCCTCCACCCAGAGCCATTCCACTCTGCATTCGATCCCCTGCGAAACCCGTTTTCAAGTTCAAGTTTAAACCGTCTTGTGGCCCGCTTGGAATTGGATTGTCAAAGAGTCAGTGACTCTTTTGTACACTTAATTATACATACATACATACATACATACATACACACATTCGTACATACATTATACATATGTGTTTACATTTCTCTTCTCTACTTTTTATGGGCCGCTGGCTGTGGCTTTGTTTCTCCTCCTCCATTGTCTCGGAGATCATTAATCGGTTGCCCAATCATTCATTCGCTCGTTGATAGTTTTTTTCCGAGGTGTAAAGAATTGATTAGTCGCTGCCTTTATTTGGCAGAGATTCGTGCTCTTTTAGCATAAATTATACACGTAGACGGCTGCCCCTTTTAATCGATGTTTGTATACCCTTGAGGGGTGTCTTTTGTCAATCGAAAAAGGTGGCACTCAATGGCAGATGAATGTTAGAGATACAGAGTAGCTCTGCAGCTGAAAAAGAGCATCCAGAAGCGAGTCTCAGCCGCACTGGATGAGGACACGCTGTGCATTGACCTCAATCCGAGACGACAGTTCTCAGTCAAAATCTTTCGATTGCCGCCTCATGAATGGGCGCTGCAAAAGGCCACCCACCAGATTCCACTTTGCAAGACTGGTAAATGGGGAACTGGTGCTGGTACGAGCAAATGCCAAACCAGATCCGATCCAATCTGATGGCATATTATACAATGGAGGAGGCCCAAAAGCGCAACTCACTCATGGAACTCGCTTTCGTGTGACGCCAGGCAGTGGCCAGTGGCAGGCTCTGGCTCTGGCTCTGGCTTGGACTGCAACTGCAACTGGAAGTTATTTAGATTAGCCATTTGCAGTGCTCATTAGATCATCGATGGCCATTTTGGGCAGGACTCGAGTGCGGCCGAGTGGGGACTGGTATAAAAGCGCGAGGCTCGGAGCAGCTGCAGCAACATTATTGGATCGCCAGTCCCCAGAGCAGACACACGACCACAAAGAAGCCGCACAGCCAGCCACATGATGAAGGGAGTAAGTAGGAGCATCCACAGGGAATCCACTTCTAATTGTGGTCTCCTTTCAGTTGATACTCGTGACTGTCCTGTGCCTGACGACCAGTGGACTGGCAGCTCCTGCTCCTGCCCCAGCCCCAGCCCCAGCCCCAGCTCCATCTGGCATTGGGCTTGGCCTGGGACATAGCTACGGAGGATTGGGACTGGGACTGGGACTGGACCTCGGCCACTACGGCGGCTACCACGGGGGATACCACGGGGGACTGGGCCTGGGTCTGGGCTTGGGCTACCACGCGCCAATCATCTCCAAGACGATCATCGGAAAGAGCTATGTGGGCGGCTACGGGCTGGGCCATGGCTATGGATTGGGCCTGGGCCACGGATACGGTCTGGGCCATGGCTACCTGGGAGGCTACGGACACGGACTCTACGGCGGACATGGCCTGGCTCTGGGCGGCTACGGCTACGGCTACGGCCACGGCTGGTAGAGGATTTCCTCCAACTAGAGTCCAGGCGGGAGCTACCAATCGCCAATAGCCTTAATCAATCAATCAATCAATCGCTCAGCCTTGAAAGCAATCCAATAAACTTATCTGACCTGAAGAAACACAACAACAAGAGGAGCCGTGGAAAGTGTTTTCCTTTGTGGGTTTGTCCGAGAGGGAAAATGAATCAGTTTGAAATGGAAACGAAATATTTTATAATTCAACATCGAAATTCACCCTTAGACAATTTTGGTTCTGTTTCTGTTTTTGTTGTAGCGCAAATTGAAGGAAGAGAAAGTCTTCCACGGGGTTCTCCCTCTGCTCTGAAACGGGGGAAATGCTGGAAGGAGGCATCCGCTTACCAGCCATGGGCCAGGCCGTAGGCAGGAGCAGCCAGGCTGGGGCCCACGAGCGACTTGTAGCCCAGTCCCAGGGGAGAGCCCAGCGGGCCATGAGCCAGACCCAGCGGAGCGTGGGCGAGAGCCGGAGAGGCATAGCTGAGCCTGGGGCCCAATCCGTAGGCGGAGATGGCCGGAGCAGCCAGCGGAGCGTGGGCCAGAGCGGGGGCCGCGTAGCTAATCCTGGGAGCCAGGCCATAGGAGGCGTACGAGGGAGCGGTCAGGCCATGGCTGTAGGCCGGGGCGGCCAGGGCATGGCCGTAGGAGATGGCCGGAGCGGCGGCCAGTGGCAGCGACGGACCACCCAATCCGCCCAGATATCCCGGTGCGGCAGCAGCGCTGGCCAGGCACACGACGGCGAACAAGAACTGCAAATGGGAGGACTTGCAGCAAGGGAAGTACCCGAAAAGGAGTTCCGACTTACGTATTTGAACATTTTGGAGTTTGTTTTGGGTTTGTGGGTTGCAGTGGCAAGAACACGGAGCTGAATAATGCCGCTGTCTGCGGCACAAATGCTTTTATAGCCCAAAGACTTGCCCAAAACGTGGCACGAGAATAAACGGATGGAGACCCCAAGACCCAGAGACCCACAAATGCACTTTTACTTTTGTTGCAAGGCAGAAAAACACAGAGAGAGAGAGAGAGAGAGAGACATGCAAAGCTGGTATCGAGATGGAGATCGTGGAGCCGAGACCCGAGCCCCGAGCCCCAAGAGAACCGCCAGACTGCCTCGCCCTGCCCCGCCCCAACGCGGATGTTTGGCTGGAACTGAGATTTGGACATACCCTGGCGGAGGAGGGTATTCCGCACACACAGAGAGAGAGAGAGAGAGAGAGAGAGAGAGAGGCAAACAATCCATCATCGAAAGTGTATCAAACAGTTCGATCCACAGCGACTGCCTTCCTTTGAGTTGCTTTGAATAGTTTCTGATAAATTTGTATTTGCCAAAAGCTGCCGCCGAGCCGAGTGGCGTGGAGACTGTGAGAGGTGTGTGTGGGAAAAAGTTAAATTGCATTTTGTTTCTTGGGTTTTTCGGTTGGTTCTTTTTGTTGTTGTTGAGAGCAGTTAACAAGTTTCCCCCTCGAAATCATTTGAATGAGTCGCAACGAATGCGTAGGCCTTTTGTGGATATTTCTGCACTTAATGCTCAGCCACCGAAAGCCTTAATTATGGCACAGATCTACTGTGACTGCTGTGACTGTGACTTGGGGCGTGTCTTGGGGCTGGCACACCTGTGCGTGAGGCTGTTGCCAAACCGGACTCGGCCGCAGAGACTTCAGTCCGCTGTGACCCAATGTAGGGCAAAGCCAGATCAACATGCTCGCCGCGAGTATTGTTCTCGAACAATAACCGATCCGATCCGATCCGATCGATAAATGGCAGAGGCGTGGGCAAGGTCAGGCCATCGGAGAGGGTATGACACGGCACGGGCAGTCATAACTCAGGGGAGCTGGCTCTGGCTGCCACTTAATTGCCAGCTGGCGACCCACTCTATGCCACACTTTTCGGACACACTTTTTTACGCAAGACACTTAACACTCTCCTCTCGAGGTAGAGCCCAAAATTGAATGCGTAAATCTCAGCCTCTGCCTGCTGCCTGCGGGCAAATGGAAAGGAAAAAGGGGAGGAGCTCTGGCAGTAACTCCAGTAAATGCTCCTCCAGTTGCACGCGTAACTCGAAGGAGATTTGCATATGCCTTTGTGTACTCAATGCAGAGTGGGCGATGGCCAGACTTATGGTCTGTTCTGTGCTGTTCGCAATTCGGTTGTAAGTCTCCCAGGCGACGCATTTCAATTAAGAGTAGGGAGGGAGCGAGCCCCTACAGATCCGGCTCTACACAGTGCGAAAAATGTCTGTCAATTAATTCTGTGGCACTTGTGCAACGCAGCAACACAGCGATTAAATCAAAACAGACAATTTATTGGGCTGCACAGGTTGAAATTCGAGCGGATCGAGGAGCGGGTTTTTGTTTTCGCTCGTTCGTCGCTTATGGATGTCTCCGATAATTATAATTGATCGAGCAACAAGTTCTAATCGCTGCCACTCTCAGACAGTATCGTTTCAGTGCCTCTCCCTCTCCCTCTCCCTGTCCCTGTGTGGCACCAGTGTACGCATTTCGTATCGTATCATATCGTTTGGCTGTCAATGAGACAAGATTGTGGCAAGGATAGCAGCAGCAGCCGCAGCGGGGGGTAATTACAGCTTGGGGAGACACGCATCGTGGGCCTAGAGTAGTTTATGGCAAGCTAGCTGCAGGGGCAGAGGCTGCTCTACATATACTCCTACGAATGGGGAATACCCTCTGCGTTGCATGACACTCGAATAAGTAAAGGCAATCAATTTGCACACACCTCTTAATGTAACCCAAAGGAAATCGGAGCTGCAGCGAACCAAGAGCACATAATGGATGCGAAAACTATAAATGAATAAATCTTACAAATGAATTGAAACTGAAACATGTGGGACACCACGCCAGCCATTAGTTGATTTGATCCAAGAAATTACAATCACACCATCGAAACTCACTTTCAACTGTTCAAAAGTGCTTTCAAAATGGATTCAACATTCAGTATACCCTGTAAATATATCCGCAACAGTGCAGCTAAGTGCCATTGCTGCAAACATTACACACGCCCTGAGCATTCCAGCATTCCAGTACAGGGTAGCCTCCGCGGTTTCCATGGGAAATGCGTTTCAATCTGGGGCTTCGGCAATCAAAAATCGGAGCCCCCCGCCGCTGCAGCGCGTTTCGGAAGAGGCGTGGCCGTCGAGACTTAAGATTTTAATTTAATTTCGCGCTGCAGCAGCCACAAGTAAATTAGCCACAGGGGAAGGGCGGGGGCGGAGCGGCCTCCACGGAGGGAGGCGTTTCGCAGGCGTTGAAAACTTCGAAGCGAATTTGCCATCAACGTCAAAGAGTCAAAGACTAGATTTAATTTGCCAATTTAGTCGCAGTTAAATGTCGCGTCGTACCCTGGGCCCAGACTTTAGTTTGTTGCCACTTGGCACGATTAGTGCCACAGATGTGGGATGGGGGAGGGGCGTGACTCCTTTTGCCTATTGATTGTTTGTGATTAACAAAATGCAATTTCAGCGGCGCCGTTTAATGAAGTGCCACAAAAAAGAGAGAAACAGCAACAGCTGAAGGAGGGAGCAGCCACCTCTCAGCTGCGGCACTCTGTGGCACTCTGTGGCACGCAACTTTCAATTAAAAATAAAAATGACACTCGCTGCCGCAGTGCAGGGAACCAAAGCCAAAGGATTAAGAGGCTGGTGGAACGTGGCCAAGTGTCGATGAACCAGAGAATGACACAGAAAACACAGAAAATAACAAGTCAAGAAATTTGTCGGTCAGTCAGCGCGTTGCATCTTTATTTGTGTGTGTGTGTGTGTTGCAGCTGTGGCACGCGTGTGGCATCCTACTTCTTGAGGACAGCGGCCACTGGTGCTGCGGCATAGACTGCGGGGAAGGCGGCGCTGTGGGCCACGGCGTGGGCGCTCACGCTGCTGGCATAGGGAGCCACGTAGGGGGCGTATGCGGCGGTGTAGGCCAGGGGGGAGGAGTAGGCCAGGAGCCCGGGATTGGCAGCGGCAGCAGCGAACAGAGCGCACAGGACGAGGGCGAACTGCAATCGAAGGAAGGATGCAATCAGCAATCGAAAAGGAAACTTCTTCTGTGGCAGGAATCCATTTAACTCACGAATTTCATCATTTTGCTGGTTGGTGTTTGTGTTACTTGGCAGCGAGACTTCTGAATGACATCTTGGCCAGAGTCTATCGTGGTTTATATACTCAGAGATCCCCCCGCCTCGAGGCAAACCAATTAAAGCCCATCCTTGACTAAAACCCAACACTTAATGGCAGCACTTCCAGCACGTACTGGCAAGAGGGCCCTGAACTCAGGGCCACACTCGCCATTGACCAGATTCCCAGATGGACACATTCCCCTATGCCCAGACGGCACTGAATAAACGTTTTGTATGCTCTGCATTCCCAGCCCATTACCTATCCACATCTGCATATCCATTCCACAATGACATTTCCGCACTGCGGATTCGATTATCATAATTCAACACTTCCAGCTTAACCCCCCCCTGGGGGACGTGCCCGCCATCTGAACCAACTCCGGTTTTACTTTACTTTACGTTTGTCTTTGCTTGGAGGGGAGTACTCACTGTTCGCTCTGCTGCTCTGCATTCTAATCGGATAAGCAAAGTGGCTTATCCCGCGGACAAAGAAAGCCCTTCGGCAAGGGGCATCCCATAAGTGGCATTTGGGGTCAATGCATCGTGAGCACACCTGTTTGCATAGTACTCAAAGTGCACACCAATACTGGTAACTTCACAAACTAATTGTTTCTTTCCACATCTGTGCTACACAGATCTTACACAGATGCAGTGCGAAATGTAAATTAGGGGCCCAGAAATGGGAAGATCTTGCAACTCCCTAAACAAGTAAGAGCTGTTCCCGAGAGAGTTACAAATTAGGAAGACAGATCCACAACCACCTTCCGTGGATACACTTCGCATTAACTAATTAATCAACTACGAAAAATGAACCACAACTTTGTGTACGTTTAACGCAAAATGCAGATTATTTATTTCAACAATGATTTTGGTATATTCCAGTGTGCTGCAGAGTTCCCATTCCTGTTCCCATTTGCTGTGCATTTGGGGCAGTGCAGAGTGTTGCGGATTGGTGGTGCAGTTGGGGGATGTGGGCTGTGGTTGGGTCCAGTTGCCAGTCGTTCCAGTGTGCGGATTATCCTTGGCCTAGCGGTAGTAGGCGGCGTAGGGGTATGCGGAGTAGGCAGAGGCATAGGGATAGGCGGAGTAGGCGGAGTAGGCAGCGTAGGCGGGGGCAGTGTAGGCAGACGAGTAGGGGGAGGCAGCCACCAGGGGGGCGGAGTAGGCGCTGTACGCCAGTGGGGCAGCAATCACCGCGGGCTTGGCAGCCACGCAGGCCACAACAGCGAAGAGGCAGAGAGCGAACTATGAGGAGGGAGATGGAAGAAAGTGAAGATTAGGTACTCCTCGGGGACTATATCCTTGGATCCTTACGAATTTGAACATGTTGCTGGGTTGTTGCTTGTTGTTGCTTGGTTCTCAGGCAGTAGACTGATAATTGCTGCTCCCCGGCATCCGAATTTATATAGCCAGAAGCCCAGCAGATGTTGTTCGTTGCAAACAACGAAGGTGATCCCGGGGAATTGGTATGCAAAAGAGACGCCCAATACAACGATACACCGAAGGCGGCACCAAGGAGAACGAACCTTTGGCTGTGGCACTTTTGGTTTCGTTTCTGAGCGAGAGACGCGTGACGAAAAACAAATCGAGTCGTGCCTCGAATAACGAATCTACCAACGAATCAATCAATGGATGATATTCATCGTAGTATTCGTACTACAAGTCTCCGTCTGACCCACTGGCTCGACTGCCACCTCCGGGTTCCACCAGTTTATAAATGCCACTCCGATGTCCGGCTTCGGTTTCATTTCATTTGTAGAACTTTGAGCAATCAGAACTCTGATCAAGACATAGATAAAGAGAGATCCACAGACATGTTCAAGTACAGAAAATTAGTAAGTTTCAAGCGGGGGCAAACGCCAGACTTGCTCAACGATGAACGATCAACAGGTGCTCCGGCTGCTCCTCCTGGCTGCTGCTGCTGCTGCTGCTGCTGCCTCGGCGGGACAGATCCGGGATGCTGCCGAGGAGGTGGAGGTGCCGCCTGCACATCGTGCTGCCCCGCCGCCACCTACTGCTGCGGGACCACCGGGAGGACCACTTGTGGGTGTGCCGCCGAGCTATCCCTTGTTCTACCAAGCTGCGTGGCTGCCATTCGGGCGCTACAGCGCCTCCATTCCCATCGTGCCACCACTTGCGGCACTCACTCGTGCCACTACCCCATGAGCCAGCCCAAAGTTCGAGCCCTGACCGCCGGACACTGCAGTGGCGCCGCCGCTTCTTGTTGAATTTTCATGAATTATTTGTTACATTTGATGTTTGTTTTGGTTCTGTTTGGAAATATATTTCGATTATAATTAGACACAAGATGCAACTCGCTCTCCCCGTCTCTCCTTGGGTGTAGTTATTCTAGTAATTGGTGGAATGACGCAGCTTTCAGTTGGCAACGGCCGACACGTGCTTGTCCTACCGAAAGATTTGCTTGTTTGCCTCGCCTATCGATGGCTCCCGACTGTATTTTGAGGCACGAAATTTGCATTCGATGACGCAAGTCATTTGGCATCTCTCTAGATCATTTCCGCATTCGGCAAATGACGGATGACGACAGTGTGGAAGGCGCAATGGGACCATTCTGGGATCATTCCCATCCATATAACTGAAATTCCTCCCCACCAAAGACAAAGGACGCTGAATGGGCGAATTTCCTCCCTTTCCAGTTCCTAGAAATCTGTAAACTCCCTTCCCAAGAACGGCATACTCAAGTTTGAGTTGAATTTGTGTATTTTTATTGCATTCCAGAGTCAGTTGTCAGTCCGTTGTCGATCCTTTAGAGCCTCTTACAGGACGGTGGTGTAGCCAGCGGCATAGGGATAGCTGGCATAGGGATAGCTGGCATAGGGATATGCGGAGTAGGCAGCAGCCACTGGGGCAGTGTAGGCAGCAGCCACTGGGGCAGTGTAGGCAGCAGCCACTGGGGCAGTGTAGGCAGCAGCCACTGGAGCAACAATGGGGGCAGCGGCGACTCCGTTGAAGTTGCGGGCCACATACTGGGAGCTGGTGGCAGTCACCACACCTGCAGGAACTGCTGCGGCACCCACGACAACGCCCGGCTTGGCCTCTGCCACACTGCAGGCGAGGGCAGCGACGAGGACAACGAGAGCGGACTGCAAGGAGAAGGATAATCGTAGAGATCTCTGCCTGGAGATCTGCTCTGCAGCAGTCCTTACCAGCTTGAACATGTTGAGGCTGAGTTTAGTGTGATTTGAGCAAACAAATTGGACTATAATTGATCGAGTGGCCAGCTGTGGTTTTATACGCTCTGTCAGACCGCAGACAGACCCCGAGACACTTTTCGATTGTTCGATGGTTCGCACACATAATGTGGGATGGGATTTGGGTGGACTGTTCTACCGCTGCATGGGAATGCAGAGCAGTTCGGCCTTTGAGCGGCTCCATTTGCTGGCTACGTGCCCGCGATTTCGGTGCTTCGGGGAGGTCGAGTAGTTCCCCCCATCTGGTAGTGCGGACACGTTCCAAATGCTCAAATGCTCGGCCCATAAAAGTTGTTGCCGCTGCGAAGGTGAGTCTACGGGTAGTGGCCAATGCCCAGTAGCTCATTGGAGGAGTGATTGATGCGACCTGCCAATGCTAATTGGCCGCTGATGAGTAGCCTCTTGTGCCAACAGAAATCAATGAAAACGATGCACGTGGGGTAGTGGTAATCCGATTTGGATTTGCATCATGCACCGTGGCAAGGTTACGCCTGCCACTTGCTCTCAATCGGCATCGCAGTTGCATCCCATCGCGCACTTTTAATCCCTCTGATGCAACGCTTTCATCCAACAAAGGAATAAAGTTCAATGGACTGTCGAAAGTTGAGTCTCTTCTCTCTGTCTCTGGTATCTCGCAGGGAAAGAGTTTCAAGCTCAAGTTTCAACATATTTGAATATTTATATAGTAATCCAATGTCTGGAATGACTTACTTTCATTCGCTGCAGAATCCTCTGCACACAAATGAACAAAACAAACCGACAACAGACCGACAATTCTTATCGCCACCCCGCGCGACAGAGAACTATCTGGTGGGGAGAGCGAGAGATATCTGTGGCTATAATGTAGCATTATTTATCCCAGTTGTGCAGCCTTCGAACAGTTGGAAATTCGCATTGAAACGGAGCGGTTCGCGATGCCCCGAAAGATGATCGTTTTCCTGTGCGCGTGGACCCTGTTCGCGGCGACAGCCAGTGCTGGGGACATCAATCTGAGGTGCGACGAATTCGATCCGATGATCTACATGGACGTGAACGAGGCCTTCTGCACGGTGACGGGCTTCATGGTGACCCACAGCCAGAACGTTGTGATCAAGAACGTGCCCACGGGCAACATGGTCAAGTTCATGAAGTTCTACGAGTCGACGCTGCTCTACATGCCCTTCCACCTGTTCGAGACCTTCCCGCACCTCAAGACCCTCGATGTGTCCAACACGAACATCCTGGAGCTCACGCGGAACACCTTCAGTGCGGCCAGCAACCTGACGTATCTGAATCTGAGCTACAACAACCTCACCTCCATCCAGACATCGGTGTTCATTGGAGCCAACTCGCTGATGAGGCTGGACCTGTCCTACAACGACATCTCGACCCTCAGCGTGAACGCCTTCTGCGGCCTGCAGATCATCAACAAGCTGCTCCTCACGGGCAATCGATTGCGGGAGCTGCAGAACGACATCTTCAAGGACAACGAGTACCTGGAGAATGTCTCGTTCGAGGGGAACTTCCTCAGCTACATCCGGCCGGAGGTGTTCAGCGGCATGCGGCGCATCAAGGAGGTGAATCTGTCCAACAATCAGCTGGTGCGCGTCCACCCGGACACCTTCTCGGAGGCCGCCAGCCTGGAGAGCCTGATGCTGTCGTTCAACCAGCTGCAGAACTTCCAGCTCACCGCCAAGAGCATCGTCCACCAGCTGCACCTGGACAACAACCAGCTGACGAATCTCACCATCAACGCCACCCGCTTCGTGCGGGCCAGCCACAACGCCATCTCCCAGCTGGTCCTGCACCAGTCCCTGCAGCTGGAGACCCTCGAGCTGAGCGCCAACCGCCTCCACAGCATCGCCAACATCACGAACCTCACATCCCTGCTCTACCTGGATCTCTCCGACAATCCCATCGGGCAGCTCAACATCAGCACCTTTGCCCAGCTGAAGCGACTGCGCAGCCTCAACCTGCGCGGCAATGGCATCCGGGAGCTCAAGTTCGGAATGTTCTCCAAGCAGAAGTACCTCGAGGAACTCGATCTCTCCTTCAACAACATGACCAGCCTCAACCTGGACATGTTCGTGCCGTATCTGGCCAACATCAAGAAGTTCCTCGTGGACGGCAACGAGCTCAGCGAGCTGCAGGGCAATCGCACCTTTGCCGACACCTTTCCGATGCTCCAGAAGCTGGGAGTGTCCCGCAACCGCTTCAACTGCTCCTATCTGCACCGCCTGCTCATCCCGCCCTCGCTGCCCGAGTCGGTGAGCCTCAACATCGAGCCGGACAGCAGCCTCGAGGAGACACCGCACATCCGCGACGTCTCCTGCATCAGCCAGTCCCAGCTGGCGCTCAACGCCTCCTTCACCGCCGAGGAGACGGCCCTCGAGACGCACATCCAGGCGCTGTCCAAACAGCTCGAGCTCGTGGGCGCCCACTCCCAGAACCTGGAACTGCATTTGGCCTTCATGAAGGTCTTTGCCTACGTCCTCGGAGGCCTCGTTCTCGTGGGTCTCATCGCTCTGGTAGCCCTCAAGTATCTCAAGACTCGTCGCTCGGGGCGCTACAATCGCAGCAGCATTGTCTTCCATTCGAATGCCACAATGGATGCGAATCTGACGCTGTGAAGGATGCCAAACCCACTCTAGATATAGGAATCTTAGGCTACATAAATCCCTCTCCTCCCCACTGAAAGAATCCAATCCGCTGAATAAAATGCAATACGGAAGAGTAACAGAATAAACCCTGAAGCGACTCTCTCTTATCTGTGTCTGTGACGTCGGGGGAGTACTTCCTGTGGCCCGTAGCCTTTGTTTTTCAGATAAGTTCAAGCCAAAGACCTTGAAGCCAACGGCATTCCCCGATAAACCCGAACCGAGATTCATTCGTTTCTGATTTCTGTTTCTGATCTGTCAGAGTTTTATATTTTCCACATTTTCTTCTACAATTCAATTCGAGTCGGTCGGCGATGGGTTCCATTCATTGCAGCATCTACTTCCTCAGCAGAACGGGGGCTGCGCTGTAGGCAGCGGTGTAGGGGGATGCCACATAGGGGGAGGCGACGTACGGAGATGCCACATAGGGCGAGGCGACGTACGGAGATGCCACATAGGGGGATGCCACATAGGGAGCCGCAAAGTTGCCGTGATATTCCCGGCTGTAGACAGCAGCCGCTGGGGCAGCAGCCACCAGGGGGGCAGAGTAGGCCAGAGGTGCCACAATGCCGGGCTTGGCCGAGACGCAGGCCACCAGAGCAACGAAGGCGAGGGCGAAGAACTTGAACATCTTGAATTGGATTGGATTGTGGTGCGGTCGAGTGGTTGAAACTGAACTGATGACAACTGCTGGCTGCGCGCGTTAATTTATAGCCAGCAAAAATCCAACTGCCGCCTGCACTCAGCCTTCGACGGTTAGAAAACCCAAAAGGCAGCTCAACCAAAGGTTCGTACACATATTCGGATTGTTGCTTGTAATTAAACAGAGACTTCCCCACAGCACACGACCCACTGGGGAGCTACGTATACGTGACTGGCGTGGCCAAAGAGTTCGCTTGAGGCCTTGCAAGGCCGCTTGGCACTGGCAGTGTGTGGGTCGTGGAACTGTTTGCTATATAAGCCAAGAGCCTCCGTCTGGTTGGGCATCAGTTGCATTTGTTCCATTCCGCAAGCAAAACAATCTAAAGCCGAATCCTCCAAGATGTTCAAGTTCCTCGCCGCCGTTGTCCTCGCTCTGATTGCCTGCGTTGCCGCCAAGCCCGGCATCGTGGCTCCCCTGGCCTACTCCGCACCCTACGTGGCATCGCCCTACGTGGCATCGCCCTACGTCGCCTCTCCGTACTCGGCCGCCTACGCTGCTCCTTACACCGCTGCCTACACCGCTGCCTACGCCTCCCCGTACGCCGCCGCCTACACCGCACCCTATGCCGCCTACACCTCTCCCCTTCTGCTGAAGAAGTAGAGAGCACGCCGGAAGTGCCACCCCAACAGCCGCCCACCTGCAGCCTGAAACCGGAAGTCCCGGAAGAACGAATCCCGCAATGTCCCAGAAATAAACTCTAATCAAACGAACAGCCACTGTCTTTCGCTCCATCTTTCCTCTGTGACTGGGAAAACATCTGTTTGCCGAACAGAAATTATCTGTAGCTCCCGAGACAAAGGCAGATTGCGTGTGCCATGCTAAATGTCACCCAATCCCAAGTAATTATCGGTATAAATAGAACACAAACAGAACGAATGAAGCAACCTTTTGTCTGCCATTCATAATATTTCTGCCCCATTCTGCTAATTATCCTTGGCTCGTACACATGTTTTGTGGCGTGCGACGACAAGCGACATTTATCAGAGACACACACACACATTGAGACAATGCAACGTGCCACATTTAAAATTAGACTCCACAGCGTATACGTAATCTGCGGCAGCTCACAAACAGAACAGAGCAGAGTCGATTGAGGGCGGAGACAACACAGAACAGAGCATTTGTTTGATTTGCTTGCAATATTATGCAAAACTTCATTTAATTCCACATTTTATCAATAACTAGCTGAACGGGGGGGGGGCGAACCTTTGCTGCTTCGTGGCAGTTCCCGGACACGGCATGGACACACACAGAACTAGACCAGACTACATTCTGGGTACATTTCTGCTGAATTTCTACATAAATTCTACACAAAACGAGAGGCTGAGCAGTATACTTCCAGGCGGAGTGGAAACTATTCCCCAGCTGCTGCTTTAATTGCAACTTTATTTATAGTTTTGCGTGTCTGCCAGCTGCCAGCGAGCGTAGCCACGCGTGAAGCCAATGCTGTTTGTGAGCTGGAAGTTGCCGGACAGTCCCAGACTGAAGAAAAAACTGCCAAAGGGATCGAGCACCACTTTCTGGCCGCCGAATATGGCGGGCTTTTGCTTCTTGTTGTGGTTCTTCTTGGCATTGCTCTGCAGCTGATTGAGCGCACTGTTCAGCGAGGACGAGGGATGCTGGACAAACTGATGGACGCCAATGAAGAACTTCTGCACATCCCCAAAGAAATCGTTCGCGGAGTAGCCCTTGGCGGGATCCGCAATGAGGAGAAAGTCTTCGGTGTCCGGATTGAGTTCCAAACTTCTGCCAAAGCCAGTGGAGAAGAGTATCGACAGGGGCTGACTGAGGCCCGACTCCAGCAGAGGCAGAAAGATCAACAGCAACTGGAAAGATGATGCTCGGGATGAAGAGTCAAATGGCAACGAGACCAGCAGCCACTTACACACCACATGCTCCCAAGTAGCAGTCTCAGAACTAAACCAAAGATCTGCCTCTGCCTCTCCTTTTATATGTGTGGAGTGTTCGTTCCCCCATCCGACTATGAGTAAGGAAACACTCGGAAAATATTCAAACCAATTTCACAAATTTATTTCGAGGCTTCGGGCGACAGTTTGTGGCTGGCTGTCAGCCGCCTGGCGATCCTCTCCTGGATCCTCAGATCCAGCCATAGCCATGGCCGTAGCCGCCGTAGCTGCCGTAGCTGCCGTAGCTGCCGTAGCTCAAGGGGCGCACAATGCTGTGGGAGTGGGTCCACACGGGGCTGCTGATCACGCGCACCGCGGGCAGACTGTGGTACGAGGTGCTCAGGATGGGCGAGGACGAGTGCAGCAGACCCGGAGCGGCGCAGGCAAGGGCCAGGCAAAGCGTGAGGAAGACGAACTGAGGGAAGAGGATTTCTTGACTACTAGATCCCCACGATGACGAGCCCCGAGGGGAATGGCTTACCAGTTTGAACATTTCGAGAGGGTTCTTGGAAGCAGAGCAGCTGTCAGAAGACTTGATGGCTTGCTCGGCGCGTGGCGGCTTTTTATAACGAGAAAACTCCACCCAGAAGCAGCGCCAAGAAGCCAAAGCAATCGCCCACCGACCTTGGAGCTTGCTGGCACCACAGCAAGAGACTGCACAGCAGCTCATGTTTCCTTTCCACCTTCCATCCCACCATTCGCCTGACTTTGGTTTGGAATTACTGAAAAGTGCAGCCACCACCGCACCACTGCACCGCCAAACCACTGCGATTCGGTCTGATTGGGAAATGCTGCTGGAAAACTGCGTCATTTTCCCGTAGCGATAAACAAATCAACAGCTTCCCCCCAAGAAACGGAAAAACAATCAACAGAATTTCGTGTTTTGGTATAAACAAAAACCTCATTTAATTGATCTTAGGCGTGGGCGTTTGTTTTTGGACTTGCGAACAATGGAAAGCAGAGGGAAACATCGCAATATTTGCCACCCAGCCACCCAGCCACTCACCGCCTCTGACCTTGAAAGCCTCTCAACCGAGAGGCAGGAAAAATACCGGAAGTGCGTCGCTGCTTTGTGGCAAGAGGGAGGCTTCTCCTTTAATTGTTTATTTGGGACCAAGAGACCAAGACCAAGACCAAGACCTACACCAATACTCTCCCTGGAGAAATCAGATAAAGGGAGGCAAATAAACGGCTTCGCCTTCGCCTTCGCCTGGGCCAAGGCCATGGCCAGCCGCAGGAGAAGGAGGAAGTGGGAGCAGCCGCTCACATGTACATTGGTGTGTGTCTGGTGGTGCTTGACTATCCTGTCACAGGGGAACACAGCAACACTCACGACAGCAGACAATCCGATTCGAATCAGATTTCAGAGTTCTGAGTGGCAGGGAACGAACGAGTTTCCCGGCTGCAGTCTGAAGTCTGCAATTGCAATTGCTTGCATCATTCCGCTGCCGTTCCCTGCCATTCCTTTTGCCATTCAAAGTGAGTTAAGGGCTTCTTTCATTTGCCGCCTGCTGCTGCCGCTGCTGCCCGCAAATGCCTTTGACCTTGGAGACCAAAACCCAGACCAAGAGCGGCCCAAAGTGAAGGTTTCTTCTCGATGTGTGGCGTGTGGCTTCTGGGACCTATAAAAGGCACATCCATCTGTCGGCAGGGATTCAGTCTGCGATCACTGTCCCAAGGAGTTGCAACGCGATAGAAATGAAGCTGGTAAGAGGTCCAACAAAAGGGAGTCTTCCCCCTTCTAATGTTTCCGTTTCCTTCCTCCACTCTTAGCTGATTTTTGCCTGTCTGCTGGGCCTGGCTCTCGGCCACGAGGTCTACACCTACTACACCCCGTCGTATGGGTATTATCCGTCGAGCTATGCCCGGTCAGCGGGTGTCCTGCCGCTGGCCTACTCTCGCCTGGTGGCTCCCGCGGCTGCCGAATCGCATCTGTACCACAGCGTGGCGACTCCCAACTCCTTCCAGCAGCAGTACCGCAGCGACTACAAGCCCCTCGCCTATGAGTATCATCTGTACTAAGCAGCGAGAGAGAGAGCAAACAGCTCTCGTCTCCAAGTGAAATTTGAATAAAGTTTGTCCACTCCCGCAACGAAAGTGTTTGACTGTGGCTTAGCCCCTCCCCACCCATCCGCTGGCCCTCTGACCCGTGGTCTGTTGAACCCCAGGGCAGCCGCCCATTGTTGCTTCATCGCGAGCAGAGCAAACAATGAAGGGAAAGCCGCAATGGCTGCGAGTAGTGTATCGAATGACCCCAAAATTAAGTTCCCTGCTCTCTGCAGCTGTTCACCTGTGTGTATGTGGCAAGTGGCAAAGTGGCAAAAGTGGAGGCTCGTCTAAATTTATCCACGCTCAAAGTGTCGCACGTCACAGGCGGAGGCCGGAGAAGCCCCAGAAGCGTCCCATGACTGCAATGTGACCGCAAGGAGCGCAGGAACTTCTGATGAGTGGCAGGCCTGGGGAACAGCTGAGGGAACGTGACTGGCGACCCGGGGCTGGTCACATGGCATTCCATCCGGCTGGGCCGGATCCCTCGGGTCTCCCGTACGCAAATTTCCCCCTCAAAAGCGGAAACCAAATGCTGATCTAATTATCTGGCATTAATTAATATCTGATTGGTTCTCTCACAGACGATACTCTGCAGAAATTGATTCCTTTAAAGGGTACACTGAAGCTTGGCACACATTTTGGGCACTTCAGGGGAGAATTTATTAAAGTTCAGACTTACCAGGAGGTTGAATCCTCATCGGGAATGGCTGCAAAGACAAAGAGTTAGAGTTGGAAATGGTTTAGATGAGACAGAAATGCGTAAAATGAGTCAATAATTTATGCAATAATCCACAAAAGAACTTTAGGAACTTCCCCACTCGTGGATATGTAATTAAAGTGTATTCTGTGGTCCAATTATGTCCAAGATTTATGACTGCGAGTGCCAGAGATTGGACATTATGCAAAAGCAAAATTAGAAGCGACTCCTCTTGCCAGTGGATGCCACTGATTAGTGGTCAGAGCCACAGCTACGTGCACATCCCTCACTCTGCAAACTAGTTTAATGCAGCTCCTCGGCGGCTTGGCTTCGATTGCTCCTCGCATGAGTCCATGTGCCAGTTCAAGGTTTCTTCAATGTCCAATTAATGGTTGAGGAAATCCCTGGGAGGCAGGCAGGCAGGCAACATGCAACAGGCTTACACTCTCCTACACAGCAGGGAAGAGAAACAGAGAGACAGAGAGAGATTGCAGATGGAAGATTCGTGATTCGTGATTCGTGACCGAAAACGAGAACAAACAGAAACCAGAATGGACAGAGTGGAACTGTCTGCTCAGGGGCAAGCCTCTGCCAAGCAGTTTACCCATGAAAACAGGCTTTGGCCGGCCTGCAGTGCCCCCAATCCCCCCAATATGTGTATAAAAGGCCCACAGGAATGCACAGCAGAGCTCAGAGCAGAGTGGCCCGTGGTCCGGAGTGGAATCGAGGAATCAAGAGACATCCAGAGACGACGCAGTTGGCAGTTCTTTCCACAAAATGCGCAATTATTCGCCTCTCTGGGTAGGCAAATCCTCTCGTCCATCGACTTGTTGACAGTGCTTTTCCCTACCTTTGCAGCAGCAGCAGCTAGTGCCAGTGCTGATGCTGATGGTGTTGCTGCTGGCCAGCACCTGCGTCAAGGCCAAGCCGCTGGTCTCCTTTGGCGTCAGCTACCAGCAGCCGCAGCCCTACTACAACAGCTACTACGGTGGACCAGGACCCTACCAAAGTGGCGGCTACTACTCCAACTCCAACCATTACTACAGCAGTCCGGCTTCGCCGTATCCCTATCGCTATCCCTATGCGGCAGGACACCGATACGGGGCCCTCGATGTGGGAATTGGCGCCCTGTCGCTGACCCCCTTTCTCCTCTGAGCGAGAGCGAGGAGAGCAATCCACAGAGTAAACACAGGCAGAAATAAATGACAATATATACAAAGACTTTTCATTGGAGGTGGCCCGACAGGTGACCACCACAGCAAGAACTCCCCAATACGTGACATTTCCACGGAGCAATGAGATCTCCTGTGAGTTTACGTGTGACCCACTGACTGACTGAATTTCCACACAATTCCCTTGGCTTTTCGCTGTCTTTAAGCCTTCAACTGATTATGTTGTTGCCGCTGCTGCTGTCGCTGCTGTCCTTGCCGCTTGCCGCTTGCCGCTTGTCGCTGTTTTTATTTATAGAAGACTTTTCCCATCTTTTCCATTCTTCGCGGGTCCGTGCATAACCGCAGTGCGTTCGCAAAACGTGCACAAATCGCCTTGGGGAGTGGGTGAAGCTGAGTGGGAGCTGAGTTCGCTTTTCCTTTTGGCTCTTTCCTTTCCTGGGCTAAGCGCATAATTGCAGTCATTATCCGGAATTAGATTAGCCCTGTGTCCTCTTGGGGATCTATTTCAGAAGGGGACACTCTCTTTGTGGTGCACCAAAGGCATAAGACTTGACTATTCCTCTGTAATAATTGCATGGGGCATGGCCCTGAGCTTCCCTTTCCGCATCCAGCGGAAGCAAAAGGTGAAGGTGCAACATCCGCGTGTGCAAGTTGCTTTCTCATGTTTTTGGACACGAGTTGCACAGACTCCTCCTGCCAGTTGCCAGTTGCCAGTTGCCACTCGCTTCACGTGAGTCTCATCCACATGCGCGGCTGATTTTGCTGGCCGTGTCTCTAGTTTTCCAGGTGACGGCGATGCCTGGGGGAATGACGTGCCATGGATGGATCACGTTCCCCATCACGCACAATGATGGCAGCTCGAAAGTGCAGCACAAGCGGGGCCAAAGTGTTGTACCGAGAGTCGTCCATCAGGCATCAGCCCTGCCGCACAATGGGGGAAGCCATCAGCAGTCACGTTGAGTGGAAAAGCCCAAGCAACAGGCAACAGGTAGAACCCCCCCCAATGGGCCTTCATTAGTTGTGTGCCTGCTCCTTGTCGACACTTCATCGTCCTCCTCGTTGTCGTTGTCGTTGTCGTTGGGCCTCGTCGTCGGGATGCGCTCGTAACACGAGCAGCGAGCAGCGAGCAACGAGTCCTGCGTGTGTCCTCGTCGGAGGCGAAGGTTGAAACCGAAGCGAAGCTGCCACACTGCCACACTGCCACGCACGACATTGAGGATGTGTATAAAAGCAGGAGCCGCAGTGCAGCCAGCAATAGTCTTTGCCAGAACTCACGGGACGCGAAAACCTCCAGAGAAACATCTGCGCTCCAAAGAAATCGCAAAAAAAAACAGCAGCTAAAAGCAGCTCCAACAGAACTCGAGTGATTCAAAGAAGTGTGACACAAACTAGTGACAAGAACCAGTGAAGAAAACTCTAAAGAATAATAAATTAAAGCTCCAAAATGGATACCCTTTCGCCTAACAATGGCTCCAAGTCGAGCTCCAGCGGCAGCTCGGCGGCCAGCTCCTCCATGGATCTGGGCAGTGGCAAGCAGCGCCATCAGCGCGGCCAGAAGAAGCTCTCCCGCAGCAGGAGTCTTCTGCAGTTGCTCAGCAGACACTTGGGCAAGCACTTCCATCACCATTCGCATCATCCGCAGCACGAGACGGTCTACAGCAGCCAGGACGACATCCGCAGCAGCTCCACAGACTCCTTCAGCCTGAGCTACGAGCGCGGATCCCACGAATGCACCGGCGGCATGTCCATGAACATGAACATGAACATGAATATGAATATGAATATGACAGGAGGCTCCAGCCAGGATCTGGATGAGCCCACCTCGGGATACTCGCGGTACTCGCCCACGGGCCTCGACTTCTACGACAACCAGGGACACATCTACGTGGATGCCGTGTTCCGGCCGGGCAGCGCCCTGGAGCAGCTGCATCCCCAGATGCACTACGACGAGGACAGGAGCGAGGGCGGCAGCAGCGAGGGCAGCAGCAGCAACGAGGGAGAGGCAGAGGGCGACAACGATGGCGACAATGAGCGCGAGGACGACAATGACAACGACAACGATAATGAGAATGATAATGAAAATGAAAACAGGAAGCAAAGATCCGCCTCGGGGGCATCCGCTTCCGCCTCCAAATCGCACGGACTCCATCTCAGCCGCATCTCCATCTCCTCGTCGGTCAGCCGGATGCTCCAGCACTTCTCCAGCTCGGCGGCCACCACGGCAAACGCCTCGCTGCGCTCCCTCTCCTGCAGCAGCACGCCGCTGCATCGGCAGCTGAAGAAGAAGTCCCTCTCGCCCCACAACTCCAACAGCAGCAGCAGCAGCAGCCACTCCAGCAACTCCAGCTCCAAGTCCTCCTCCTCCTCCTCCTCCTCCGCCTCGAAGAAGGACAAGAAGCAGCAGAGCATCCTGCGGCCGCCCGTACAGTACGTCTACATGAAGGGCATGTCCGGCCTCTACTCGCGAGTGCCCAGCTACGCGGTCTGCTGCCCCTACACCCTCCACCACATGTACTAAGGGGAGCCGTAGATGAAGCTGCAAGGAGTGGAGACGGGACTGGACACGGATCTCAGGATCCTAGTGATGTACGACGAGTGCCTAAATGCCAAAGAGCCAAGGAGGGTGGCAGCATGGAGCATATTTTATAAATGTGCGAGAAAGCCGAGTCCGCTGAGAGGACACGGCAGATTGGACCCATAGGAGTGCCCCAGAAATCAACATAAATATCTGTCTGTCTTCTGTGCGCTACGATAGATGCAGCCTCAGACGATCTAATTGTCTTTGGCCAGTACTGTAGGGACTTTCAGTTTACAACTAAATGAATGAAACGTAGTTTTAGCCTAAGCGAAAACGTTATTTAGAGAATTATTATTATTAAACCCCTCTAGGCCCACTCCACATATCTTGCGATGAGTAATCCTAAAGTTAGACTCGATTTTTGAGACACATTTAGTTGAAGGATGAACAAGAGATTCTGCACACTTCTTAAATAGTTTTCCCCTTTGCTTTGCACTCATTTCGATTCGATTCGATTCGATAACTCAAAAATAATATAAAAAACAATTTCAAATTGACGAATTTATACAAGGGAAAATGAACAAAAAAAGAACAAACAACAAAGGAAAATGTCTTAAAGATGTCACTCTAATAAATAGAACAACAATTTTACAATAATTCACACATTTTTTAAAGCAAAAACAACAATTATTCCAACTAAAAGAACTACAAGAAATATCAAAGAAATGAAACAACAGAAAACCGTATGGTAGTTTGGAGAAAATAAAAACTGTAGCGACAAATGTAATTAGAGGCCTAAGAAAAATGACAAAGATCTATACAACACAAATGTAGATATATTTTTAGTAAATATTTAATCTACAACTAAGACTAGATGTCAATGGAATACAAAAAACCAAAAACCAAAACCAAAACTTTACTTTACTCTACTAGGGGGTGGGAGACAAAACGAAAATCAAATTTCAGTCAAGGCGAATGGAATGCAAGCATCAAGGAGAGCTTCAGTTGTAACGGTTAAGCGCAAAGCTTAAGGACACCGTTAACGTAGGCAAAAAGCTCCTCAGCGAGAGAGAGAGAGATAGAGAGAGAGAGAGAGAGAGTCGTGAGAGTGGCCTCCAAACTTTTGTTTAGAGAACACTCTCCAACTGTTCCCACTGGGAACAGACACCGAAAGTGTGCCAGCAGTGCATGGACTCCAATTCCGATTCGCCTGCTGCTGCGCTGCTGATGATGTAGGCAAAGTCCTCAAAATCAAGTTGCTGAAGGACTCGACCTTACAGTTTTGACATACGAGAGAGAGCCATGTCCATGTCCAAGCCAATGTCTGTGCGATTCCGTGACGTTAATCGGCCAGGCTGCCTGCCTGCCTGCCAGCCCCACTGCCCCACTGGCGAAGCGTTTAAAATTTGATGACACCTCAATTATGTAGGTTTCCCAACGGGTGGGCTGTGGGATGAAGGCCTCTCCCATTCTCTTTCATATCCCCTTTTCAGGGTCATTGTCTCTTTGAACCCTTTCCTTTACGGATGCTTAGGCCACAATAAACAAGGCACATCCTTGGCACACTTAACGTCCCAACAAAATCAAATTAAAATTCATGATTTATCTGCAAACAAACAAAACAAATTCCCTAAGAGCAAATCTGCACACACAAAAAACCGGAAAAACAAAAGAAAAACAAATCCCGTGTTTTGATAGTTTTGTGTGACGCAGTTGGCGAAATTTTCCTGCTCTCTCTTTTCGTTTTTGTTTTTTGTGTGTGTGTTTCATATGCCGGAAAACTGCGTTGCACGAAAAGAGAATGCATGGCGAAAAGGTCACGAATGGGGTTACGGCTGGAAGCAGGAGGGCAACCTGGGCAGAGTTCCTGGAAGAATGCAATCAGCAGTGGCCAAAGACAACAAACAGTCAACAGTCTTCGGGGGAAAATGATGACCCAATCTTTCCATTGAAGGAGTTTTAAACTTATTATCCGCTTCATTGTTAATCTATTTTGATTTTATTTCTATAGAATTAAGCAATTAATTATCTGTATATTACTAGGGAAATAGCTTCGTCTCTCTTAGCTCAAGCAATAGGACTTTAAATTTATGAACTCTAAGAGTTTGTCTCAGGCCAAATACCAGCATCAATTGAGACAATTAGCTTGAATTTGGCAACTTTTAACTTTTGCGGGCCATCGCAGAGAGTTCATTGATCCGCAGGATAACATCGAGGCTCATTTATTAATCCATCCGATGGCTAGCTTCATTAAGTCACAAATGAGTTAATGCGCCGCTAAATGGATGCGACAAGACGCTTAGCAAGTCAGCGCCAAAGGAACAGCCACACCCACAGGCGAGGCCCAAATTGACTCGAAAGTTGTGTCATTTCTGGGGATGGAGAAATCAGTGGCCGCTCTGACGTCAGTCGGCGGGAGAGGCTGAAGCACACAACAATTGCGCCTCTAATTAGAAGTTCAGCATTTTGAGGCGTGGAGTAATCGCTGTTGACACCTACTTAAATCCCTCACTGCTCCTTCTCGCTCTGCTCATCGTGGGGCCAAGACAAAGGACTTCATTAGACCACCGCCACATCCACCTCCACCTCCACATCCACATCCGCCTCCTCATCCACATCCACATCCACCGCCATGGCCATGGCCAGCGATGTTGTCGGAGATTGTCTTAAAATGTTGTCCCATAAAATTGGCATTCGACTTTATTTATAGCGCATTAAAATCAATTTTGTGCGTAATTAAATAAAAAGCAACAACAATGCAACTAATGGCAGGGGCTGGGGGGAAGGCACGGCCTGAATCTATTTTAGCCGCAAGGGAGGGACACTTCGTGGCCTACCAGATGGGTGCCCCAAGTGTGCCACTTGAAAACTGTCATAACCAAGGATATTTTTAGTCAAATCCCTCCAAGGAGTGGCACTCCGCCTTGAAGGGGCTATTTTTAACAGAGCGAAAAACCCGAAATGGAATCAAATGCGAAACAAAGGGAAATGGAAAATGATTAATAATTGAGCGAAAGAAGGAAGCAAGAGCAAGCGAGAACAAGGAAAACAATTAAAAGTCAGAGAGAGCAAAGTCCAGAAGTTGATGGAAAGTCAGGCGCCAAAGGAGAGGGGCGGGGCGCGTGCATTGACACCACCTGGCAGCCGACGGCTGACGGCTGGCGGCCGGCGGCATCCCAGGCACAGGCACAAGCACAAGCACAAAACAACGGTAAACAAAATTCACTTCCCGTTTTATGAGATGAGGCAACAAATGCGGGCAAGCAGGAGGACAAAGGAGAGCGCTGGAGAGGGGGGGTGGGAGAGTGCAGGGTAAAGGAAAGACAAGGTAGGGCCCTCCCTGCATACTCCAAGCTCCCTCTTTGCCGATTTCCCACCCTCCCTTTAACATGCCTTGGACTCCACTGTGCAGAGAGCGAGAGACAACGAGAGAGAGAGAGAGAGAGAGAGACGCTTTGCAGACCTTCGCAGACACCGGGCGAGTCTATAAAAGGAAGCGGCTTCCGATTTGCCGACTCAAACGCGGCAGGACAACGTAACCGAACGAACGCCAAAACACACTCTCCCGAGGCACGAACTACGAAGCAGAGGGAACCACGAAAGGAGCTTGCGGCAAATCAGCAATCGGCGGGCGGCGTCTCTCGCGGACAAAGACCGGTTACAATAACAAAGGAAGTGGATCGCGGGGAGGCAGCCAGGAAGCGGAAAAACAGCGGAAGTGCAGCCATTTGCACTGCCCTCAGCCGCGCCCAGAACGGGGCAACAAGGAAGCGGGCGAAAGGGATTCAGGAAGCAGACCAAGGAAATTACTTTTGGCCAGAAATTGAATTGAAGTCGAGCCATTCCGATGGGCACTCCTCATGTTTGCTTTGCCGACGAGCTGCCGCAGTCGCAGCAGCCGAGGCGCAAGGAGAAGGAGGCCTTCTCCAACGGGAGCAACGGGAGCAACGGGAGCCTGAACAACAACAACCATTTGGGGAAGAAGTCCATGTCGGAGCTGGAGGTGTGCTCCTCGCCGGGCAGCAGCCTCAGCGTGTCGCCAGTGCCCCGCTTCGAGCGGAACTTGGGCTTCTTTCGGCAGCTGAGCCGACGCTTCGGCCTGAGGTCGCAGGATGACCTACTTCAGTCGGATGACGCAGTCGCCGCCGCTGCAGTGGCAGTTGCAGCCGTGCAGCACCAACAACACCAACAGCAGCAACAGCAGCAGCAGGAGGAGGATGCACACAGTTCATCGACCGACTCGTGCTCCTCGGGGCGTGGCCTGGCCGCACACCAGTCGCGACTGGAGCTGATGTCCATGTCGTGCGCCTCCAGCGAGACGAGCAGCACCCTGGACATTGAGGAGCAGCAGGAGCACCTGCAGCAGCAGCAGCACCAGCGCCAGCAGCTCCAATTGAAGCTGAAGCAAACGAACCGTGCCAGCTTCTCGCGGCTGCATCGTCGCTCCACATCCTCGCTGCGCCGCGCCTTCGAGAGTCTCTCGCTGACCTCACGCTCGCTCTCGTGCAGCGGCCCATCGCCACCGCCGCCTCCCCCTCCGGCGGCCGCCACCCACTCGGCAATGCCACTGAAGTCGGCTCTCAAGTCCGCCTCGAACGTGGAGCTGCACGAGCAGCAGCCGAGCAGCAGGCCGACGGCCGTCTCCAAGTGCGGCACTGGCGGCTCCTGCAACGCCGCAACGTCGGCGTCGGTGGGCAAGAGCGGGGGCAAGGGTAAGCCGCCGCCACAGAGAATTCTGCGGCAGCCCGTCTCCTACACATATCTGAAGGGCATGTCCGGCCTGCCCACCCAGCGGGTGCCGCGCAGCTCCGTCTGCTGTCAGTATGCGAGGCGTTAGAAGGACTTAGAAGATTCTCGAGTCGCATTGCTCCACATCACCATTTCCCCACCCCCCCCCCACTCTTTCACCCGAATTCATTTCAAAATCTGTGATACAACAAGCCTGCCCCTACGCCCCCCCTCCCCCCTCCTAACCACCCACCACCCCCATCCATCATATCCGAAAGTCTTCACCAAGCAAACAAAAACGAAAGAAAGGGAAACCAAACCACAATGAAATGAGAAATGAGAACATTTTATAAAAATTTGAATAACTTTTGCACTTGGAAAACGAAAACCAAAAAAAAAACCAAAAACAAAACCAAAACCAAAAACATATATAAAATATATACAAGAAAAGAATTATTAAGTAGAGAGTAGATGCATTCGTCATACATACATTTATCCGCTTGATTCTAGGTCTAAAGATCATTCCACACACGTGCATACGTGTAAAAGACTGTAAAAGATGAATTAAACTTTTCATTTTCATTCCGCAGTTGTAGATTTCCTTTAGACGTATAAATTCCTAAACGATTCGTGCCTTTATCGGAAAAGTCAGAGCAGGAGAAAAAGATAATTCAAGTGGAGTAAATCTTTTCTTTCGCATAAGAGAAATTCGTATGATAAGTTAAGTGTAGATTTTCCTTAGTGAATGTTAAATGGGATCAACAATTCGTCGTCAGGCATTTATCTATGTTCCGAAAACACACACACACACACACACACACAAAAGAAAACAAACTCTAACTTGAACTTTAACTTGAATTATTTACATTAAGAACTTGTTCCATTCCAAACAAAAACAAACTAATTTGCCAAGCCAAACAAGAAATATAAAGATATAGCGAACCAGATATAGGAACAGCACTCAGAATCCAGCAAAGTAGAATATTCGAAGAAGCCAAAAAAGAGCGCAACTGACTTGAGAGTATTAATACCAATGTACTTTAGCAGATGTACACACAGATTTACATGCAGTTTACAGACACGAAGAGATTAACCCAAAGATTCAAGTAAAGTAAAATGCAATCCAAGGCCTAACTATACTCGTTTGTACACATTCTACATATACAATATAAATATATACATAAAATATGCGTGAATCGTAAGCAAAAGCAATAACCGTTGAGGGAATATATACAGAAACAATATCAGCATAAATAACTATACCATATACCATATACCATATACCATTCAGATATATACACTACCTACGTATGCATATATACAGCAGCATCTGCAACATATTACTAACTATTTACCAACAACAGCAGGGCAGCAGAGCAGCAGAGCAGCAGCCAAGCCAATCCACACGCAAAATGAGAGTTCAATAAAAGTGAAATAATTTACACAAAGCGAAAGTCTTTGCATATTTACTACTACTTTCACTGAGCTTTTTCAGGTTGGGAAATCACCTTAAATATTCTGTAGAGCAAAGACTGCTTGTGTTGCTACCTTCAAAGCTACTCAATCTCTACTTCATTCTGTTCTTCAACTAATTAAATCGCCATTTCCATGGAGCTGCCCTCCATCCATCCATTATAATCATAATATTCGCCGTTCTTTTCTCGTTTAATGTCTGCTCTGCCACCGTCGCGACGTTCTGTGTGACACCAATCGGAGCAGAAAACTTTCAGCCATACAAAAAGTTGGCCAAAAATAGCCACAAATCAATGGACATCCCACAGATTACGATACGATGATGATGATGGTTATATGGAATATGCAATTAGGAGAGCAATTCCAGGACTCTGTCATAGCAATTCGAGATTGAGTGCACGCCTGCCTGCCCACTCCCCAGACCATCAACCCGTCCCCGAAATAAAAGTAGAAATGAGTGGAAAAGTTTGCTGTCCACGAAAGTAGGTCAACGATTGAATTGCCATCAAGATATTTGGTTGTCAGGGCAATATATGGCTATGACCGAAGACGCATCTCTCTCTAGGGGCATTCTCGTTGAATTTATAATGAGTCTGAGGAGGAGCGGGGCGAGCCATGTCTGAGGCATTTGATTAATATGCTTCCAGCTCAACTGGCAGACAATAAATATCAAATAACCATGTCCCGTCGAACCGCAATAAAAAACCGAAACCATCTGACAGTTTGATTTGACAGGCGGCATCTCTCGGAAAAAAGGGAGATGGAGAAATAACAGTAAAAGTAGAGTCCTGTATTTGTATTTGAGTCTGAGTTTCAGTTTGAGTTTTGTATTTTTGCATTGATTGATTTGTGTGCGACAGTTTCGAAATGAATACATTCCACTCTTCACTCTCCACTCTGCACTCTCGCCTCGAATCGGGAATTCCCATTTGGCTGGCAACCGAACAATCATCATAAAATTCCATCTGTTTGGCAAATCAAATGCGGTGGCAACAAATTAATGAAATTAGTGCGAATATTAAGCGTAAGCTTGGCCAAACCGCAGGGAGTACTGCGGAGTGCGCTCCTCTCTCCTCCTTGATTTAATGGCCAATCCAGGAGTCTGCCCTCTGCTAAATGGCCGACACAGTCACGCACTCAAGTGGCAGAGGCTCCATGTGCCTGCCACACTCACACTCACACTTGTCTGCCCACAGACGTGACCGAAAAGATGATGAAAAATGTCAGAAACTAAACATTTTGGCAACGTTCCCCACAGATTGGCATCCCTCTATCCCACTATCTGCACCCCGCCACCGCACCCAGATGTAGGATTCTGTTCCTAGTACGTTTCTATGTACTGTCTAAAAATATCCTTTGACCTAATTCCGGTTGACAGTCGACAAATGGGGGGATAAAGCGATACGCAACGCAGATCTGAGGGCACACAGTGCGTATGTGTGATTTTTACAGCTGTGATTGTTGCTCCTCAGACTCACTGTTGGCCGGGGCAGCCTTTTCCTTGTCTCTCTCTCTCTCTCTCTCTGTATCTATCGCTATCTCTACGAGGGTTTTCCCCCATTTAATTTGAAATTGCTCTTGTAGGAGTACGGAGCGGGCACTCGTAACAATATAGAGAACGTTCCTCTGCTTCTCCTGCTCTACGTGCTGCTGCCAGGCACGTAATCATTTTGACAGCGCTCAAGAATAGTTTCAGCCGCATCTTTGTCCCAGCAGCTCCTCCTATATGCTGTTTTCTCGTCTCCATTCTCACATTCAGCAAAATGAATTGCTATTTTTAAGCATTTAATTAAGAGTCTTTTCCTGGTAAACATTTTTAGGCTGCCATTCGCTTGCTATTTCTATTTCTATTTCCGTTTCCTCTCGTCATGTGCGAGTATATGTGGCAGCGGAATGTGGCTGCTTATTAATAATAAACGGAAATAATTTCTACTCTCCTTTCGCTGGATGTTGGCTGCTGGCACTGCTCCTCCTTCTCCTTCTTTTGTTTTGCGTTTGGTTTATGGCCCCCAGAAGGTAGGAGGAAGTGCAGAAGGCTCTCCATTTCCAATACGGGAGAGTGCGGGCTTCATTTTAACAGGTTACGCGGCATTAACTTCTCTTGGTGAGAAGCCTCCTGCACTTCCCATTCCGTGGTTGCTTTTTAGAGTGGGGAAAGGCTCAATGTTTATGAGGCAGGGCGTGTTAATTTGCTGCACGCGCCAGCCGAACGTGGAACGTGGCGGCGGTCAACTTGTTGCCACAGAATCGAGAGGGACTGATGAAACCCAGGGATACCCTCAGAGAAGGGACCCACTCTGCCTTTCCACAGCTTTCCTTCGGTTGAAGCCATCGCTTTGAGGCAGTTTTCCAGGGCATGCAACACCACAGAATAATTAATCTTATTCTTTGTTGTGTGTTGCGGCACAGCCACACACGAACGTGGAACAGTCTGAACTTGCGGCCAAGTCTTAGTCAACTTTTTGACTCTCTTTCAGTGGCAGTAATCAGAGGAGCCTCGCAGGAGGACTCACTCTCAAGATATTCATTCGAAAGTGTATGAGCATCTCCCTCCCATACATTTTCATTCATACTATGTGACTTTATGACTTCCATACCAATATTTACTTGTATTTTGTGTACCTTTGGCCCGCCATCTCATCATCAACATCAGCTCGCGGGGATGGGTGGAGACGTCTCCCCAGTATCTCCTGTTCTTTGCTCTCCTTTCCTGTGCTTCGCTGCTGCTGCAACCTCATCTTTTGATGCCTCTTTACGGTTTTTATTGTATATTTTTATTGCTCATGTTTCCGGCTTGTTATCTTTGTTGTTTCTCCCCCGCACACACACACACACACACACACACACACACCGGTTTTAATGGCACTTCTTCTGTCCTTGTAATTTCGTTTCTGCCCAAAAAATATTAATGAAATTTTCAAGAGGCTCCCGCTCCTGGGTTCCCTTTTAGGTAATTTTTTCCGCTGTTTTGGGTGCTCGAATTAAATCTTCGCCCATTGATAAACACTCGAGGAGAAATGGCATGGCATCACTTATGCTAATTCACACTCTGACCCAAATACCAGACTCCCATATCCAACGTGAGAACAACAGGCCGCCCCGCCCCGCCCCTCCGATCCGCCAGCCGATACCCCAATTCGGGAATTTGTTTGTGTGCCAGGAATCTCATTAGCTATGCAGCCCGTGTTACCGTCGGTAATTGAAGCCAATACGCAAGCAAAATGTCTCCATTTCGCACTGACACGAGGACTTGCCAGGGAGTGCCCCTCAGAGGGGCAGGTACTTGGGTATTTCTCTGCTCTTGCTGCCAAAACATAACTTATGCCCCTCTCCCCCCCAGGTAGTTAGTAATTAGTCTTGTAGTTTTCAAGCTGTTTAGGCTCCCATCCCAGGGGACATCAATTATGCACGAGAAGTGACCCCAAAACGAATGCATAGGCTGACATTTGCAATGGGCCTACGTGTTGTCCTGCAAACGAGAAAAATTACAAGAAAATGGGAAACATTTATCCCTAAAGTAGCCAGCTGGCAATGGGAGCACTGCACGTACAATTTGTCAAGAGGAAAATGGCCAAGGAAAGGAAATGAGAGGAAAGATAAAAGGAAAACAAATGAAAGCTGGAGTGTCTATTCCCAGCCAGCAGGAGGAAGCCAACCAAAAGAAAACAAGTTCCCCCAACGCTAAGCACTGAGTGAGCTTTTTGGGTGTAGTTTTTCCGCCGAGAGCTGGTTGTAAAATCAATTAGAGAGGGAGTGACCCGGGCTTTGGCCCTGTTTTCATTCACAAATCGACCAAAGCAGAGCACTGGGAGAGCAATGCAGTCTCTGCGCCGGTTGAAGGTTAATGCCTGCCCCGGAGGCCAACTGCACTGCACTGCACTGACGATGACGTACCGCACTGTAGCTATATCTGTGGCAGTAGCTGAACCCGATGCCCGATGCCCGATGCCCGGTCCGGAGGCATCCTTGAGCGGCTCCATACGTCATTCCAGCTATGTGCAGAGATAGAAAGAGAGAGAGAGACGACCTTCGGGCAGCAGCTGCCGGTGAAATGGCATTCCCTGCTCTGCTCAGAATGGGATTTCATTCATAATTGCCGCAAGTGCGACGGGATACGCTCTCCCGGATAATATCCAACAGCCACAAGGCAATGTCCTCGACCTACTTTCGCCTGGCAGTTTGTTTCCCCAAGGAAACCCCACACAGAAGCCAGGAATCGGTGGTAACTTCGTTTGCCTCATTGCGCCACACACACACGTCGCTGGGCATTTAATTTGATTTTGGGCAATTGGAAGTGGGTTAGTGGCTGGTTAATCCAAGGTCCTGCCTGCTCATGAATGGCAAAATTCCATTGGAACTGGAACAGTTTTTGCTTTGGTTTTCGCTTTGCTTTTCATCGTGTGCTTTTCACCACCCCAATCGATGGATTGACAGATCCTGCTGGAAGGAGTCTCAGGCAGGAAGGAGGCAGTCCGTCAGTCAGCAAGTCACATATCAAAACTGACGCAATCTTCGCTTTTAATTAGAGACAAGTGCAAGGACATGCGGCGGATGATGAACGGGTAGGAGTCCTGTGTCCTGCATCTATCTCTCTCCCACTCTAAGAATCCCTTTTCAGAATTTTATGCATTCCACGCGCTCTCGTCAGCGTCCGCCCTCATCCTCCCTCCTCCAACTTCCTTCCGTTTGGCCTGGCTTGCAAATTGAATTTAAAAACTCAATAATAATCAGTTTATTGCGTATACGACCAGTGGAGCGGAAGCGGCGACATTTGCATGAGCTTCTCGGCAGGCTACTGTCTACGGTGGCCACTGCCTCGATAAGGCGGCAAATGGCAAGGGCATGGCATCCACCCGCTGAGCATCATCAGCATCATCGCCTTTATCGTCATCATTCGATGCACCTACCGAAGGTTCTCCAAAATGGTGACGTCGGCTCACTCCTTCTCTCTCTTGTTCAGGTATCTCTCTATCTCTTTTATAGTTATCTAGGTCAGGGGCTAACAGCTCGTCGTCGCCGTCGTCGTCGTCTCTGTCGCTTGTTGTCCTTAGAGTCGTTGACGTTTGTCGGTTGCCGTTGCCGTTGCGGTTGCGGTTTATCCTCAGCCGCTGTTCCTTCGCGGTTTTTCCTGGTACTGGTACCTATGACGTTGCAACACATTGCCCCCTACCACACTTCCCTTGCCGCTGCCACACATAATTGAATCGGCCATGATTCGGGCGGTGGACTGCCACAGCTGGGCGTGGCTCTAACTGCATTTGGTTCATTGCGTTCGCTCTTGTCCGACATTTTGGTTAAGGATTTATTTATAAATTTGCCACACACCGCTCCCTGCCGCCTCGGAGGGGGGTTTTCTGTTCAGCAGAGCACATAAAGCGGCTTCGCTGTGTCCGCTCCACTTATTAATAAACCCAAACGAGAATCGAAGGCTAAACCGGGATCTTCTGGGATGCCCTTTCGACAGATCATTGCTGGGGTTACTTCTATGGACATTTTCGCATCATTTACATATTCCAGTCTATGAGAAGAGTATTTAAAGGCCAAACAACAGGCGTGGCATGGCATGCCGCTGTGGCGCTTTGTGGATTGCATGCAAAATGGATGCTCGAGAGACATAAATAAACTGCAGCTAATTTGAATGCACCAAATGTCCTTGGGGCAACGCCACTAGCGGCAGAAGGCAGAAGGCAGGAGGCAGAGCAGACATCCTTCGACCCCATAACAATTGCAACAATTTGCAAACCAAGTGCCTCCGCAAGGATACGTACATATTTCAGTGGCCTGTCCTCTCGTGTTCGCTGTTCTGTTTCGGTTGTTTTGGGATCATTCAAACGCCTCCTTTGCTTTCATTTGGGCAAAGGTCAGACCCCGCAGAACAAAGCCCAGGGTCCAACCCAAGGGACCACTTGACCCACTAAATTCTAGAGGATACACCCGAGATAAAGGAGATCTCAGAGATGAGATGATGAGCCCATCCTTGGGCCAAAGTGGTCTAATCCTTTCGTAGAATGAATGGCACACGGTTACAGATGCGAGCGATGGGGGCTTAACCCAAATATGTTGGCAAATAATGAAGCTCTTTGTTGGCCGCGTTCTCAATTGGCCTTCGACCGCTGCAAGAGCGCGGATGACGTCACCAGCAGGACACACACACACACACACACACACATGAGGGGGCAGACAGGGAGATAGGAGCCAGCTGAATGTCACGCCCCGAAGTTTAGGTTAAATTTAGCCAAAGGCAAAGCCGAAGCCCACAGCCAAAGCTACAGGCGACAGCCCATAATTGGGCGCGTAATTTAAAAATAAAAACTCAAAATACCAAATAGGAAAATGTACTAAAATCAGCCTTAAATGGCAACAAGAAAAATATGCCAATAGAGAAGTGTGTGCCCCATAACACTTAAGAGGCTTACCGCACCACACGCGCCGCATCCCCACCTCCCCGAGAAGTAGGCAACAATCTGGGGCAAGTGAGCGCGGATCACAGTCGCTTGACAAATGAGGGGGCGGCACAAGTATTTTAATTGTTTGGAGAATACCGGTTCGTGTCCTGCCTCTGCTGCTTGTCCAGAAAACGTAAATGTAAATGGAGGGACACTTTGGAGCTGATGGAACGTCGGATGACCTAAGGAGGAGTGGACACTGAAAGCAAAGTTTATGGCGGGGCAGATAAATAGGAAGCAAAATTTGATAAATGCTAAAATGGAAACGGCTCTGAGAGGAATTCTTTAATGGTTCAGAAAGTGGGTCAAAATACTCTTTAATTGCAGTCCAATCGCTTGGCAATAAATTAAAATGATATTATGGAGAGAAAATTAATGAAATGTAATACCAAAGAAGAGGTTCAAAGGTGGCAAAGACTCTACTCACAGTGGGGTATTCTCCAATTGTTTTTGATCCATGCCACAGCTTTGCTTATGCCTGAAATCAAGAGAAAATGCGAAATATTATGCTCTGAAGTGATGCTTAAATTGCTTTTGAAGACTTAAACTGCACCAGTGTTACCCTGTAATTTGCATAATAGTAGAAGCAAAAATTAAACAAAACAAATGGGGGAAAAATGGAAAGAAATGCCAGGGCAAAGTTGCAGAGTCCTGCTCCAATTAAGACCCCGAGAGGCTGTTAAGTCCGGGCCATTTGTCGGGCCAAAAGAAGAGATTATCAAAGCCAGAAGCACACACAGACACGCACACGCATACAGACACACGCACATGTACTCGTAGATATAAAATCTGGTAGCCGTATCCTTCAACTGCAGTTTAAATGCCAAATCAGCGCAAATGGTCCGTCTACAGAGAGAGAGAGAGAGAGAGAGAGAGAGAGAGAGAGAGACAGAGGGTGTTGGGTTGGGTGTTGCCAAAAGGACCTTTGGCTTCTGCAGCATTTCCAACTGCTGTTGCTGCTATTTTCGTTGTTGGTTTCATAATGTCACTCGACACAGCGGCAGAGCGACTGCAATGTCCTTGCAGCACTGGAGTTCATTGGCCCAAAACATTGAGCTGCAGCCTGCAGTGCCTGTGCCAGAGCCAGAGCCAGAGCCTCTCACTCTCTCTCTCTCTCTCTCTCCAGCCAGAAATACAGCTGCCACCCGAGAGAAAGAGAGAACTGGCCAAGGGAGCAACGCAGAGCAGAGCCGAGCCGAGCAGAGGCAAGAGCCAGGTTCAATGCACGGCAAGTAGGTTATAAAAAAAGGCAAAAGGCCGGCCCTAGGCGCTAAGACACAGCCTGTGCTATGACGTCACACAAAAATGCGGCAAGCACACAGAGAGTGTGTGAGAGAGAGAGAGGGAGAGATAAATAGAGATGGGCATAGAGATGGAAGAGAGGAAGGGGCGGAAATGCGGCTTAATTTTCAGTTGAGAAAACCCGAGAAATATGCCAACTTTTACTTTTTCCCTCTCTATGTGTGTGTGTGTGTGTGTGTGTGTGTGTGTGAGGGTATGAATGCATGTGAATAAGTGTGAATACACCCATTCTATGGCGAAACGAGTCTATAAAATGGGCACAAGGGCATTCAGTGCGGCATTTATGCTGACACTAGAGCCGATTTTATATTCCCAAAACGAAAATACATAAATGAAACAAAGGAAAACGAAAGAAACACCATAATAGGAGCGCAATAATCAATCAGAGCACGTGGAGCACGCATATTTGATAATACTTCGATGATAATGATTAACAAGTCATGAAAAAGGCTAGACGCTGGTCGGCCCTGGTCTAGTCTCATTAGCATTCGATGACAGAGAGATCAAAGGCACACACACACAATGGATGGATATGGGGATGGGGCAGGACAGGGAGGCAGACATAGACATTGCGGAAGAGCCAGACGAGGAGATACCAGAGTGCCAGGACAACCAGACGACGACAACAAACCATCGCCACCCATCGCCAACCCAATATCGAAGCCACAAACAATACAATCCTCGTACCCATGGATAATGGTGGGAATCAGACACAACACAGGTGAAAGGCACAACACCAAAACAAGCGTGGGGGAGCGGCAATTATTTACACGGATGCCCGCCGTACAATACTTTCCACTTCAGTGTGAACTTTCACCTGTGGCCCAGTGTGCACGTGGAGGAGTTTAGCAACAAATTCCGTTCTGTCATGGGCTAATTATGAGTGGAATTGGCCATAAAAGTCTGAAGGACTGAAACCCAATGAATTGGCACGAAAAGGGAAATTTTTGGGTAAACAAAAATTGGGAGAAGGGGAGGCATTTTATACCCTAACTAAGGAAAGAAATGGGAAACTGCATGCCCCAACGAGGGAATAGCAAAAAAAGGTTATTTAATATACCATAAACAGCCAGTTTATTGAATGTGTAGATTCATAATTGAGTAAAACATAAGGTATGCCCATGGAAAGTCACCAGTTCTTATGCCACAGGAAAACCCATAAAAAAATGTACAAAATTATTCCATTTGCGAGAGTGTAAAGAGAAGAAGGCAAAGGAGAAAATACTTGTAGCTTTCCGGAAAATGCAAGAGTGGAATTTGCATGAGGCGGAAAATGTGGGGAAAGTACACAGAAAAGCTACTTGGATGTGCGTAGAGCAGAAAGAGTAGCAATTGAAAATATCATACACAATATCAAAGTCAACGAAAAATGGGAAACTAAATGCAAATCAACGTTTAGCACTCTATGAATTTATTATTTGGTCAGCTTTAATAAAATTATCGCATCGATTATTTCTCTTTCAACTCTTCACCCACTTCGCCAATGCTTTCTTCTTTCGGGTAATCCACATTCTTCTCAAAGAGGTAGCACTGCAGCCAGTCGGATTTCTCGTGCTTGCCACAGAACACCGGCTGAAAATTCCAGATGAGATGACGCGACTTGATTGCAGCGCTGGCAAATCGGTTCTTGTTGATGCGGCAGGCGTCGACGAAGGGGCTGAACAGACGCTCGGCCAACTGAATGCTCTCCCGGGAGTGGGTCTCGCTACAGGTGTCCTCGCGGGAGTAAAGCTGCTCAAAGGCGGACCGCTCCAGGTGGAACTGAGATGCAAAGATGGGGAAGTCCTTGTGCTTGATGAAAGTGATGAACTCGTAGCCAGCTGGATCCTTTTGCAGGGCCAGTGCCTGCCAGTCGGTGTCAAGGCCATACTCCTTCAGGCTACCCGTGGTGATGCAGTATCCGTGATGGTGGCTGGCGAAGCATCCCTCTGGCAAGTTCACGAAGATCTTCGAGTTGCGGTAGTCCTCAGTGAAGCACACGGACAGGGCTTTTTTCATTCGCTGACACTTGGTGCGCACCTGGTTTGCACTTAGTTTCCTGTTCTGGGCCGCGTTGATGAGCAGCAGCTGCATCCCGAGACAGGTGCCCCACAGTGGAAAGTATTCCTCGGGATCGCTGCCCTTCTTATTCCGCTCCATGGCTAGCTGGTAGATAATCTCCGCGGTCCGCACACAGTCATTTGTCAGGTCGGGTCGCGACTGGACGTCGGCCTCATCGATATAGATGGCCCCGCCGGGCAGGAGGATGCCATTGAGTTGATCCATCAGCGTAGCGTAGTAGGAGCGGTCGCGACCAATCCTGAAATCGAGTATGTGATCGTTGATCCGAGTGCAATTTTGTATCGACAACCATTGATTTTCTCTTCAATTTCAAACAAACAACAACAAAGAGAAGCAGAATGATGAGAGCCAGAGGCTAAATTTTGATATTTTTTTAGCGAAAATTAAATTAAATGGACTTGAAATTTATTAAATAGAGAAATAGTTCGCTCACATCACTCTGGTCTTCATTGCCGGTTGCACAAAGCGTTTGGCACTTCGCCCAAATGGCCACAAAGCAAAAAATTGCAACAAAATTTGTATTTGTTTATGCAATTTGTTTATATGTTCTGGTGCTCTTGCCTCCCCCACTCACCAGACGGGCACAACATGGGCCCCCACGGCCTCCAAGTGCTTCACATATGAGGCGGCCAAATAGTTGTGCCACTTCTTGCCATACTGGGCCTGCAGCCACACCGCCACGTCGATGCACATGATCCCAATGCAAGGTGCGGTCTGTACTGATGAACTACTCATTTCGGATGTTTTTGTGTTATTTGTTTCCTATCCGAACTGATTCCTTGAAGAGCAAAAACAAGACTGAAAACTCTAAGGGAAGTGGGCGTCATATAAGTAAATGTCGATAATTGTATAATTTTTACCCATTTACAGAATACATTATAAGGAGAGGAAGATATTGAGACAGAGACAGAGATTGAGTACAGAAAAACATAAACACTCTCTTCTCAACGTTAGTGAGTAGTGAGTATTTCATCCAATCTCTCATCATTCTGCTTTTATTTGTTGTTGTTTAATTGAAATTAAAAATTGCACTCGGATCATCGATCACATAATCGATTTCAGGATTGGTTATGCTGCCATTATGCCCCTTGTTCGCCACCGCCTTTGCTCAATGGAAGCTTAAACACCAACTTACGGCCACTGCACGTCACCCCTGCCCGACACTTACACCGTTTGTTTTTGCACTACTTTCCGTATTTTCACTGACAAAAGAAGTGATTGGGAGAGCGGTAGAAGCAAGCGCATTTCATGCTCTCCGGCTGCTGCTCTTTACAGTTGCCTCTCCCACTCTCTCTCTCTCTCTTCTACTCTTGCTAATTTCTCGACGGAAGAAGAAACGGGACTGTTATAAACGCAACCAAGCGACTATTCCGAATGAACTGACAAAACCCTTTTCCACGCATATTCCGATATGCTTTATTCACGCTCGAGTTGGGTCACATTTTCCAGTCTTTTACAAACGTTAACTTAATTAACAGCGGGCACTTTTAAGCGTGAAAGAGTCAGATCAGCAAAAGATTTGTATGGCCTCACATTAAAAGATGAAGTGCGCAGACGCTTGGCGCTTTTACTGATTCCTTTTTACCCCCTTATTCCCTTTGCTGTTCTTCAGCAGCTATTGCTCACACAAACAAAAACACACACCCACACATTGCTAGACATAACGTGACCGATTTGAAAAATGTGAGACAGACGCCGTATTGGTACAATTGCGCCGTTGGGTGCTCCGCTGACTTGTGCATAATTTATGCATAAAAAAAATTACTTCTATGCATTTCAAATATATAAGCACCTTTTGTCGCACTTTGCCGATCTGCCATGTTGTCTCTTGCTCGCTGCGCCTTGGATCATTGGATGCTTAAACACTCTAAACACACATTTTTAATTTTTAAACACTTTAAAACTGCAATACAATAACTAAACACTTGCACGACACTCTACCCGGTTGATTTTACACTATTTTCCGGATAATTACTGCCAAAAACGCGGAGCTGACTAAGAACGCACGCTTGGACTGGCTGAAAAAATGAGAGTGGGAGTGGGGTAGAAGCGAGAGCGCATTCCCTGCTCTGCTGCTGCTCTTTCCAATTGCCTCTCCCACTCGCTCGCTGTCTCTCTCTCTCTTCAGTTACTTTTGCTAATTGCTCGCTCATCTCTGCTCATGATGAAATTCTAATTTTGGCGTTTTCTTATCTCCCTCTTGTATTACAAGGTGCAAGGGGAGAACAAAATGGTTTGCTTGTGTCACCTGTTCGTTGGAGGGGTTACAGGGTATGCGGCTTAGAGATCGCGCATTCTTTTTTCTCTCCTTCTCCCTTCCATATGAAGATCTATAAAACTAGCACACGGAGGAAGGAAGAAGCTGATATTACGGGTAAATATTTGTAAAAATCGAGAAAGATGCCGAGAATTAATGCTTTGTTTGTTTGTTTCTTCTTTAATTATTAACACAAGGTACACATTCCCATACAAAGTGACCAGTTCAACCTCACCATGGAGTCTCATGCCACTGGAAAACCCATAAAAAAAATGTACAAAATTATTCCATTTGCGAGAGTGAAAACAGAAGAGGCCAAAGGAGAAAATACTTGTAGCTTTCCGTCAGTGGAAAATTCTTAAGAAAGGGGGCAAAAGAGGACCCAAAAATTGAAACGAAAATTACAGAGTGGAATTTGCATTGGGCGGAAAATGTAAAACGAAGCAAAGGCTCAGAGGAGCAGTTTCAATGGGATGTGGCAAAAAAGATTCGATGTATTAGATAATCTGGATCTGGATTTAAACTTTAAATTTTGTCTCGTTCCGGATAGTCCACATTCTTCTCGAAGAGGTAGCACTGCAGCCAGTTGGATTTCTCGTGCTTGCCACTGAAAACCGGCTGAAAGTTCCAGATGAGGTGGCGAGACTTGCTTTCAGCGCTGGCGAATTGGTTCCTGTTGAGGCGGCAGGCGTCGACGAAGCGGCTGCACAGACGCTCGGCCAGCTGAATGCTCTCCCGGGAGTGAGACTCCCTGCTGGTGTCCTCGCGGGAGTAGAGCTGCTCAAAGGCGGACCGCTCCGGGTGGAACTGAGAGCCGAAGATGGGGAAGCGCCGGTGCTCGATGAGACTGATAAACTCATGGCCACCAGGGTCCTTCTGCAGGGCCAGGGCCTGCCAGTCGGTGGCCAGGCCAAACTCCTTCAGGCTCTCCTGGGTAATGCAGTAGCCGTGATAATGGCAGGCGTAGCACTTATTCGGCATGTCCATGAAGAGCTTCGACTTTCGGTATTCCTCAGTGAGGCACACGGGCAGGGCCTTCTTCATTAGCTGACACTTGGTGCGCACCTTCGTGCTCTGAGCTGCGTTGATGAGGAGCAGCTGCATACCCAGACAGATGCCGAACAGTGGAAAATAGCCCCCGGGATCGCTCGCCTTCTTATTCCGCTCCATGGCTAGCTGGTATATGACTTCCGCGGTCCGCACACCCTCATTTGTCAGGTCGGGTCGCGACTGGACGTCGGCCTCGTCGACGAAGATGGCTCCGCCGGGCAGGAGGATGCCGTTGAGTTGATCCATCAGCGTAGCGTAGTAGGAGCGCTGGCGACCAATCCTGAAATCGATGAAGGTATTCGTTGATATCTAACCGATTTGATATCGCCTGGTTCCCATAGGTTCTATTCACATTCAATCAAGCAATAACAAACAACGACGAGAGCCATGAAGTCACAAAAAACGAAACAGTTCGCCTCACAGTTACATTTGCTGGTACTCCTGCCTTACCCCACTCACCAGACGGGCACAACATGGGCTCCCGCGGCCTCCAAGTACTTCGCATTGGAGGCGGCCATATAGCTGCGCCACTTCCTTCCATAGAGGGCCTCTAGCCGCACTGACACGTCGATGCACATGACCCCAATGCAAGGCGTGGCCTTCAATGATGCATTTATCATTGGTGTTTTTGTGTTATTTGTTTCCTATCCGAACTGAATTTTCAAAGAGCAAGAAGATGACTGGAAACTCTAGGGGAGAACTCGGAGATTGATCGAATCAGGGGAAATACAAATAATATGTTTATGGTTTACCCATTTACAACCTGAGTCGAGTCGAGTGTTACATAAACCATTAAACAATTGATTTTATAGAGTATAGCTAACGAACAATTAGGTGGACAATATCAATGACAGTTGATGGTAAATAATATCAAGTTCTGTTATCAAATAATGCATTCAACGAGGCAAAAAGTATCTGTTTTCTGGTAGTAAAAATTCCACTTGAAGCGGACCAAAGCAAGTGCAAGTTTTGAGTGCGCAAAAGCGTTCCGAGAATAATCGGGTTAGTGGGTGGCAGAGAGGGAGGGGAGCACAGTCTTTGAAAATAGGAAAATGATAAATGCGCACAGCTGTAGCTGTAGCCAACTGTTTCCAGAGTAAATCAGAAATCAATTGAGAATAATCGGAGGGCCAGCGAGGCGAGGAGGGGCCCAGTGCCGAGGGAGAGGAATGCAGCAGCGCCGTTTCCATCTCCGTAGACATGGCCGGGAGGGAAGTAGCTGGGCCCGTCATCTCCATCGTCTCCCCCTTCAAATCCAATCTCCTCCAATTGCATTTCCTTGTCGGTAAACAAATATTGCTGGACGTAGGTGGAGCCCAGTATCGACGTATACTCCGGCTTGTAGTTGTAGATGAGCACCCGCGCCTCCTCCGTGGCATTGGCAAAGCTCTGGGGGCTCTTGCGGGCCTCGTTCACAAAGAAGTCGGCAAAGTATTGGCCACTCAGCACAGCCGCAGGCGAATGGGGAATGCTCGGCTTTACGAACTCGAAGAGCGGCTTCTCCGGATGGAACTGGACGCCGTAGAAGGGATACTTTGTATGCTCCATGGCGGAGATGAACTCGATGCCGTCCAGGTCGCTATTCACGGACACCACGCGCCACGACTTGTTCAGCAGATTGCGGGCAAAGTCCGCCTCCGTGTAGCAGAACTGATGCCAGTGGTAGGTGACATTCTCCTTGACCATCAAAGCAACGACAGCCTCGTTGCTGGCATTGAACAGGCGGCTCTGCTTGTAATCTGACGAAAAGGTAGATCTGGTTTGAGAAAGGGTTTATCAAAGGATTTAAGCTCTGTACCTTCTTTAAGCTCCATGGGCAAGGCCATGCCTGTGCCCCTGCAATTGATGCGATGATCGGTGCCATTGGCCAGCTTGTAGGCCAGCAGCTCCATGCCCAGACACGTGCCCCAGACGGGCATAAAGGTGCCATTGTCATTCAGTTGCAACGCCAACTGTAGGAGATGTTCCCCCGCATCGGCATAGCCATTGGTCTGATTGAACCACGTTGCGCCGCCAGGCAGGAGCACTCTAGAAAATGATTTAAGTGATGAATTCGCACGATCATCGTGGCTGGCATCGTTACTCACTCACCCATTTATCTTGTGCATGAGATCCTCGTAGTAGCTGCGATTGCGTCCAATCCTTTGGAGATATCATGAAAATGGTTTATTAATTACACTTTTAGGCAATCTAATCGTTCGTTGAGTCCTCTCAATCTTATCGTAGCCTTGGGATTTCCACCACAACGATAAGATCTCTCTCCCTCTGGGGGTATCTATCTGTCTGCTTACCAAATGGGCACCACCCGGGCACCGGCACTCTCCAGATACTTGACATACGAGGCGGCTATGTAGCTGGTTTTGTTCTCGAAATGTTGCGAAATCAGTCCATTCGAGAAGACCTCCTGCGTGAGCACCCCAATGATGGGCGAACTGTCCGCCGAAGCTGCCAGCAGAAGGCTTCCCAGAACCAGCACACAGCCAAAGAGACGATGTGGTTGCATTTTAATGCGCTTTTCTATTCCTTTCCTTTGTTATTCCAGAACGTGTGTGAGCGCCTCCAGTGCTCACCGTGAACTGTCCCATGCCACTGCGAGAGCATTCAAATTTATACACAAGCTCACACGTTCATGGGTAAACATTGGCACGGTGACGCGACAGCAGGTGCACCCTCCTCTCCCCCGCCGCTGCTTGTGATTTCAGTCCAATAGATAGCGCCACGATTAATTGATTACATTACTCGGCAAACACCGTTCGCTGTCGTCGTGGGTGCAAGGGTTCGTTTCGGACACTGTCTGTGTCGTTCCGGGGGGAAGAACAACCCAAGTTCTGTGCCGCCCTTTAAGCCAGGCTAAGCAACAGGCACGAGCAACGAGCAACAGTTAGACACAAAAACTATTTAGTCATTGTCACTAATTAAATGGTGAATTTTATTCCCGATCTTTGTTTATAGCTATTTGTTTTTTTAACTGCCTCTGACTCTGACTCTGCCTTTGCTTATGTTTCTATCTTCTTTTTTTTTTGCCAACTTTTCTTATCAGCTGATCGGCAGGCAGGCAGGCATAGGTGTGTGGTTATCGAGTATCGATAGCTGCATTGGCCGAGCAATCGAAATTTCAGCTGCCCAGCAAGCTTTGTTGCTTCTGTTTGATGCTCGCCTGGATGCTCAGCAGGTACTTCATCTCCACGAGGGTGCCCTTGACGCCGGCCAGGTCCTTGGCCTCGAATTGGCTGCCCAACTGCTTGGTCATTGCCTCCAGTTCCCGCACAATCTGTGAGTTGAGTTCCGCGAGTGCAGCGCTGTCCTGCGCCTCCTCCACCTCTTCGTTGCGCTCCATCATGGCCATGAGGAACTCTTTGTTGAGCGCACTGTTGTCCTGCGGCATCTGCTGCCCCTCCAGCTGCAGCAGGTACTGGCCGCGCTCTATCGGCGTGGCGAGTGTCTTGTAGGCCTTGTTTATCAGGGAGCTCCAGTCCGCGGAATTGATTTGCTCTCGGGAGGTTCTGGTGGCGGGGGGTCAATGCTATTAATTGCCAATTGGGACTGACGATTGCGACTCACTTGTTGCTGAATTTGTCCGGATGCACCAGGGTCTGCAGCTGGCGGAAACGCTGCGTCAGTTGCTGCCCCTCCAGGTTGAAGTTTGTGGGAAAGTTCAGCAGCTCAAAGTAGTTCTGCAACAATGCAAAGGGTTTACTGGCCGCCTATCCATGAAGGGCTATCCTAACTACTCACTATGGCCGCATCCACGTCCTGCAGGTGTCCGCAGTCCGAGCAGATCATGTGCTGCTTCAGCACCGACTTTCTGTCGCAATTCCAGCAAGCCGGCGAGGAGGCGGCAGCTCCGAATTTTCGCAGCTGTGGCGGTCTTGCCAGCCTTCCAACTCTGCCAACAGCAGCATAATTTGTGGCTCTCAATGCACTTTTAAAAACACCTACCACAGCACGCATATTTAACCATGAACAAAAGTGTTTTCGCGAGCGCCGACTTCTTTCTTATCAATTACACAAGTTTGTGGGAAAAAAACAACAATCAGCTGTTCGTTCAACCATTTTCCATTGGTCTGGCAGCACTCGACAGTAAGAGCAGTGTATACATTTTCGGTGATGTGTCGAGCCTGTTCACTGGCCTGGAGGAGATCGACAAGTCATGCAAGTGCCCTTCTAGGTGTTCTTCGACTACATAGACCAGGACGATCCCCAGCTTTATACGAATAACTGCGTGGAGAAGGCCCTGGCCAAGAACAAGGAGATCAAGCGCAAAGTCGAGAGCCTCAAGCAGTTCAAGTCAAACCTGCTGCTGGAGCAGTACAAACCGTATCCCAACGAAATTAATAGGTATCGGGCCTACAGAAAGGACTCCATGGGACGACTCCACCGGCACCCCCCAAGGACCGTATAACGTTAAAAGCACATACATTTCAATTAAATTGTATATACTTTTGAATGTGTTTTACAAATTTTCTCATTTCCATTGACTATTTTTTAAGCCTCTCTTTGGGCCCTCCGTCTCTTTGGCATCCGTCGCCCTTTTGTTGTTGTACCAGGAGATTCCGGGCGTCGGCCCCGATTTGAAGAACACCATTTGGCAAAAATTTTCCGAAGGCTCCTGTGGCGCAATTGGTTAGCGCACGGTACTTATAATCAGTATTCAGTGTCTATGAGCAATGCCGGGGTTGTGAGTTCGAGCCTCACCTGGAGCAAGTTGTATGTGTCGCTGTGTGGCACTATTTTTGCATCTTTTTTTCTTGTTTTACTTTTTATATTCTTATTTTTTAAGCACTGTTGCATTTACAGTTTCCTATTTGAGTAATTATAAATCGCAAAATAAATTATTTACAATTTTTGAAACAAGACCGTACAATACTAAAAAAACGTTAAATGGGGGGCTATCGTTACGCCCCCAGAGTTTCACAGACACAGTTTGACAGAGTTTCAATTCTCTTTATTGAAATCTCATTCCCTTGTTTATTTGCTGAATTAAATAAATACGATTTTGCAAGCTGCAATGGCCCATTGTGTGACAGGGATGAGACGACTGTCGATGTTCTGAAATCATTGAACAAGCTCTCTGTCAGGAGACGAATCATTGATGAAACCAATACTATACAATGCATATTTTTGTGAGTTATACGAGCTGCATGGATCAATGAATCAATGCGACGTCTTATGGCGAACTGATACATCTCCGTTCTATATATATGTACATAAGTACAAAGGTATACATACATATGTATATACTGAATACTGAATATACTGAATTCTTTGCGCTGTTGTCAACATATCGTATTTAATTCAATTTTAGACTTATAATTACTCAAATCAGAAACTGAGGGTGCAGAAATGCTTAAAAAATAAGAATATAAAAATTAATACAAGAAAAAAAGATGCAAAAATAGTGCCACACAGCGACACATACAACTTGCTCCAGGTGAGGCTCGAACTCACAACCCCGGCATTGCTCATAGACACTGAATACTGATTATAAGTACCGTGCGCTAACCAATTGCGCCACAGGAGCCTTCAGAATTTTTTTGCCAAATGGGGTTCTTGAAATCGGCCCCGACGCCCGGATTCTCCTGTAACACCAAGAACAAGGCGACTGGCGATGCATGGCACGACCCAAAGAGAGGCTTAAAGAACATTCTATGGAAATGGAGAACATTTCCAAACACACATGCATATACATAAACATATATACATATCATATATAAAATTTATTGTATAAATTATGGGCTTACAACACTACACAGTTTTTGAGGGGTGGGGGAGGTGGAGTCACATGGAGTCCTTTCTGTAGGCACGATAGCTGTTCATTTCGTTGGGAAACGTCTTGTACAGCTCCAGCAGCAGATTCGACTTGAACTTCTTGAGGCTCTCGATCTTGCCCTTGACCTCCTCGTTCTTGGCCAGGGCCTTCTCCACGCAGTCCTTCGTGTAGAGCTGGGGATTCTTGTCCTGGTCGATGTAGTCGAAGAACACCTCGAAGGGCACGTACACATCCTGCACCTGGTTGCGCAGCTTGTCGATCTCCTGCAGGCCGGTGACCAGGCTGTTGCTGCAGACATTCGCGACAAGGTATCGTTTATTCTGTGTTTATTTGGGTTTCTATTGAAAGTTCTTACATTTTCTGGTTGAGAACGTTCTGGCCCTGCGGCTGGAAGTCGCTGACGATTATGCGAATCTGACGCACATTCTCGATGAACATCTCCAGCTGCGTCTCCAGGTTCTCCAGCGGTGCAGACATATTTGTTGGCAGAGAATTCTCTGTATTTTTATTTGTATGACTTTATTTTCTGTGTTTTCTTCCTCTGTTATGCTTCTTCTTGCTGCACTCCACAGAGCAACGCGAATATGAGTCGATGATTGAGCTATCGAGTAGGCAGTGCACTGTTATCGATACTGCCCGTTGTCACACTTTTGCGTGTTTTAATTTTTGTATTACCGACCAAATTGCTTAAATCTAACAAAAATAAATATTTAAGCATATTCTACAATGTCTGATGGCGATTTAGATGCCCTTCGCGCCCAGCGCATGTCCCAGATGCAGTCGCAATTCGTAAGTGTAGCCCCTGAAGCCGCCTGCAGCCCAACCGGCAACGAATTATTGAACAAATAATACCATAAATAGCCAAAAAAAAGTCTCGCAAAATTATTAAACAATCTAAAAGCAAGAGTGCCCGCCAGTGGGGTTGCGGGCAAACCATTCAATGATTTGCATACATATCCCACTGCCCGTCATGAGTCATCATGGTAGAGGCTGCGCACACGCAGCTGTTCCTTGAGGAGCTTGTCCTGCAGTGACCCTTCCACTTTGACTCTTTTAGGGCGGCGGTGGTGGCAACGATGCCGAAAAGCAGCAGGCCCAGCAGGAGCAGATGCGCGCCCAGGAGGAGATGAAGCACTCGATCCTCTCTCAGGTGCTTGACCAGCAGGCACGTGCCCGCCGTAAGTACAAAATGTGACATTGGGAGACCCACCAGCAGCAGTCTGACAAGCACATTTGCATTGCAGTCAACACACTGAAAGTGAGCAAGCCGGAGAAGGCACAAATGTTCGAGAACATGGTCATCCGCATGGCCCAGATGGGGCAGGTGCGCGGCAAGCTGGACGACGCTCAGTTCGTGAGCATCCTCGAGAGCGTCAACGCCCAGATGCCGCAGAGCAAGTCTACGGTGAAGTACGACCGCCGCCGCGCGGCCATAGACAGCGACGACGATGAGGATTACGGCTGCTGATTGCAGATGCTGCTCCTGCTGCTAATCCTCCTCAGGGGTAGCCTCGTAGGCCTAAGTTCTCTTTTGCTAAATACTTTTATTTCTTAATAACTTAAAACGAAAACTGCAAATGCAAACATCTCTGAAGCGGATGGGGGATGGGATGAATGGAGTTCTCTAAACATAGGACTAGATTTGGCTTACAACGAAAGGAGTAGAAAAATTGCTCTATGCGGAATGCAGGATCGAGAGACTACTCCTTCTTCTCGTGATCCTCGTCCTGCTCCTCCTCGGTGACGAGGCAATCGCCGCAGAATATCGAGTACATGATGAGCAGCAGGAAGCCCAGCGGGAGGCCAAAGATGACGGTCGTCAGCACGGGATTCCCCTTCCACATGTCCTTGAGGGAACGCTTCAGCTCGAAGATTGCCCGATTGCAGCGCACAAAGTAGGTGTCGCCGCCATACGCGACGGCGCTCTCATTGCTGATGGACTCCAGGAAGAGGTGCAGGGCCTGGGGCGTCATCTGCATGGGATCATCGTCGGGTATGAAGTGGTGCTGGGTGCTCGAGTTGATGGCTATCAGATGCGGCGTGGGCAGCTGATCCAGGATGATGGAATGCGCAATGGAGGGTTCCCCAATCTACAAAGGGAGCGAATGCTAGAGAGGATCTGCTTACAGCACCCTTCCGAAGGGGAGACTCACCCATCCAAATTGAAATTTATTGTGATAGCGCGGCCGATGCTTCCGGATGACACCCTCGACCATGTCGCGGAACTCCAGCTCGTGGGTGGCTATCTGGCTGAGCTTGTCCTCCTGGACAACGGCCAGGACCAGGTACTTCTGGGTCTTCAGCAGCTGGTGGATGTTGAAGCGCGTGACCTTGGGGAAGAGCGTGAAACGCTCCACGTTCACCCACTGGAAGATGGTCTCGTTCACCTCGTTGGGGTCCATCTCGTGGGCCACATGGCCGTGGGGGTAGAAGTGGTGCTGCTCCTCCTTGTAGACGATCACCGCCGGCAGCTTCTCGAAGTCAAAGTGCTGCGCGGCAATGTCCTCGCTGGTGGCATAGAAGAAGCCGTGCTCCTGGTAGCCCTCCGCTGCCGCGTAGTACGTGTCCCAGACGACGCCCTCCTGCTGGCCCACGAACATGAAGAAGATCGTGTGCGACCCCTTGAGCATGTCGACGCTCTCCGTGCGCGTCACCAGCTGCACCGGCGGCCCGGACATGCGCAGGGCATAGTCCACCAGCTCGTCGCGACTCCGGTCCCCGTTGTAGGTGAACTCCATGTTGCCCTTGATGAACATTATCGTGGGATAGCCGCGCACCTTGAATTCCCGCGCCGACGCAGGGTACTTGGTGCAGTCGAGCTTCCCCACCCGCACGTTGGTGGCGTGCAGCGCCTGTGCCACCAGTCCGAAGATCGGCTCCGTCTTCTTGCAGTAGCCGCACCACGGCGCATAGAACATCACCAGCCACTGGCCCTCATGGCGCACATCGATGAAGCGATCGCTCAGCTCCAGGACGCGCGAGGACAAGCCATCGGCAGTCCTCAGTCCCACCAGCAGCAAGACCAGAGCTTCACACAAATATGGATTATCAATTAGGATTTATGGTATTCTGCCTTTCGTGTGCATTATTTATTTATTTACCAACGAGGAGGAGGCTCCACCACTTCCAGTTGGCATTGCGGAGCAGCGGCATATCTCCTTTTTTTTGCTCAAAATTGGGTGTCTGGATGTTTGGGTGCTTGTGTGACGTGTTCCTGGCTATTTCATGCCTCCAACACTTTGCACGTGCATGGGCTTTTAATTAAATTAGTTAATTTTTCGGCCGGAATCCTTATTTTGCGAGCAAAAAAAAACAACCACCAGAGTGACCGCGGAATTATCGATAATATATACCGACAGACCCTCGGTAATATACCGAAATATACCATTTTATTTTCTAAGCATACTGTAAATATACCGTCAGTCTCAAATCAAATTCCTCGAATTTGATGTTCTATTTGATATTACTAGCTAGTTAGGAGTCTCATCGCTAAACCTCAAATTTTATCAGATTTATCAATCAGTTCTCCATAAGATTGGCCAACTTTTACGATTTCTTCTTGTTTGAATCTTTTCTAGTTAAGATTAAAACTAAAAAGGTCAACCAAAAAAAAAGCATTAAAAGTTACGTGGCTGGGAATGGAATGTTACGTCAATTGACAATTTGTTTCTGGCCACCCAATAGTATAGTATGGTATGGGCACTTGTGTACCCTACATGCTATACATATTATTAAAATGCCATTTACCTGCTGCCCTTAAATATAAGCAATGACTTTGCCTTAGACTGAAATGCTCTTAACCTTTTAATATATGCCATATACCGATCCAAAATTGCCTTAATTCGAAGATTTCCATCCCTCCGAGGGTATTAAATGTTGGGGAACAATGCTGCTAACTTTTTTGCGCTATTTTCTAGTATTTCTGGTATATTTCGTCGGGGTGGCAGCACTCTCGCTGTTTGTTTACCTCGCACATCCAGCGATCTGGCAAGCCACATGCACACACGTGCGACTCTTAAAAGTTGATTTTTATTCTAGTTAATTTTTGCATAGTTATTGGATTGTTGGCCCAGTTGTTGGTGTGTGTAAAACAATGACTGCAATACTAAACGAACCGCCCCAGGGCGGTGGCAAGCAGCAGCTGCACAACGCCCGCTTCTACACGATAAAACCGCGTGCCATCGAGAGCCTCGCGTACAACAAGTTGGCCAAATGCCTCGCTGTAAGCCGGTAAAAAGAGTCCCCCATGAATGTACAGAGAGAGACGAACACTAATCCATGCTTATCCTTAGGGAGTCGGGCTGCATTGAGCTGTGGAACATGGAGTACACGCCATATTTGGACAGGGTTATCCACCTGCAGGCCGAAGCATCCGTGGAGGCCCTGGCCTGGGCTGGCAGCAAGCGTCTCTTCTCGGTGGATCTGTCGGGCAAGCTGATCGAGTGGGACGTGCAGCAGCTGAAGCAGCGCTACGAGCACTCGCCCACGGGCAATGCCCTCTGGTGCATCGACATCAACCAGCAGGAGACAATGCTGGCGGTGGGGTCCGAGGAGGGGCACATCAACATCATGAGCATCGAGAACAACGAGCTCACCTACAAGAGCCTCTTCAACAAGCAGAAGGGCCGCGTGCTCTGCTGCAAGTTCGACAAGTCGGGCAAGCGTCTGGTGACCGGCTCCGAGGGCTGCGTCCGCATCTGGAGCGTGCTCAAGGGCCAGACGCTGCACACGATGACGCTGTCCGCCAAGGATGTGATCGTGTGGTCCCTCCAGGTGCTCGGAGACAACACCATCGTGGCGGGCGACTCGGTGGGCTTCGTGACCGTGTGGAATGCCGAGAATGGCACGCAGATCGGCAGGCAGCGCGTCCTCGACAACAACGTCTTCGCCTTGGCGCTCAACGAGGAGGAGGACCGACTGGTGTGCAGCGGCATGGAGCCGCCCCTCATCCGCGTCTACAGCAAGACGAAGATCAGGCGCGAGGAGTCCGAGAGCGAGCGCTGGATCAAGTACATCCAGCGGGACGTCCACAAGCACTGCGTCAAGTCCCTGGCCATGGCCGGCCCCCTAATTGTCTCCGGCGGCCTCGATGGCATCCTCACCATCAGCTCGAGCGAGCGCAACTCGGAGCGGAACGTGGCGCAGCACGCGCCCTTCCTCAAGGGATCCGTCGCCTCGATGGCCACCGAATCGCGGCTCCTGCTGCTCCGCTATCCCCACAGCGTGCAGCTGTGGCGCCTGGCCTCTGCCGTGGTCCGACCCGAGGAGGAGCAGCAGGAGCGCTGGGACCAGCCCGTGGGCCACTCGGAGGATGTTGTCGTGGCGAAGGCACCACAGAAGCTCCTGCAGCTGAAAGTCCGCGAGAAGAGCTTCATCCAGGCCGCGGCCTTGTCCCCCGATGCCGAATGGATCTGCTACTCCACCCTGACGGAGCTGCGGTTCAGCCGCCTGACGCTGGAGCCCCTGGCGGTGAAGCGCCTGGAGGAGGATCTGCCCTCGGAGCTGACCCCCGCCAGCCACATCCTCTTCACGGAGCAGGGCAAGCAGCTGCTGCTCCTCGACCCCAGCACCAATCGCTTGAACTTCTTCGAGCTGCAGCCGGATCGAGTTCAGTTCCGCTCCAGCCTGGACCTCGGCGCGCAGCTGAAGGGCACCATCAGCCATTTGGTGGAGTCTCTGAGCGGCGGCTACCTGGCGGCGGCCTCCTCCGACAACCTGATCGGCGTCTGGCAGCTGCAGGCCAGTGGCAATCGGCACGCGGCGAAGCATCTGCTGAACCTGCCCCGCCATCGGGCCGGCACCACTGCCCTGGCCATGCACACGGGTCGGCCACGCCTGGTGGCGGCCTACGCCGACGGCCGCCTGGTGGAGTACGACCTGGAGAAGCGCGCCTTCACCTGCGAGACTGCGGAGTACCTGATCCCGGACACCAAGCACTTTTGCATCAATGGCATCACGCTCGATCCGCTGAACCCCAACATCTTCCTCGTGCACACGGAGGAGTTCATGTACGTCCTGGAGCGCAATAAGCGCCTCTTCTCGGAGGACTACGTCGTCAACACAAAGTCCAAGAAGTACAGCGACGAGAGCCGCAAACTAATCGCAGAAAATCCGAATGGAATGCGCCTCAAACTCGAGTTACCGCGCCAGGTAGGCGATGATCCTCCCCCCCAGGGGACTCACTTTATTCAATTTCCTTTCTTCCTTCCTGTTGCAGCACCTGGTGCATGTCTTTCGGCTGAGTCTTGACGAGCTCGTCAATGTCAGCATTACGACAAACAATCTGCTGGCATCGCTCCCTCAGCCCTTCCAGCGAAAGAAGTTTGGCTCCGCGTAGAGGAAGTGCGGGGCAGAGGAGGCGCCTCCACCACTAGTTTCCATTTAGTTACCAAATAAAATGACACGAAAACGAACACAAAAGAGGAGCAGCCACCTCCCGTATCCCTCCTCCCCCTACGCTGGGAGCATTTGTCAAAAGTATTGCCAAAAATTTGTCTCTGTCTTTGAGGTGTTGTCTCCCGCCTCTCGCTTTGGGGCAGGCTTTGTTCTGTTCTCTACGTGGGATTGTGCAACATTCC